CGGGGTCCCGTCTGCTCCCCCATAGATAAGCCACTAACCGGCAGATTAGTAGTTGAGTGGGTGACCATCAGCGAACACCGGCTGTTGTATGTTTTTTTCTCTTTTTTTTTTAAAGCTCATGTTAATAGGTCCTGATATGCGTTGATCTGTTGATATCTCGTGGTGGGGCTCCTGGTTACCGAGGGAAAAGATTGTCGTGGTCTCCATTTTGCGCAAGTAATCCGTGACAGACTGATGCACAAAGTAAATGACCCCAACTCGAATACTCAATAGAGAGCCACATGATTCGACAACATCTCAAAGATCAAGCGGTTTGAAATCCTCCAATGCTTTCCCAAGGGACAGTACGGAGTAATTACTCCATTAAACGGCCGATACAGGACCGACACATTGGCAAGGATGCGTTTACAGATGTCTGCACTTTTGGAACAGTCGATTTGCTCCATCATGTGCTGATAAAATGAATCGAGCTCCAGTAGAAATGACTCCAATAGCCTCAATACATTGGTATATGTTCTTGCAGTCTCTAGTCGCATTGCGGAAGCTTCAGCGTAACATTTGTTGCCTGCCCCATCCCGGATTCTTGATCGCCAATCTCAAGAAACCTGTACCAGATCCGTTGCCGACCATGCGATTCCCTTGTATCCACTGGGTTGAACATCTTTGGGATGCAATGCGTCAAGATGATATCTTTGAAGACAGCCGAGTTCATGAATTCCTGAAAGGTCATCTCCTCTACTGGATTGAGGCTTCAAGTTGGTCTGGAGCCACAATTGATGCAATATTCGTGATCCCAAAGCCCCAAAAGCTCCTGATGGTGAATTTTATACCTCCGCAACTGAATCACGTATCCCCAAACATACGACAGACGGTTTCCCACGAGTCCAGGCTGTTGCCCTTAGCGCTGGTGCGCATCAGTTTCTTCTCTACAACGGGCTCGGAATCAAGACTGCGCCGCTTCTTCGAACACTAGAGCAAAACGACAAGGACACCGTATCGGGATCGTTGAATAAGACCATTAGGATATGGGACACCGCCTGGGCCAGAGCTCAACAGACACCGTTCAACCATCGTGAAGTTGAATAAACTATATGAATTGCCTTCTCTCCTGATGGGAAACTTATCGTACCTAGGTATTTAGATTAGATAATGAGACAATTCTGATCTGGGACACTACCGCAGGCGATGTGCAGTAAATGTCTACCAAACACAAAATGTTTACCCAAACAATCTCATTCACCTTCTCTCCCGATGTGAAACTCGTTGCATTGGGATCATACCACGGGGCCACCCATGCCCCGGACGACACCACAGGTAAAGTCCAACACCATAGTATCTCTCTAGATCTCTTTCAGCAGCCTTCTTGGCTCTTGTTTACCCATATAAAACTTTGGAAATGTATGGTACACGTTGCTGGTCTTATCACTGGCCTATTTTCCTCTCTATCATGTCCAGTATTCACTTATTCCGACGTATCCTTTTGCCTAAATACTTTCGTTCCACTCTCTTCTGCATCACCAAAGAATCGCCGTACATCTCTGGCTAGGACCTCGGGTGTCTCCAATGCAGGAAAGTGCCCTCCTTTTTCGTGTACGGCACTCCACTTTACGTTACCATTCCTCTTTGCCCACTCCAACGGAGTATGATACCAGATATCGTGCGGAAACTGGCTGATAGCCACAGGCTGATTTACGTACGGGAGGTTTTCAATTCCAGACATGGATATGGCCCCATCGGCTGCGCCGTGCTTGTAAAGTGAAAACGTAGCATAAGGACCGGGAATCCAGTGCATCATGGTCCATGTGATGACTCGATCTGGCGTCCAAATCTTGGCGATGTTTTCCTCTTCGACACATTTAACTAAAGCATCGTATATCCACATGGCCAATCCCACCGGTGAGTCGGTCATTGCATGGGCCAGTTTCAAGGGACGCGTTTGATGAACTTGTCCATACGCCCAAAGTTCACCAGAGAAGCCACTCAGTCGTCCAATGATTTCAACCTCTTCGGATGTGGAATTTCCTTCCTTCAACTTCTTGAGATCCTCGTCGGTTGGTGGAACAACCCAGAAGTTGGAATGCAAGGACACAACAGCGTCAGGGAATTCCAATGCCGCATATCTGATTATGAAATCTCCAGCATCTCCGGCTTGTGCCACATAACGTGTGTATCCGAGATGCTGTTGCATTAGAGTATTGAAGGCAGCGGCGGCTTGGCGATATCCGAATCCGGGTGCGCGCGGAGATGGTGAGAAGCCATAGCCGGGAATAGACGGCGCCACTACATGGAAAGCTGGAGCAGAGTCATCAGTTGGATGTGTGAGTAAATGAACTATTTCGGCGACTTCGAGAAATGAGCCGGGCCAGCCATGGACAAAGAGAAGTGGTATAGCATCGGGGCGAGGGGAACGATGATGCACGAAGTGAAGTGGTATGGGCTCTTTGTATGCCGTATGTGGTGTGTGCACAATTGTCGTGAACTGGGTCAGTCGAGTGTTGATATCATCCTCGACGGCTCGCCAATCAAACACATTTGCCCAGTGAGAAGCAATTGTTTTAGCAGAATGAGCGGGAGGACCATCAGTAAACTCGGGTTGGTCGTTGGGCTGAAACTCGGTGTCGACGAAGCGAGTCAATGAGGCCTTGAGTCTAGTTTGCTCCACGAAGGCCTGCTTTACGGAAACTTTGAATGGATTGACGGTATCAGTGTACGTCGCATTGAATGTAAGATTGAGATCTTCATCCGTAAGGGTGAGGGGCTGCCGAGATGTGTCTTGACTAGTCATTGTTCAAGACAAGCGGCTGAATCCTGCGATGTTTATATCTTGATATTACACCTGTAATGGTTTGTTCAGAGGGCACATTGCTGTATTTATACAACATGCAGTCTCATTCTATTATATACATATGTAGACTAGCCTCAACATGTTGCTGAATTGGCTACCAGGAGCGGGGAAATTGGTGTAGGCTATTCGTAAGCACTTGGCACAATTACGCTCATCATGGGTTTGTGTTGCAACGGCATCTTCTCCACCAAGCCAAGATGCAGTGGCACGCTTCTGCCTAATGATACGAGTACGGCGGTTTAGGTATGGAAACGTTTATGTAGGGTGTATTGTCCATCTAAGTAGGCTATGCGGCAAATCTAATAATTCAATATCCGTGAAACACATGCTGCCCAACAGCCATTATCCATTGCCACCGATTACAACTATTACGCACCAACTGTTTGCGAAACTAATTGATGATTTGTTTACGTTCATTTAAACACTACACCATACCATAATACCTCTTTGGCTCCGGAATTAGTTCCCAGGTTCACTCAAATATACCATCTCCTTCTGGATCCCAACGCAGAGCAGTGTTATTGTGCAAGTGTCAAAATCTAGCATAAATGCGGTGTGACTGAGATTGAGTAACTTTAAAGATGGCGACATTACTCTTGATATAGTTGCTTCAATTGCTTCTGGGAGTGTTGCTTGAGTGCCGCTCTTGGTTGCCTCTTCAACAGTGGCCCAACGAGAAGACCACTTGGATCATTGCCTCTTCTACTGATTCTTCAATATGGCCACTACAATAAATCTTTGTCTCCTCCAACTCACCGAGAATGAACAAGTTCTAGAAGTCAATATTCCGCCCGTATATGAGAAAACAATGTCTATGTTGAACAAGTGAATCAATTGCCGTCTTGAATTTTTTTTAAGGCGGGAATAGCCTTGTAAAAGAGTGTGAGCATCATTCGCAGAACAGTTTGTTGGATAATATAACGCCCCCCCCTCCATTAAACTGCATGAGTGCGGAGGAAGCGGCTCAAGTACAGATTACGTTCTGTACACATGTCGCAGTCGAGAATTACATCTTTTTGCGGCAATCATCTGTCAGCCTCAATAGCTCCGTACTTGCGCATATGTGAGATATAAACAAAGCCAACCATTGGTCGCCTGGTAGTTCATCAATGCACCTCACTAAAACGTATACGCCGTTCCCACTTCTTCAAGACTATATATAAGCTACTCCCTCAGCTCTCCAACTCGCCTTACGTACAAATCAGCACTAACAATAACACCACCAGACAACTCTCTTCTTCCTTGCAAAATGGCATCCAGCACGGCAAAGACACCATCGACGGCTCGTACGACCCCGAGGTCCCTGATCCCGGTTTTATCGACTTCTCTCAATGTCGGCATGGCGCTTGGTGCTTGGATCACAGTGATCCCGTTTGCGAACGTGGCATACCCAGGGCCCGCGGTGGCAGTATGGTTCAAGGACTTTTTCAAGCCCGGTTTCATCGGAATCACTTCTCTCAGTGCAGTGACGATTGCTTCAGGAATCCGATCGGCCCTTGTTCGGGATACGTCTGGGTCAGCAGAGGGTCAGGCTAAAGCAAAGGCAGCCTCGCGATGGGCGATTGCTGGTCTTGTGTTCACGCTCATTCATTTCGGTTTTGGAAACTCTGTAAGTCACGGTATTTTTGGCAACATGTTCTTCGGTAAGAGTAGCTCATAGTAAGCAGGTGCTCGCGATTATGGACCGGATTCTTTCCAACCCAGAATTGGCACAAGGCGAAATGGCTGGCTGGATCAAATTGCATACAGTGAGAACGCTGACGACTGATGTGCCGGCTTGGATCTGCTTTATTGGAGCATTGCTGTCTGAGCTGTAATGGGCAAGAGCTCACTCGTCGATTGGAATCGAATTCTAGAGAAAGAAAAAATGGCTAATTACTGACAATACATTCCTCCCTTTGCTTCCCAGTGGTTTGTTTGTTCATTGTTCATTTGCTGTAATACAACCATCAACATCTTCAACACACTTCATCAGAGAGACTGGTCAACCAAAGTGGCAAGTTTCTCTCAGCGAGGCCGTTCCAGCTGTCAGCTATATCAGAGGAGGGCCTAGACTCCAAAAGAGATTATTCCAATCCCTTCCACGACCTTGGAGTGTCTCCCACAATTTATCTAGGTCAATGGTGTCTGGGTCAATATCTACTCTCCTAGGCTCCCGATCAACCACCATGTTGCTGCTGTCCGTTGTTGCTATATCCACGGGGCCCATTTGGTTTAAAATCGTGGGGTCTCTTCTGCAGTTCTCTCTTTTCAAAGCTTCCAGTGCCGGATGTGAAGCTCTGTACTTTCGCAGTATCTGAACCGAGAGATGCAACAACTCAGATGCCAACGGCGACTGTCCTTTTGCTTCGTATAAAATTCTCCATGCGTCAGTCATTGTTGCGTCTCCTCCTGTTGTGCTACCTTCCGGGTTGTTGGCTAAGCACCCATCCAGCACAAACACAACGCAAGCAATGAAGATGCTCCGGAACTTTACGTTCATACGCTGGCGAAATAGGACGAACGTTGAGTTTTCGGCTCTCATTCGGTGCTCGATGTAGATGATGCGCTGCGCCGCTTTCAAGCAGGAATCGTGGGAATACGCAAAGCCGGGATTTATTGTTCCTCGGGCAAGATATGGCAAGTGCAGTTTGCAGATTTGACCGTAAAATATCATGTTGAGCATATATCGCTGGATCGTTATATCAGATGAACGCCGGATATCCGAGGGTGGCAGTTTGGAAAGGCTCCCGCTTTTTTCAAGGCGGAAGAATGACGGTAATTCTCGCATAAACTGTCGCAGTTTCATATCTGCCTCCATGATTTTCCCGTAGTCTGCCTCTTCCGGATTCCAATTGATGGGCTTATCGTGGCCACCGAGGCTATAAAAGAGTTCGGCAAGGCGGGTACGTTGAAGAAGATACGACACAGACGTGGCTTCTTCTGGCGGACGGTCTATAATATCTTGACCCTCGATAATGTCTTCGTCATTTGCATTGCAAGGCTTTCGTACTGCCATCTGACTGGGTAATATTGTATATGCCCCTTGCTGAGGAACTGACAACCTGGAAAGCATCCTACCGCGCGATACTGTAAGTACCATCCAAAACGACAGATAAAAGAGGGCTCACCAGTCGGTATCTGTAAGATACCACCATGTCCTACGGCCGATTTCAGCTTGAACGGTGGACATTTTTATTTTAACTGAATGACTGTTGTTATTTGGAGAGTCGATGAAATGCAGTCCAATCTCCTGGGCCATTGCGACTGCCTGAGCGTGGAGCAGTCGGGCACGAGCTGAGATGCCCTCCAAACTGCATATCATGAAGAACACCACAATAATGCCTTGTACACACGCCATGGACGCATGTGCTGCTAGATGGGCATGATGAATGACGTCGAGGGCCGTCGTAAGCCACCCTGCAGTCTGTGAGTTGGCGTCTTCTGGGCGGTTGAAAAGGCCCTTGTTATCATCAAATCGAGTCCACGTGTGTGTGCTGCTGCAGCAAATCGCCAGCATGATCATCAATTGACCAATATCGACAGCTCGGCCATGCTCCACGGCGTCATAGAATCGATCCACCGCAGAGGGCAGGGAAGGTTTATGGAATATGTAATGAAAATGAAGGACATCTTTGATAAACTTGTCCAAAAGGACATGAGCGTCTCCTCTCAAAGGCAGGCATATGCACTTGACGACCTTGACCTCTTCAGCCAATGGAGGAGAGCTTGCAGGATCCAGAACAAAGAAAGAAGGACTAGAAATAGAACGGATAGAGCGAGTACGAAAAGTGATGGCAGGCGGGGCTAATGAATCCTACAAGCAGTGGGTGACGATTAATATCCCGCGTCTGTGAAGAGAACTTCATTGCCATTGTCGAAACAAGAACCGCGCTCTCATCAAGGCATCAACATTGTGAAGAACTCACTAATACTTTCTGGCTCGAGCAGCTATTCTCAATGCCGAGCACGTCTGCTGTGACAAGCTGCAGCTGAGAAGACAGCAGCAACGAGGGAGCCAAGTGGTTCCGATTAAGAGCCTCCTGAGACCCACCAGTCACAACGGCCTCACTGGCGCCCTGGATCCCAATGCCTTGGACGGAAGCTGCTCCATCGACGTTGCAAGGGATTCCACGGATCGAGCAGTTGGAGCAGGGAGATCCGCGGTTACAGCGCAGCTTTCGGATCCGGCAAAGCGAGCATGCCGGTGGCCGCCTCCGCGACTGACGACCCATGCAGCCTATGGGAACTGTCTGCTGTGCGTTGTGAATTCTGCTTTTCCTCTGTGGTCGGTCATAGACACCGGCGATTCTACTTTGACAGCATTAGACGGAGAAAGGCGGGAGAATGATGGGAAATACTAACCCGAAGTATCAGAATCCGCGGGGACTTCGGAGTTAAGCCCCCTCATGTCCGCCAAGAAAAACGTCGATCAGACCATCATCTTCAGCCGCGGATTTCAATAAAGGGAAGCAATTAGAACCTCGGTTGCTGAGAAAATAGTCGGATTTCATCAATCCGCACGGTATTTCCTTCACTTTGAGTAAGATAGACATGGATATCATGGATGTTTCGATTGAGTCTCACAGAGCAGAGCCCTGTTAATCGATTGCGGCCGTGGTGATGGTGCGCATCAGGATGAGAACTGGACCTCGAGACCTAAAGTTCGAAACGGCTTGTTCATCATCTTCAGATCGATCCCGCTGCCGAGACTGAACAATAATGACTTTACTCGTCCTTCCCACAGCACCCCAAGCCGAAGATTTTGGTCCAGCCTCGCTTTCACGACCCCAGCATATTCATTCTCCTCACTCTCAACCTCTTCTTTATCTACTTTCTCAGCAGGTTGCCCAGTCTTGGGGAGATTCTTCTTAACACCTTTGGACTTGGAACCAGTATTACCCCCATTTGCTTTGCGTCCAATCTTCTTTTCTGTCGGCTTTACCGGCTCGTCGAGCCTCCACTCCAGTTTCGCGTTAAAACTCCGTTCAACCGGCGTCGACGTTGAAGCCGACTCCGGTGTGGCCGGTGTGGTCGTCGGTGAAGGTTCTTTTCCATCTACAATGTTGGTGGCCACTTTCGAGGTGGGAAATGGCTTCGAAATTGGTGTCTTCACTGCGGAGACACCCTCAGAGGAAGGGTCTGCTTCTGCCACAGATCGAGCAAACGGCCTCCTCCACAGCTCCATGCCGACGGCCCAAGAGCTTTCGTAGCTGAAGATGTTGAATTCCATGCGAGTCGCGAGACTGCAGTCTTTCCCAGCCATGACGGCATAGCTGGCTGCAATATTCCCCATCAGGGGATTCAGCGTAAGAGTCGCAGAAAGCGGCGTTCCCTTGTGATCCGGCAACGTAGCAAATCTCGCGCCTATGCTTATGCCTCCAGATTTGTTGAGAGTGCCGTAGTAGATCTCTCCGCCGGTACTGAATCGCCCATATATCCTCTCCTTGTCTCCATTGCCACTGCCATGTCCGTTCCCATTGTCTGTATTGGAGGTGGCAGACTGCTGGGCGTGTTTTTTACTACTCAAGTCGCCTCCAAAATTATAAACTCCTCTGAACCCCAGTAGTCCGCCATCCGTGGAAGCGAGTCCTTCAAGCGCATAACTTCCGACATCGTACTGCAGCAATCCCAATGCAGTGCCCCCATTTCTGAGGTGCTGTCCCGATACGGCGCTGAATTGTGCCTGAAAAGCAGGTGATATTCGCCTCACCAGGAGCGCCTCTAACTGTGACCGTGGTAGATATAGTCTGCCGTAGAGAAGCGACTCATTCGTCTTGTCCGTATCGTCCGGAGGTCTTAGGGAGGGGTCATCTCGTCGAGCAACCGGCGTCAATGGGCGATAGGATCGAAGAAGATCAGGGAGCGGAACGCTTTCGGACTGGGGAGTTAGGAGGACTCGAAGAGGAACGGAGGAGAATAGGTAGGAGATGGAGCCATCAACCACGCCAACCGAGCCCAGCTGGTAAGAGGTGGCGAAATTGGGGCTTGCGAGGGCCGAGAGAGTCAGGCGAAGACCTCGAGGAGTGCTGAAATTCAGCAGAGCTTGGCTGTAGCATTAGTTGAGAGCTCATTGAATAGCCATCCATGGAGGGGAAATCACCGTCCGTCGTCGCATTCAGCGCGGCATACGAATTGTCACGCCTCCACCCGGTAGCCTCGTAGAAAGCACTGTGGACATAGTCCATAAACTCGCGCATTTCAGCGCGCGTTGCACATGCCTGTCTGAAAGGCTAGACTTGGGTCTCTGCGAGAGTGCGAATGTGAAGAATCGTCACCTCATCTAGCAAAGCTGGGAAAGTTATATGGTGGCGGCCGGCACAACATCGGCAATATCTCCATGTTGAAATCTACAGCCAGCGCAGCGCAAATAGATTGCAGCTTGATATATGCAAGGTACGTGCCACCGCATTTATTCGTCTTCATCGGACACAGACCGGTGGCTTCTACTTGACCGAATCAATTTTCATTATGCCGAGCCCATTGTGTATTTGCTACCCAGATTTGATGCATGATTCATAAGAAGAGTATCCCTTTGCAAAGTAACGCAACTCCATAGTTACAAAGTATCAGAATTAATGTTAAAAAAAGCACTTTAGTTGGACAGGTTCTGGATTAACGAGACGTTGTCGCCTTTCAGCAGGATTTGGCCTGTGGCTGGGTTAGCTGGTTTGGAACTTGTAGAGTGCAAGAGGACGAATGCTTCAGTCATCTTACCCAGCGGTTTCCTTGTCTCTTTTTCGTTCGTTTTTGTGACTTGCTTGACTTCCACAGCATCATCAATGACCAAGTTCATAAACTCGTCGAACCCCTACACATAGCATTAGCCGGGAAACTCAAAATAACATTTAGTATGGACATTACTGACCCGAATCTTGCCCTCGATACGGATGGACAGCTGCTCGTATAGCCAGACACTGACTGTGGCATTCTAATGAAACAAAGTCAGAACATAATCCATCAAAAGTGCGCAACAGCTCTTGGTCGTCGAGAGATGATTGGTTCGATGTGGCATCGCGGATGTGATATTGAGGGTCACGGGTCGTGTTATCAAATATTCGCCTGGCAATTGATGCCTTGACTGATAGTTTGGTCGGGTTTCTCTCAGGTGACTTGGCGCTTTGCCAATGACTTGCTTGGAGACAGACATTCGGATCGCGTGCGCAGTCGAGTCACGCAGCAGTTCCGTCACGCAGGTCCGCGGCCACCAATATCGTGCGAGTGTCGTATGGGATGGACGAGGGAGTCGATTGGATCATGTACTCACGTTCTGTAGGAGCTTAAAAATCATGTTGCTACGTAGAGTTAGCTTTGGTAGTTCCGCGGCAATCGTCAATTGGAAGAAGCTCACATAGGCGGGAGCAAGACGCGGCGACCGCCGCCTCCACCGCGACCAGTCATGACGTGGGATGTTTGACGAGGAGTTGTTTATCGGCAGTGGGTAGTTAAAGAAGCGGCAATAGACCGGCCGTGCAATGCTATCGCGGTGCAGCAGTGAGGAGCTTGCCTACTAGAGGTTGGTAGCTCGGTATGATGGTGTTGAGGGCGGTGCCTGGGAAAACTCGTCGGATCGGAGATATGCTTTGCCGCGATAAGGCTATCTTATCGGATAAGGTACAAAGGTACATACGTGCGCACGGCACATGCCCAGCCCACCCTACACTTCCCAAGGTTTCTGTTGAATACGCACATGTACTGCTCATTAAAAACCATTATCTTTCTGTGTTCTTCTTTTTGCTTGTAAATTATCGTCGTGTTGACTGCGATAAGCCTTCGGGGCAGATATATGGTGGTGGTGGTTGTATCTTACTTGTCATCAATCTCTTCTGTAAAGCTGAACGACAAGCATCATATGGATCGAAGAAAACATGTAAGCCAATTTTCTCTCATTCATGGAGGGAAATGTCCGCGGATTGTCTATTCTCTCAAAAAGACTTCTCTATACGGGCTACTTGGTTGACTAACCCAATCTACACGGTGGTCAAACTGCATGGTCCACCTTGTCGGCACTAACACAATGATAAAACGATTGGGGCCCATTTGGAAAATACACAAACCACCAATAGCAAGACCAATAGAGACAGGAAACATGGAGATACTACTAAGCTGCAGTGTTCTTCTTTGGAAGATTTTTATAGCTACTCATCCGCCCCCTCATCTTGAAGTTTTTCTCATCTAAGATCTCTACCCCAAAGAGGCAATGCTGATGATAAATAAGGGAGCAAGTGCAGCCGTAGTGCAAACCTGAAATATTAGCTAGGTTTCACATAGAAGAAGGGATACTAGGAACCTGTGATGTTCCTCATAATTACAAGCAGTAAAATGTCTGGCATAACGTCAAATTCGTACTGTACACCCTTACCTTGGCATGCTTTGGATGTAGTACTACGGTTGAGTAATCAGTCTTATTAATCCGTGATTTATAAGGATCGTAGCCCACGATATAATTTTCTGGTCAGAAAAGTATAAGTCAGACAATCTTGGGTGCCTGAAGTATTTCATGTATTCCACTTCTCGCTATTATATTTACTCATACGTTACTTCAAAGGGGTATGTCTCTTACTTTCTATTTCAGAAGATATCCATTCTTTGTCCCTAGAGTAAGGGTGCTTCACAGTATTCTATAGTTAGCATGGCTCTAATAGTATCACTTATTGTTGGCGATTGTTCCGAGACTAATCATGGTGGAGACAGAGATCTTATATGATGCAATCTATCTCCTAATGTAAAATACCACTTGAGACACAAATTGGCAACGTGCCGAAGTTCCAGACGCTCTTTTGCACCAGATTATGTATCTGTTGACTAAACACTGGTCAGAGACTGTATATAAGAGACGTACAACGAGACTCTCCACCTCATATCAAATATGTTCAGAAGTCCTTGATGTTTTCTTTCATCATCTTTTTTAAAAGAACTTATAATATCATCATGGCTGCACCTTGGCCCTCACCGACAAAGACATGGCACGACGACACATACCCAGCAATTGACCCAACCCGTCCAGAACTCACATTGGCTGGCAAAACAGCAGTTATTACAGGTGGTGGTAGTGGCATTGGGGGAGCCATCGCTCAGTCATTCGCCAAAGCCGGTATATCTCGTCTCGCACTAATCGGGCGGCGACTGCAAGTTTTGCAAGATAACAAATCTCGGATTGCCGCCATCAACCCACAAACCGAGGTTTTACTGATTCAGGGAGACATCGTCAATGGAGACCAAGTCCAGAAAGCGTTTGAGACTGTCAAGTCCACTTTCGGGGAGCCGCATATCCTCGTCAATAACGCTGCCTATTTCGATGGGCCAGTCTCAGCGTTGAAGGACGATGTTGACACATGGTACCGGGCGTTTGAGATCAATGTCAAGGGTAGTCTTCATGTAATCAGGTCCTATCTATCTGTTGCAGCTGCATCACCGAGAATCTTGAACGTGTCAAGTGGGCAAGCTCACCTGGATGCAAAGTTTTTCCCCGGCATGTCGGCATATCTATCTTCGAAAATGGCACAGCTGCGTATGTTCGATGCCATTCAAGCGGAGCGACCTGATGTGTTTATAATAAACTGCCATCCGGGGCGCGTGATGAGTGAAATGTCGGCAAAGATTGGTAGGGAAAAGGGCATAGATACACGTAAGGGAACTACGATATCATTTCTCTTGCGAGTAACATGGTCAAAAGAGTACACTCCAGAAGCGGCTAACTGAACGCCTTAGTTGAACTTTCGGGAGATTTTGGTGCCTGGGCTGTTAGTGACGAGGCCGAATTTCTCAAAGGAAGAATGGTGTGGGTAAATTGGGATGTAGATGAACTCAAAGCGAAAAAAGATGAGATTATTAACAATGACCTGCTAACTGTTGGTCTTGGTGGTTGGCCATTTAAGCAGTAAGCAAATTGGCATGAACCATGAAAGTGTTTGAAATGTATATATATTGTAGGCGCTTGATTGCATGTTACCTATCTATCGAATTGATGAAGTTTGCCGATAGTCCGTTACATTACGAAGCCTGTGCACCACTTGAACAATACTGACTATGTGGCAGATTAAAGCCTTGTCCAGTTCCAGTATCACAATACGCAGTCAAATATAGCTGGCTCATTAAGAATGGCTACGTATCACCAATCATAACATCAAGGAAAAGCTATCAATCTGTCAATTCTCATTTCTGAACTTGGTAATGCTCTTTACCATTCTGATTAGGAACCCAGTTTACTAATATGCTTCTTCGTATTGATACGATATGCTTTAAGTTATTGAGGATACATACAAATAATAAAAGTAAGTGGAGAGCATGTGACACCCCCCAAGAGGCCCTAACATATATGTGAAGCTAGAATCGCAGCTGTCTTTGGAAATGGGATAGCCGTGTCCGAAATTCGTGATCTTACCAACACAGCTTCGTATAGGTATACTCGGAAACGTTCTTTTGATCGCCTATTCCTTACTTACCGTTACTAATCGGGAGATTGAATACATATATGTCTTTGGGCCTTAGTATCAGCCGGAAAGCATAGGCCTCGTCGTCTATTTCGTATTTACTGAAAGAAGGTAATCGCTATTATTACGGTAATAAGGCTACCTACATGTCTTCAGCTTAGGTGACCGAACTTGCGCGCATTTGTTTGTTATCATGTGATGTGAGAGAATCCGTTGGTGAACTTCGAATGTCATGGGTGGCAATACGGATATGGAAATACCTCTCCTTGAGAGCGCAGAGCTGCGGTGGATCTGCTTCCATAGGAGACACGAAATCTAGGAAATACTCCTGAGTTATTAATAGCTACGGGGGACCTTAAAATACCGCAGTATCCATCCAGAATGCCTAGGCGGAAATACACGCCCAGTTGATCTCATCTTTCCTCATTCACTCGAAATGATGAAACTCACCATTTCCAGGCACAATTACATGAAGGAGCAACAATAGTTGAGTGGAAATACTCTCGGCAACACGGAATCCTCCTAGACTTCGGTAGCCGGGTGTGCCGGAATCCCCCTTTGAATCCGCCCACTCCCGATCCTGACATCCACCCGTTCCGCCCCGGGGTTGCGGGGGTCGGGGGTCCCGCGAGTCTCGCTGCGGCTTCTACGGTCAAAATAGCAGTAGCTTATACGGAGGACTTTGTCATGTACCTGCTTCCAGACAAGGTTGATGTCATTTTGCAGCGTATGAAACCTGCGCCTCAACGCAAGTCGGTCCGGACGAGCCTATTGCGAAACAGCTTCTGGAACATGTGCCTGACGACTGAGCTGAAGCATGACGGGCGGCATGAACTGTTCATTAATCTCTTTTACTAGCAATGAATAGCCGGCTGTTGCGAGATGACCGGAGTCCATTGCCGGTGCAATTGGCCCATGACTGATGCCGTGTAAGCAGCGGTGCGTCGCCTGATACAAGTGGAAACGTTGACACAAAATCGCACCATCGATGCGCACATCTGCAAAGCAGAACAAAAGATGTCCCCAAACTTCGTTATGACAAGTTCTCGGCCGTCTTTTTTTTTTTTTACTCCACAGAGAGCGGCCATCGTCAGAATCGCACAATTGACGCCTTCTGACGTGATACCCCTTTCTGTTTTCTGGTGATATTTCGGCTCAAAATGGAGCCCCATTTCGGCTTAAGAAAGAGAGACGGCAATAGCTCCTCCGTACATGCGCTCCATACGGCCGCGGCATTGGCGGGCGCCCCTGTACGCCGTATAGAGGAATTTTTGCGGGTGAGACGAGAAGTAATAATTGCACTCTCCAGATCACTCCGTACTTACTCCGTACGAGTATTACGCTCGTTCGGCCGTACGATTCCAAGTGCTGAGAACATTGGATGTATTAGCTGGCATCCGTCTAGCCGGCGGTTACCGGATGTAGGAGACTTCATGCTCCCTGTTGGCACAGCATTTTTGTATGGATCACCACGAGGGGAGCAAGCCTTGTGTCATTCGTGCTCTGAGACTCTCCAGGACTCTGCGTCGTAAAGGGGTGATGGCCAATCGGATATGCGAGCGACGGAGGATGGCCAGTCTTGCGCTGAGACGAGACCTCGTGACAATAGCAAATGAGAATGACTCGACGGTTCAAATGAACGGTGGACGCTGCGGAAATTTCTGAGGGCCATCACCACGGCTGCCTGTTTTACTACATGCACTCCATATGCAAACTTTGATGCAGTATATGTAGTATTTGTATAAGTGAGAGGTGGAAATCGGCTGGTGAGCCTCTTGGCAAGTGATCAACATGCTACCTACCTTTTACACGTATTTGCAGCAGCCGCTCTGAGATCTCAAATGAATGCCGAGATGTTGCGTTTGCGGCACTGGGCAATTTTGCCGGCTGTGAGTGAGTGAAGAGCTTCCTTCTAGAGCCACGGGAGCGGGATCACGGGCCGCAATGTCCTCATCCTCCTACCAGATTCGTGCTCGCACATGTACGTGTAGTTCAGCTTGAAGCTGCCATAGGACTTTTTCAGCCTGTGCTCAAGCAATAATCGATACGTAATAGCTCACAGGGGGTCCCTGTTGTGCCTGAAGCTGTGAGCGACCAAAGCAGTGTTAGTGCCGATGGCTGAGGCTTTCCGGCACTTTGTTAGAATCACACGTGTTTTGCTGTGCCATGATCGTCAAGCCACATCGAGCACGGGCAGGGAAAATTTTTTCTTTTTCTTTTTTCCCTTTATTCCCATTTCCCCTGTTAGGTGCCGCATTGGGTAACTCAGGACGACGGGACCTGGATGGGAACACAAAAACAGCTGTTTAAATGAAAGACGGCCCCATCTTCCTCCAGATTGCTTCCGTATTCTGTCAAACGGAGACGAATTTATGTAATGACACCGAGCAAAATGTCAACTGTACGACCGTAAACGGCAGTAATTTAGAGTAGATTGAATCAGGAACAACAAGACGGCCACGGGGATCCAGAAGGAAAAAAAAGAAAAGAAAAAAAAACTTGAATATTGTCACTGCGCGATCCACTACGGAGCAGCAATATTCGGTAGCCTGCCGATGCATCGAAGAACCAGCCCCGCCTAGTCTACATCAAGGTAGTATTCTGCAGAGTAGTGCAGAGTAGCAGGCGGTTGTCCTGCCCGTAAAATTTTTTTTTAGCATCTCCGTGGAGACGACGAAGACCAAGTTGCTGGAGACAGAAAAAATCACATTTGCCTGGTGACCTGGTTACTATACCTGTTGCAGAGCAGTGGCGAGCCCTGCACGAATCGAGGCCAGCTGGAGCTTCGTGTGCCGGCGTGCAGGTCTGTGAATGGGCGGGCGTGCGTCCAAGTTGATCTGAGATGAGATGAGGTGAAGTAGTGTTGATATTTGGTGGTGAAGTGGGAAACTGTGTACGAGTGCTGTGCGGCTTGACGGGGGATAGTTGACACGATATAAGTTACTCTATGAGGCTTACCAACACAGTTTCTCTTTTTATAATCAAACATGAGATGAATGCGTCATGGGATACGCCCTCTGTCTCCAGGTCAAGAGACTGACCTGTGTGATGTTGGGATATTTCAAGGCGTCACGCCTCCTCTCTGTTGAATCTGCTGCTCCTGCACAGCGAGAGCATCACCATCAGCGGCCTGCTTCGGGGTAGCGTCGGCAAGCCAGCCAGGCAACTCCTGAGGCTCAGTGGACATGGACATGGGTAATGGACATACTCGTACATACGATACGAGTATGAGTACCTGCTCCGTACGGAGCATGCAGTGAGGCATCGTGATGCGCTGGAGCTTCGTTTCGGCTGGCGAGAATCTCCATTCTGCGCTGTACGGTAGGGCGCGGGCGCTGTGTCGCGGCTCAAGGGCGTGGGCTCGGGTAACGTCACAGGCCATCACGCCACTGTAGCCTCCACTGACAACACGACATTTAGGGCGTGGGTTTGGTACTTGCCAGCACCTTCTACCGAGTTTGCTGACTGTTTCTGGTGCCGTCCATGTAAAGGGGGAGCTGTGGATGGGGGGTAGTGTGTACTTGAGTCGAGCCCTGTGGGCGGAGCCGAAGAGGTACTCTTGGTGTGATGGGCTGCCTTTGGAACACTTGCTCTTTGCATCCGGCTTTGTATCCTGTACTCGATTGCTCTGCTAAATGAGTCGAGGGGCCCTTTTGTGAGTGGAGACTTGCGGGTAGCAACGCACGCCCTGAGCGTAATGAGTTTGCATGTCATCCCGTGTGAATTGCTAGCCGGTTGAGCCACGGAGACGGACTCCCGCTTCGCGTGCTTTTGCGGTGCGCCTTTGGTCAGCAGACTGCTGTGGCTTTGTGTGAACGCTGGCCGTTTGTTCGTATTTGGTTTGGCAGCAGCTTGAGGCAGTCATTGCCAGCCATCAGTTGCGCCCTCCGCCTGTCAAAGAACGTGTCAACGAGCCGGTGTCGGCGGTGTCATGGCTGGTGTTTAGTAAAGCAATTGACAATTCGATGAGTTGACTTGCGTGATGAATTGGTGATTGAGGTAGTTTACATGCCCGTCCGGGGACCTAAGCAAGTGATGGCCGGTCTGTACCTTGATGGGTACGGGTAGCAGCGCGGTGGACTGCTCAGGCTCGGGCTCATGCTCAGGCTCATCATACTCATACTACCTACTCAAAGGACATCGGACAAGGCCGACGAGGATCCAGTTTAATGCTACGCTTTGTTTTGTCTGATGTTGAGCATTTACAGTACGGAGTACAGGCACAACAGAGAGAGAGTAAAAAAAAAAAATAGGTGGCCCCGAGTTACGAGGGCAAAGTACTACCGCATCGAGACAATAGCTGAGAGAGGGCGGCAAACAAAGATGGAGCTGAATACTTGGCCGGTACTTGGCACGGCTTGTTGATGGATCTTCTTCAACGTGCGGCGCAGGTGCTTCTCCGTCCAACCGATGGCAGTAAAGCCGTCCAATTTCCAATTTGGCTAAGGAATGGGCGTACCAGTCATGTACACACGTGCTGCCACCCAAGTGCCTAATCGGGAAAAGGGGGAGAGAAAGGAAAGTCGACGGACAGGCAAAAAGAAAACGACGAGGAGGAGGAGAAAGAAAAAAAAAAAACTGGGAGAACAAGGAGCCCCACAGAATCAATCGAAAGGCGTTTCTCTCGATGCCATGCCCCCACCGGAGATCCATCGGCCATCGGTTGGCGGCCGAGAGCCTGGAAAAGTCCAGCAAGATTTTTTGCTTGCGGCCATGGCCATGACACATAGCTCTGGACCAAACCGCCGCATGCCGAACAAGGGACGGACATATATAACTTGACGATGCCCTCGACGATGCTGGCGGGTTACCTCTTTTGGGAAGTTTGTTTACCGGATTGCATTGCATCTCATCGCATCTTGCCAGTGGCATTACGATTTGGAACTTGAACTTGTCCATCAGCTTACTGTACTCGCAAAAGCTACTATCGAAACCTTGCTCTACCCGACTTACACGGACGGCCTCGCAACAGTCAGCACTTTGAAGCCACAACGACAAACCAGAGAGAAAGAACAAAAAAACGCACCGGACAAGATACAAAGGACCCAACTAGACTGCCAATTGTCATCGTCCAACATCCACGCACCAAAATTGAATTTTTAAGCAACAGCACAGCTGCAGCACGCTTACGAAACCGGCGCTGAAATAAGATCATCAGACCGGCTTAATTTCTCTCTGTGCTTATACCTGACCAGTGGCTTCCGCCAAAGTGCCATCTGCCAGAACTAACACCGGCCATCGGCGCCCTTTGCTGAGAGTCCATCACCAGATCTCAGCCCAATCCTTTCCCCAGACGCAGCCCCTCCTTGGCACAGCGCCCGTGTACATCATTTCCGGAGGGGGGTCTTTGCATCATCATTCGTCGGCGGGCTTTGACCACCGCTAGGGCTGAAGTTGCTTTTGAAAGTTAAAAGGGAAGTTGACAGCAACAAAGGATACACAAAACAAAAGAAACATTCAAAGGAAGGAGAGAGAGATAGAGAGAGAGAGGAACAGGTATCTATCATAAAAGGGCCTGTTCCGCCATTCCTCACTCATAGTGACGTTTGCGTCACCCACAGCCACCACAAAACCACCCGCAATCATCAGCTTCTCCCATCTTCACAATGCCCCACCTCGTCTCCAGCTTCCTGCGCAGCTCGTCGGGAACAATCCCTCACATCAAGGCCGTCTCGCGGTCTCGAAACACGTCGAGGAGCAACTCTCGCAGTGCATCCCGCAACACTAGCCCCCATGCCTCGGACAGCGAAGATCGCCATGCCGTCAAGATGCCTGACCTCGCCGAAGCCATCAAGAAGCACCACCGCCTGTCGCTGCACTTTGGCCGATCCGCCTCCAAGGAGCGCCAACAGCACGTTCCCTACTCTCCCGTCGTGATTGACTGGAGCGTCGAGAGCCCGCCCGTCGTCTTCCACGGCAACGCTGAGGAGAGCACCGGCGCTCTGGTCTCGGGGCAGATCTACCTCGACATCAAGGAGGACTTGGTGGACGTTGAGAGCTTCACAGCCAGCCTCAACCTGGTCGTCACCCACAAGCGGCCATTCCAGAACAACTGCAGCGAGTGTCAGACTCAGTCAACCGAGGTCGAGAAGCTGAGGCTGTTGGCTCACCCCGTTCCTCTGCGCAAGGGCAAGCACCAGTTCCCCTTCTCCATCTTGCTGCCTGGCAATCTCCCAGCCTCAATGGACACACCCGTTGTCTCCATTAGCTACGTGATGAACGCCGAGGCGCAATTCCTCACTGCTCCCACAACGCCCGAGGGCACAAGCTCCATCATAACCACCAAATTCGAGCGCATCATCGATGTCAAGCGGGCTCTCCCCGAGCCTCTCTACCCCCACAACTCGGTCCGCGTCTTCCCTCCGACCAACATCAAGGCCGCCGCCAGCTACGTCTCTGTCATTCACCCATCAGGCAATAACAAGATGACCCTCAAGCTCGACGGGCTCGTGACCCACAACGAGAGGGTCAAGACGGTTGACCTGTGGAAGCTGAAGAAGCTTACCTGGAAGTTGGAGGAGACCATCAAGACAGTTGCACCCGCTTGCGAGAAGCACAACCCTGGCCTCGCCGAGTCTGCCAACAAGGGCCTGCCCCGAAGCGAAACCCGCGTCATCGGCGAGAAGCACCTCACCGAGGGCTGGAAATCCGACTACACCGGCGCGGACGGCATCGTCGACATGGAATTCGAATTCTGTGTCAACCAGCTCAAGCCGCACTCCCACGCCCTCAAGTACGCTTGCGATACCAAGACTCAAGACGGAACAGAAGTGACCCACTCTCTGCTGCTGGAGTTGGTTGTCTCGAAGGAATATGCACAAGAGGGCAAGACACACATCTCGCACCAGACTGGCACCGGCCGGATTCTGCGAATGCACTTTGCCGTCGTCTTGACTGACAACGGCGGCCTGAGCGTCAGCTGGGACAACGAAGCGCCTCCGGTTTACCAGGATGTGCCTCCCAGCCCTCCCGAATATGCTCAGGATGAGCTCCCCATCGAGTACGACGACCTCGAAGAACTAGTTGCCGCAAGGGCGACGGCACCCAACAGCCGAAGGGGTAGCCAAGAATTAGCATGAAAGCGACGATACCCACCACTTTCTTTTTTGTCAATTTACTCTTCTTTACATATTTTTATTATTTTTCTATTCATTCCATTGGGCGCGTCTATTATCAGCCTACATAGGCTTGGGTGCAGAGCAAAGCGGCTGGGTTGTTTTCGATAATGCTGTTTAACCAGCATATACATATACCCCTACAGCAAAGGACAATATCAGGCGATTGGCTTATTTCTTTTCTCTCTTTTTTCTCTGCATATATACATAACATGATGAAACGTCGGGCGAATTCAACAGACATAGCCACATAGTTGGCTCTTTTTCTCTATTCTTTGGCGTTGGTTTACGGAACGGATACTCTACTGTATACGATGGCTTCTTTCACATGCAACAATGGGTGATGACGATATATAGAATCCGCGAAAAAAAATATATAGCTTTAGTATTTAATCAAACCATCGTCGCTCTCAATTCTTTTCCATCTCTGCCATACGTGATGCTCTTCTGGTTTCCCATTTCCCCTTTCTACCATGTAGATTGAGTTGCAGCACTTGGACAAACTGGCAGCAACTAAGCGATGTCGGCCACATCTACACCTCCAAGCGAGTCGTGAATACTCGTATGCCGCTGCTAGGGCGCCGGCGCGACGATGAGGGCGCCTATCTTGCCTAAACCGATTTAGCCGCGAGTCGAAGCCAATAATAGCAGTACGATGTAACACTCGACAGCTGCATTATGTCATTAATCCTGACCCTGGCTTCGGCATATGAAGGTGTCACGCCCTCTTTCTTAGCATTTTGCTTTCTTACTAATTGTTCTTGATGCATACATAGTCTGGTAGGTCAACTGTGATCTTGCGGTGAAGCCATCAATTCAAGGCAAAGGGCGTAGAGGGTCATCTATTCTGAGAACTGAGCCAGACTACCGGATACGTTCAACCGTTCTGCCGGTCAATCACATTCTGGCATGGATTGGATCGTATGATTCGACGAACGACAAAAGCTTCTTCCCCACGGGGGATGGGATGACTCTTCGGCATCCCCACAGCATTCATTCACGCCCGGTTTTTGAGGGTGAGCGGCACCGGAGCGACTGTGGAGTCGTGGCGGCGTCGCCATTTGCTTGGTGGGGGAGCTCCGAGGACATAATCAGGATTCCCGAGGAGATTACTCCGAGCGGGGCTGGACAATTGGGACTGTTGTCTATTCTCATGGGATCATCGTACGTTGATGTTGGCGACTTGGATTTCTAAGAGGGTGTCCAGGGCTCATTTGTAAGCCGAGCTGGTTTGGGATGACATGTTGCATTGCATATGCATTTGGCAGCGAGGTTAGTAAGTGGCTGCTCGAGTTTAGGGCGTGTATCTGCTGCTGCGAGATGTGAATTTGATTTCCAAGCACTTCTGTCTAGTCCTCATGCGCGATCAAAGGTCTCTATGAGGAGATGTGTTATTGATGACTTTGAGTGCTACAAGTTTGATGAGCCCTCAGGACACAGCATTGGTAGTACTTTTGATCAGCGAGTTGTTTCTGGGTTATTCACTCCAAAGCTCCGAGACTGTTATTCACGTTCAGAGAAGTGTCCGCCTGAATGACTCCTGGGGGAACCAACGTAAACTGCAGCATTTTATCCATCGAAGAAAGCTCATCTTTTGCAGTAAGAGCAACCAACGATAGCCCATCCATCAAGTACTCGCTATATGGGAAATGCGCATCCATCCTCACAATAGTCTTGTTCTATCGCAGGTTGGTCGCAGGCATAGAAATTGGCGCCAACTGCGCCGTCACGTATATCACGTATAGCCCACATTCATCTGTCTTGTTGAAATACCCTGTCGCGCTCGTGACTCCATTTGCATCCATATCAAAGGTAAGAGTTTGATCCTTTTGCGTGATCATGCCGATGCCCACGAGATTAAGTGGACTGAAGGAGTGATCTTGATGCTGGACGCTGGGAACGGATGGTATGGTGAAGGTGTTTGGCGCGCTTAAGAGGAATGGCGCGACAGATGTCTTGGGAAATGGCTATGTCGATGGCTTCTCTTCAAGCATGTGTCAGAAGTGTGCTGCTTGTTCTGCGCCGTTGCTATCCATCGTGGCGATGGTGCGAGCTTGGTATGGGTTGCCATTTCTCGCCAAGGTGATAGTAACTTCTTGGACGTTCCCATGGTGATGGTTGTAAACACCTGAAAAGAATTGATGGCATGCCGTAGAGTTGTAGAGCCGAACTCGTATTTGCATGAGGATGGGATAAATGCATTTTTATACTTAACATACTTGATGGCATTGATTCGGTGCAGCTCCTCTTGCTAAGGCTGTGTCAGTTGTTTGGTATACCCGACTAGAAGGAAGCCTTTACGGCAAGAATAGTTTGAAGGATAGCGACAAGTCCGTCCCGTTTGTCGTACTCGTAGCCACTCACATTATTGGTGACATTATATAGTGAAGAGTTAGAAAACGATGTTTCGAAGAATTCGTTGGCAACTATGAGTTGGGATTGAGCCATGCCTTCTAGCGACAGCTTTGAAGATATACTGTTCGTCAAATTCACCGATTTACCAGCAGAAACTCCAATTTGGTGGAGCTGTTCGGTATTTGGATCGGGGAAATTGGATGGCGTGGGAATTGAGTATGGACTTTATTTCGTCTGAGAAGTTGAAGGAGTGGCAAGAGTCGAGTCTGAGATGGCCACGATGGCTAGCAAGAGCACATGGAATAGCATAGCGAGAATGGTCGATGGCAACAAGGTATATGGTTCATTGAATACATTGTCGTCTTCAGCAGGCGCTTTAAATCATTTGCAGGTTGAGCATGCAAACGGAAGACTATCGGAATATAGGGTCCGATTCTATACTGAGATGGAGTAAAACATTCGAGCGTCGGTGTTGCTGATTAGATGCGAATCCTTTCTGGCAATGAACACGATCATTCATTTGAGCCATGCTAAATGGTTCAAGATATGTTGTCAACTGGTTGAATGTGGTTGAGAGAATTGAGGTGAGCTGCCTTCTTAATTGGACAATATCCAGCTCGATGATAAAGAAATTGTTGCCCTATCGTACTGGAAGTTTGCACTGTCTGATGGTCGCATCGGTTCCCTATTATGTGAATGCCGCCCTCGGTGTTGAGCCCCTGATGCTTTTGCACTTCTACTTCTTATAAAGAAACAACGACATTGTTGATCACTTGTGACTGGCGGAAATGAATAAACAGAAATTAGATTCATCTAGCTATATGGCCTCATTGCTCACATGGCACTCATATCTAGACATTAGTAGTCATCGTGAGCTTAGCTGACCATATCGACGTTATGCAACGTCAACATGCTGGCTTTCCGCCTCGATAGTCTTCGCCGCCGTTCCATGGACGAGCACACCATCTCCAAACGCTTCCGATGCCTCCTCAAGAGTGTACCCATGGGTTTCGGGAAAGGTCAACGCAACTCCTATCAGCTCTATAAGAAGAAGGCCACAAAACACAATGTAATATCTCCAGCTAATAGCCTCCATGGCAACCGGGTTGACAAATCCGTTGTAGACGTTGGTAAGGGCATTCACCATGCTAAAAGTCGTCGTTCCCTTGGTACGAAGATAGTACGGCATAATCTCTGAAATGTACAAGTTCGGGAGGGCGTTCATGCACACGTTGTAGGTGGCGTAGAAGAGGAAAATCATGGCCAGCACTCCCTGGCCGAGCGACTTTTGCTCAAAGTGTCGCTGCTCGTTGATGGCGGAAAGCACCGTCCAAATGACAAAGATGACAAGCATGGTGCCGAGTCCAAAGATGAAAGTCGGCCGGCGCTTGATGCGACCGACGATGAAGCCGCTGATGATGGCAGTACCCAGATTGTAGACCATGAGGCCGCCATTGATAACCAACTGCTCTCGCGCTGAAGTGATTCCGATCGAGTTGAGAATCAAGTTGAGGTAGTACGATACCAAGCCGTTGCCGCAAAGTTGTTGAGTAATGGCGAGCCAGACGACAACAAATAGACGATGACGGTTGGCCTTTGTTCGCAGAAAGGCGCCCCAGCTGACTTCCTGGCTATTCTTGTCGTGGGAGATTGCAATTTTGATCTCGCTCAGCTCGAGCTCTACCAGCGGCATGTTGGCGGCGTCGTTTCCAGCATGGTATTTGACGAGAATTTCTCTTGCCTTGTCTTCCATACCCACATCCACAAGGTATCTGGGGCTTTCTGGGATGAAGAACGAGCCACAGAGCTGAACCAGTGGTAGCAATGCCTGGAGTAAGGATGGCAATCTCCATGCCCATTCATCCGTCACACCCATGTAATTAGTTCCGTATGTGACCCAAGCTGCAATGGTAGCTCCGGCGTACCAAGACGGGCCAAAGATTGCAGTGATAACGCCTCGGTGGCTGGGATATGCCAGTTCAGAGACCAGGCAAGGACTTGCTACAATGACAAGCATACCTCCGACACCAATAATGAATCGGGCGACAAAGAACATGGCGTAGTTCTGACTGGCAGCTTGAAGGGCAGCACCAACGCATACGATGAAACTGCCGAGTCGGATACCCCATAATCGTCCGTATTTGTCGCTGAACCATGAGGCAACGATGAACGTGGCAATATTTCCAAAGACATAGGCGTTAGACAGAGCACCCAAGTGAGGGCCAGTTGGGCTGTGGAAGTAGTTCCTCCATTGGGGCAAGGACTGAAGGCCGTTGAGTAAAGAGCCGTCATAACCATTGGTGGAGTTTCCCAGCAGAGGGATGATGAGGCAGAAATTCAGAAGAAGGAGATGGCGAACCTGCCACCATGGCCGGTCGTATTTTGGAAGAACTTGTTGGAGGGCATCTTCCGGGCCTGCTGTCTCCGCAGCTGTCTGCTCACTCTCGCTCTTCGCCATGCTAGAACAAGTGAAGAGTTATTTTTTCAAGTGAAATAAAAGAGATGGAGGATATCTGCGTGTGAAGCTGAGACGAGTTGAGGCGAAGGATCGTGATGCAACCCTCCCAAAGACATGCTGATCGTGGGGTTTAAATGCTGATCCAAAACCTGGGGCCCCGCACGATCTTGCAGGGCATCGAGCCTTATAGCGGCAAAATAAACTTGTTTCGAGAAGGAGGGAAAAACATAGGTTGTTCAGCCGGTGAGGCGGCACTGCATGTGTAAGAACTGGGCTGAACTAGATCTTGGCGTGGAGGGAAGAATTGGACGTAGAGAAATAGTTGCCGATACTCCGCATATGTAAAGGGACTGGTGGAGAGTCATTGGCGTTGCCGACATTCCACTTGGTTGCCATGACTCATGAGAAACGAACCATAAACGGGTAGCGAACGGTCGATAAAGGGGATTTGGGCTGCGAGCTGGCAAGAGAGGAGGCGGTATAGATAATAGGATTTTGTAATATAACGATTCTTTTACTGTAGCATTGATTCATCTCTATGATCTACAGAGTGGTATTATCTGTTTCTTAAACTTTAGGTGAGAGTCTACCAAACATCACTTCAGTGGCTCTCTCTAGACTAATGTCTGAGCCTGGTCCATAGACAAATACTACAGTCTGTAGTCAGCATTAAGAAATCCGGGAAGTCGGTTTCCAGTTTAGCCTCTGAGCTTATGTGCAGTGTTTATAACAGGCTATTCTGATGTTTATGTTGGCTTTGCTTGCCGACACTCCGCGTGCTTCTCCGCGTTTTACTCCGCGAATATCGATGGTATCGGGAGACACTCCACACCTACGATCTATCTAGCGCCAATTAAATGGCGATTCTCTTAGTTACTGAGATGTAGTTTGTCACAGTGGAAACCCCACGTAGTTCTATATATACGTGCGACCAGCTGAAGAATGCTGTTCATATGCCACGGCTCTCATCTCCATACACACAACTCTCCTTCTTGCCCAGACATTTTGGCCTTTCGAATATCAAAGAAAACCTTTCAAGATGACCGTGGGCGGCTTCCTGCACACCAAGGGGACTAAAATCCTCAAGCCAAATGGCGCTCCCATTGTCCTTCGCGGGGCAGCTTCTGGTGGCCATCTCAACATGGAGAACTTCATCACAGGGTTCCCCGGCCACGAAGAGGAGCACAAGGAGGCGATGCTGAAAGTCATGGGCAAAGAGAAATATGCTTTCTTCTGGTCCAAATTCTATGAATACTTTTGGACAGACAAGGATGCCGAACTATTCGCTTCCATGAAGTTCAATTGCCTCAGAATCCCATTCAACTACCGACACTTTCTTGACGATTCTGATCTTACCAAGATAAAGCCCGAGGGCTTTGCTCTTTTGGACAGAATCGTTGATAGCTGCGCCAACCATGGCATTTACACTATTCTAGACTTGCACGCTGTTCCCGGCGGCCAAAACCAAGACTGGCACTGCGATAGCGCCATCCACAAGGCGCTATTTTGGGACTTTACATATTTCCAGGATCGAGTCATTGATCTGTGGCAAGCAATTGCATCGCATTACAAGAACAATACCTGGGTAGCAGGATATAATCCTTTGAACGAGCCAGCCGATCCAAGTCACACTCGTCTCGTTCAGTTCTATGACAGAGTAGACAAGGCCATTCGAGAAGTTGACCCGAACCACATCTTGTTCCTGGATGGCAATACCTATGCCGCGGACTTTAGACAATTCCCCAAGACGCCTTATGCCAACACAGTCTATTCTATCCACGACTATTCCAATTACGGGTTTCCCAAGAGCCCTGAGAAGTACACCGGCACCAAAACTCAGCGAGAAAAGCTCAAGCAGCAGTATGAGCGCAAGATTGAATACATGAAAGAGCTCAACGTGCCTGTTTGGAACGGCGAGTGGGGGCCTGTCTATGCCTCAAAGATGCGCGGCGATGAGGCTGTCGAGGAAACAAATGCGTCTAGGTACCATGTGCTGAAAGATCAGTTGGACGTGTACGCAGAGGGTGATCCCTCTGGAGACAAGAGTCCCATCTCATGGAGCATCTGGCTGTACAAGGATATCGGCTACCAGGGCCTTACGCACATCTCGCCCGAGTCCAAGTGGTACACTCATCTCCGATCATGGCTTGACAAAAAGCTCGAGCTGGGTCTCGACCGCTGGGGCCGCGATGAGAACATTGCCGTCGAGAATAGCGTTTACAAGCCCGTCAAAGATCACTTCAAGGCAGTCATTCCGGAACATCTTCAGCGAGCAGTGTATCCCAAGACGTGGGATGTAGGCGACTACATCGACCGGGTGCTGAGAGATGTGCTTCTGTCGCAATACTTGACCCACGAGTTTGCGGAATATTTCAAGGATTTGTCGTTTGAAGAGCTGGACGATCTGGCTGGATCGTTCAAATTGGAGAACATGGTTGTTAGACATGAGTTGGTAGAGATACTGCAAAACTCTCACAAAGACTGATAGGTAATAGGATGGTCAAGGTGAGATGAAATCAAGTCCTCAGACGAGACAGATGGTATAGCTAGAATATAAATACCAACAAATATGACACCATAACCCCCCCTCTTGTATATGCAATTCTAAAAGTGATTATACGCGGCTCGCACCTCGAGAAGTCTAAGCGCGCTCCATCTTTTTATACATCCCCCACACACCCTTGATCAATCCCTCTACGGAGTTGGGATCTCCCATATATCCGTCTCCGGGCTTTCCATCCTTGTCTCTCCATACCCCATCATCAGATACTCTTCCAAACAGCTTCGTATTCTGGTTTCTATCGATTCCGTCTCTCCATTTGCTACATATTTCAGGACTATCTACCATGACATTTATCTCCTGGCTGTGGAACCAAGATTGGGTGTCTTGGTTCCCACTTCCTTGTATTCCAACAGTGCCGTCTACGATGAGGAGTTTGACGTGACAGCAGCGAGTTCGGAAGCATTGGTGAATTGGATGATCCTGGTCTTTTCCAACGTAGTCGTATATATGCAGGAGTTCACGCTCTGGTCCGCCTTTTGGAAGGAGAGAGAGTAGGCTGCGTGCAGCTTGTTCGTTTGTCCCACCTTGTCCTGGGATAATTTCTCCGGCATCATTGTACCCAAAGCAGACGTAGTATGTAACTTCAACACCACGTTTTAGTGCCTCAACCAAGGCCGGAATGAGTGGTGCAGCGTTAAGATCCGGGGTTTGAATGAAGATGTGGGTTTTAGCGTTGCGAATTAAAGATAGCCAAGCTTCGTTTTGGGGCACAAAGACATTTTTGGAATCGACACTTCCGTATGGAGGGCGCGAGACCATGGCTATGGGAACTGAATAAGGGGTGGATGTATTAATATAAGGCGTCATTTCATGTCCATCGGGGATATCAGGACCGGTCGGCGCAATATGGTCCTTGACTGCAAGATTCAGTTGGCGGTTTGCAGCCTGAAGTCTCGTTTCATCTGGTTTAGTAGAATAGCACGACTGCATGCGCGCGATTTCCCCAGCCATGTCGACATCATAGTGTGGATCTTCCGGCGTATGCTCTGGAAGACTTGGATGTGCTTGTCCGTTTGCTGCGATATGTTCTTGGTCTGGACCTGTTTTTCGATCGAGATATAGAGGCTCCTCGCTGGACGTTGGCAGCCCGCCCTCTGATGCTGGAGAGCTGTGTGAAGGGAGAATAGGGTCGAAGGGGTGTTTCCATGTGATGAGCGCTGTGTCATAGATGCTATCAACGATTGGCCCTTCTAGATGCGTCATCATTTCCATGTTGGAATTGTCCTCCATATTGTTGCTCATAACGACGGCGATCTTACGATCAACCACGCAAAATTTGGCATGGAGCGTGCCTAGAACCAGTTTATGCAAACTGACAACTTCCATGTCAAGGTTAGGAATCTCTTCGCGAGCAGGCAGCTGGATGGCCTTGGATGAATAAGTCTCTGGCTTGACGCGTTGGTGCGGATCAAGCGCACTGGCGGCCGTTGCCTTGTCGTACATTAATTTCACCACAACCCTTTGATTCCTCTCTCGGGCTCGTCTGGACAGCTCGATAAGCGCATTCTTGACGAGTCTCTGAGCAACCGATGGCGACCAGTTGCAGGTGATGAAGAACACCTCCTTCTCCGCTCGCGCGATGACATTTGAGACATGGCGAATGACGTCCACCAGCGGCGCAATCACGGTCAACGGGATTGTGCCATGAGAGCCCATCAGCGGAGGAGACACGACGCTTGAAAGCGCATCCGCATCCAGACATCGGAGAGCATCTGCAAATGCCTGGAGGAATAACGGGCTCGGAGTCGTCGGGCCCCAGTTGCCGCAATGACGGGCTAATTCTAGTATCTCGGGCGACGGTTGCGGTCTGTCTTCATCTGGGGAGCGACGGAGATCTTTCTCGTAGTGGCCGTACAGATCCTTAGCGATGACTCCGGGGCCCTTTGTCGGGTTCTTGGCAAGGATGGAGCTGACCGAGTTGTGAGCCCGACACAGCCTCAGGACATGGTCGGACACCATTGCGACGGTTAGAGCAACAAGCAGTCAAAGCGGTCAAATTTGTATGTGACTTTGTAAACAGAAGAAGAAGAAGAAGAAGAAGCTCTTGTGTAGAAGCTATACACGATGAGAAGATGGAGAAAGCCAGAGTTGTAAGTTGCAGCGCTCCCTCCCGGCTAGATTCTGCCGACATCAACGTATCGGATGCATCATCAGTTCGTTCCTTTGCTTGATCTCCTTTGCCTCGAGGCTAGTGGTGGGGCCGTGAAACGTCATGGAATGGTGGGCGGCCCTAAAACTTGCTTCTTCCCGTCAGCGTCCTCCAAGCCTAGATCTCGCCTTGTGATGGAATGGCCGACGTGAGTGGCTGCCACCGTCTGGATGCGTTGCCGGATTGCCGTTTTGGCTTCCCAGAAGGTCGCTAGACTGGCCGAAATCCCGATGGCTATGCTGTGGTGGATCGCGACACGTGGGGGAAGAGTTCCAGTAGTCTAGGGGCCTGGACGGAAACGGAGGAGGAAGCAATAGAACGGCGTGGATGGAGGGGGGTTTGATGTTGAGCGGGTTTGTGAACGAGGCCATCGTCATGGCTGGAATAGGAAACCGGATGCTGTGCGGAGCGGTGCATTCGACAGCGCAAAGGCGGCAGGTGATGGACCTCACTTACATGATGATGCATGGATCCATCCATCGTGAAGGTAACTGGACGGGCCCTCTGATCTGATGTGCAGCCGCCCCGCTTGATTTTCCCCGTCAGCATGAACCCATCTCCAAAGATTAGAGTTTCTTTCAACACCGTTGATGAGAGCCAAAGCAACAGTTGACTCGGAGGCTTTGTGATTATACTGGATGGCAACAATAAATGATTCTTCTGTGATTACTACTGCTGTACTCATTTTGTCTTCGTACGACTAGTGTGCATGAGTTGCCATGATGTAGCTAGCCGCCTGCGTTGTGAGATCCGCTACAATCCCCAAGCTCTTAATTTCTTTCATCAGCTCTGTACTTTGTCTATTGCCCCGAAAAAGGAAAACTGAAAAAATTCGAAATTGTAGATTTTACCAGGCGGCAACGGCTGTAAACGCTCTACTTGGGCGCTTGGCATCAAGACATAATCTCGTGAGTAAAACTCGACCCTTGGCCCAACAAGCGGCACAAAGAGTTCTGCCACCGAATGGAGGATACAGACCAAAAGATGAAATGAACCTGCAACCAATTGATTCGAGTTTCCAGCGCGCAGTTTTTCTTTTTAAGAAGAAAAAACCCTGCTCATTGGCTATCGGAGTATTACCCATTGGCTCAATTCGGCTCTTTAACTTATACAGGTTCTTTGTGGGGAGTCTTACATCATCTGCACTCTCAACTGCTTCTCGTGACCCCCCACACCGTACTCTCACTGAAATTAAATATCCGCTTTACAGCACAACAGGATCATTTCACATCATTTCATTGAGTTGTTAAGCTAGTCAGGGTCATAAGCTGTGAGGAATTCCATGAGCCTAGAGTTCTTGAAGCTTAGGTACCTTATGTGGAGGGAGTAGCAGCCTAGCAGCTATATAGATCGAGACGTTGGTCCGCTGCCAATCACCAAGACGACGGCCGTAATCTTTTTTCATACGCGAGGTAGGCCGACTGTGCCAACATATCGCCTATTCCTGTCCTGCCTTCTGGCCTAGAGCTTGATAATCCTTTGGAAAACAAAGTACGATTCTCATTTGGGCTCTAGGAACTAGTTTTAGAACATACAAGTCTCGTGTTTATGTCCACGGCGGTGGAAGAAGAGTCACTATACCGGCCTACAGAGCAATTACAGCAAAGCGATTGAATCTTACATAACACATGATTTTTTCAGATCTCTTTTGACAGAAGTTTCGTGGTAGGAGCAGGGGCAAGTTTGGAATCAATAGTGCCCTTGCCACAGTCAGGACTTGTTAGCTACCCCAGTATACTTCGCAGTAGGCAATTACTTACCAAATGTATGGCTTTGTTGGTTAGCATAATCGAACTCTGGCTGAAACAATTGAATATCTGCCGAGAACTTTCACATATAGCCTGATGATCTTTCTGCAAGGTTATTCTTTAGGAAACGCCGTTGTTCCACTTCCAGACACCTCTCGCCTCGGCCTGATTTCAAATGATGGGATTGCTCCACTTACCACTGATGTTGCAGGCATTATTATCGTCCGATTTTGGACGAGTAAGAGAGCATCCCTCCCTAGAACAGTGGCATCGTAAGCAGAATGTCTTATGCAATTATTCTCTTTGCTACAAGGAATATCTCCCTCGATAATCCCGTTGTAGAGTATTCTCTAGGATCAGATATACTACCCGACGATATTCACAGCTTCCTATTGAATTTTAGTCAGGTAAACAGTGAATTGTTGGCGAGCACGCCACTTATGGCAATGGCGGAGCTCACTACACTTCAGAGACAAGATGTTTATACACCGAAACAATGAGCCAATATTACTTGATTCAGCTGATAATATCATTAGATAATCAGCTGGATATAGGGGCTAACTTACGAGCTATTGGAGAAGCTAGAGAGGACTGATCAGCTTACTCGCATCTACGCATTCGAACGTGGCTGGGAGGCAGTGCCAACGGAGGTGAAGAGCACGAGCCAACAAATATCCTTATTGTCAAGTGAAATGGATCAGGTGCATCAAGCAGATGACCAATAGCTTACCTCTCCACGCTCTATGACGGTGTTCATGTATCTACCGTCAATAGAGGGGGGAATCGACAGCTTGCTATGTAGACTAGAACTCGTATAGCATCTTCGATCTTTTCAAGTCACAGAACATTCTCGGGGCGCAAATTAAAACGCCAAAACAGCCACTCACATGTCAATGCACTCTAGAAATTTATAGAAGGCGAATGGAAATAAAGTTTTGGCGAGGCCAAGACCAGGAGCAATTTACCCGCCACAATCTGGGGCTCTAGCATGTCTTTCGATTTAGCCGGGACGGGTCATTCGGTCTGCTCACTACCCCAGATTTTCCTGCATCAACTGATTTAATGACTCTTGCCGACATTCCGCGCCGGTCGGACCACTATCCCAAGAACTTCATAATAATTAAGACGGCCAAGAGACCAATCATCATGAGCGTTGCGTCGACTCAAGGTCAGCTTGGGTCAAAAGACCACCTGGAAGAGCTCCACACTCCAGATCTCATGACTGTGGCATCTCAGCCGCAAGCAAGAAAACGACCAGCTCCCAGAGGAACCGGAGCGTACGCGCGCAAACGAGCCGTAACCGCGTGCCAAGTTTGCCGGGCCAGGCGGACCAAATGCGACAACAAGAAACCATCTTGTTCTTTCTGTGAGAAAACGGGAGCAAAATGTGTCACCGAGCCTACGGACTACTCGGCTTTTGATCCGGCGAGCCTCAAGATATTGGAGAGGCTGGACCGGATCGAGAGTTTGTTGGAAACACAACCACGAGACAAACCGGATAGCTTTCCGGAACAAAATGACACTGTTAACACGCACAATGAGACCCGTCGACAAGACTCTGCTGGTCGGCAACCTTCACGCTCTCTCCAAATTGTCTCTTCGGAAGTCCTTGGCTGGCCGATTTTTGGTAACCAATTTGGCCTGCAAGCCAATGCCATCGCAGTCCTCCGACGAAAACCTCCGAAACCGATACAACCGTCTTCCTCTGCACTCGAGTCTTTTTTGGGCGATACCAGCGCCAGTAACAGATTGATTACAAACTTCATCCAACATGTCCACATCAAGAATCCTATCCTAGAGCTGGCTAGTATGAAGCGTATCGTCCGGCATGCTTGCCTCGAGGGTGTTGGATGGGATGCTGAATCTTGCTTGGTCCTCCTTGTTTGGGCTTTAGGTGCTATTTCAACGCCCTTTCAACAGCCTCCACAGCCTTGCGACCAAGAGAACCTCGAGCTTGGAGCAGCACTCTATGGTGCGGCTACCAAGAGGCTTGGAATAGTCTTTGCAGAAGGCGGCATACTATCAGCTCAATGCTTCTTCTACGCTGGCGTTTATCTAATGTCAATGTTTCAGCCAGTTTCAGCGTGGAGACATTTCTTACAAGCCTTGGCATACTGTCAAGAGTTTGATTTCGCTATAGAAGCATCACAGAACCCACAAACGCTCACGAGCCCTCCCGAGACGTCGCCCACGGAGCAGCGTCTGTACTGGTCCTGTTGGAAATCCGAGGTGGAACTACGCATGTGTCTTGGGCTCTTTGATTTCCAGACACAGGACCGCGTTTATCCCGGCCATTTCCCCAACCCGCCAGCAAATCCCGAGAAAGACGACAGGGCATGGTTCTTTTACCTCGCTGAAATATCTCTCCGACGACTGAATACTCGCGCCCGTAACGACATTGGACAGATTTTAGCATCGTCAGAGGTCGAAGGCGAGGATACCGAGGCACGTTTAATTGAAGTGGTCGACTCGTATGATCAACAGGCTGAAGCATGGCTTACTTCACTGCCCGAGACGATTAGCATCGATTCAAATCCCCTTGAGGATGATATACTCAAATTCATTCTTCGCTGCCATTTGGTGGACTTCAACGAGCTTATTTTCTGGACATTCATCGACAGGGCGGTTAACAGCAAAGAGAGTTTGACGGAAGATATGAGTCGTTATGCCTGTCGAGGTTTCACAACATGCGCAGATCGTATTCGAATAGCAGGGCTAGGTCATTGGTACCGACATCATGGAACTTGGTTGCTATTGCAGTCTTGTGCTCGAAGTGCAATCGTCTTACTGGCTGCTGCATTTTCGGAACATACACGGAATCTCTTACCGGAGAACTGGGCTCACTCTGTTGAAGCTTGTATAGGCATGCTGAATGATTGGAAAGATGAGGACGCTGGAATTTCAGATCAGGCCATGATTTTGGGACAACTGCTACAAAAGTTTAATAATTAAGTAAGTAGAATGAAATGATGCTTTCAATTAATTTAAAGGACCATGTACATAGTATGATAAAGCCTAATGCTTTTCCAACCACCTTCAAGAGGATATCTTTAGTATTGATCTCCTCTTCAGCCACTCCATAGCTGGAAGACCTCCAAGCAACAAACAAGTCAGGACGCACAAGAACTACATCTCGCTCCCATACCATCCTGCATTGAGTTTCATCCGGAAGATGAAGCCCTTTCAGTGGAATTTGCGACTCCTCTGCAACATCACAAAATTTGTCGGCTTGTTCACCCAATGTTGTAAAGTCAACTATAGTGAGGCTCCGCCCACAAAGATCTAAAATGCTCGTCTGTCCGTCATTTAGAACAACGTGTGGTGCTCGAGCTCCAGGCCAGGTGCTCGGAATGTAATCAGCAACAAATCGACGAGGCTCCGCAGAGGACGTGTCACTGATGATAACCGGAGTGTCTCTGTACCGATGGCCCAGCGTGATGCCCAGCTGCTTGTGAAGCCAGTCTCCAAGCATGAGCTTTTCCGCCATTAAGTGTCGCACCTCACGTCCTTCTTCTGAGTCGGCAACGAGCCTTTCGTGTTCGTCTTTGTCAATGCTGTCGAATCGAGGAATCCCAATTTCCACCATCGCTTTCCGAACCATGTCTATGTTTAGCTCGGCGGCAGACCTGCGCTCTTTGGTATACGAGTCCAAGAGAATGTCTCCTCCCCAACCATGTACGTTTGCGGCAAGCTTCCAGGTCAAATTGAAGACGTCATTGATGCCTGAGTTCAAACCGTGACCACCAGCAGGAGTAAGACGATAGGCTGCAAGGAGTTAGCAGGATGACAGACTTTATGCTAGATTTCACCTACCAAGTCTCCACAAAGAAACACTTTCCCATTTGCCGATCAAAAGGAGTCTGCAAGAGCGACAGCAGCTTCCCATCGACTAACTACACAAACTTCGTCTATTTTGATGTCGGAGGGCTGTCCCCAGCCCCAAAGTTTCTTGTTGATAAACTCCTCAACATTATCGCCTTCCTTGAGATCATTACCAGCGGTAACAGGAACCTGCATTGTAAAGGTGTTTTTGCCGTCTTGGTTTATGGTGACAGCTCCGTTTCCTATGTAAAGGTGCCAGAACTCGCCATGCTTCGATATCTTCGCGACGTCATTCGATATAAAGTGAATCAATAGCATTTTAAGTGGCCTTGGTAAATACAATTAGTGGTGATAATTATTGAGAAGTTTGTTGTATGAAAACGAGAAGACAAGACCTGTGTTATCGTTGGATGTGCACTTACATTCCTTCTTTTTGCGTTTCAATGCCAACTGCGCCTCGAATTCTGCTTCCCGCGCCATCACAACCAATAACATACCGAGATTTGATGACAATTCGTTTATCAGTGGGATCTACAATGGTAGAGTAGGCGCCGTCTTTGGTCTCTTCGAGTGCTTCAAACTTGTGGCCCCAGCATACATATGCATTCGGTAGTCGTTCGACAGCAGACTTCAAGACGCGCTCGTACACTATTGCGGAGAGTCTCAACGGCAACTCAAGTGGGACTAAGCCATCGTTTAAGTAATTTTCTTCTTTCTCTTTATGCTTTGGAGAAAGGCCCTCCTTTTCATCGCATCAGATTTCTTTTGTCTATCATTCCAGAAGATCTGCCAATGTTTCACTTACAATCTGGGCCATGTGGTGGCCATCCCTGCCCAGTCCTGTCGCATAAATTTCGTTAAATCCGTGTGTCACAGGCTCCCCGTTTGATTTCAAAAGGGAGCCAAGGCCAAATTTTCGATATATCTCCATCGTCCGTTCGTGAGTGAGATCCATCTTGGGAAATTTGGTCGTGAAATCATTTCTCTCAACAAGAATAGTATTCACTCCGAGCATTCCCGGCTGGTAGGCTGTAAAGAGGTCGACGGGGCCACCACCGACGATCAAGGCATCTGTGTTGAGGACAGTGAGAGAGTTTGTTGAGTGCGTAGCTGACGACAAGTTTCGTAAAGCGCGGGCTTGGGGGAAAAAGTCAGAATACAGGATATCTAGTGTCTTCAATAATAGAAGGATCCAAGATGCTATAATTGTATTAAACTAGCCAAATTAATATATACCTCGATGCGAATCATATAATTCCCAATCCGATAGCCCTTCCGGTGTCTTATACAATGCTTTGATCACATATCCGTCTCGATACAACCTTGTTGTGGACAGTACCCACAGGCTGTAGTTATACTATCCTGGCACATATGTCAGCTTCCCCTAGTCCACTACATAATAAGGTCTTGATTGCGAATATTCGGTGGGCAAAATGAATAATAGACTGCAATCCGTTTGCCTTAGCTAAACTAATGAAAAGATTAGGAAAAGCAGCGGCAGTATCAAACTCTTACTTTCACTTATTGTCCTCTGGTTCCTTCTCTTGAAGCATTTTTCTCGATTTCTGATTCTGCAGTCATGTTACATTAGGAAACAGCCTGAATGGAAATGAGCCAGCCTGGAGATCTGCTTCATCAGCGCATATAAAATGCTTTATAAATCATTAGATAGCTCTGAATAATAGCTGCAATTCTCTAATATTGATGTAACTCAAGTCATACACGGAGATACACAGCTAGGCAGGGGCACAAAACTGGTAGTAATTTAATATGTACTCATGTTCATATAGTATTATCAATGGATGAAAATAGCATTTGTACAATTGAGACGATAAACCGCTTGGTAGAACGACCTGTGTCATAATAGCGAACTATGGTCTGATATATAAACCAGACTGTTTTCCAAGTGTGTGGGCAAGTGTGTTTCTTCGTTGATAAATCGCTCGCATGATATGTGGATATCGAGATGAATGAATGCATAGTAATGCAGAATGGAAAATTATGTTAGCAAGAAGCGTGAGACAATTATGTGCGGAATTTCATTTGATGGGTGATATAAGCTGATTTTCGACATGAAACATGTCATCATTGACGGCTAAATAGCCGAGATAAACGAGCATAGAAACATCTTCTCTAGTATTACACAGTATCCCACAATGTTCAAGAGGTCTTTCTACATATTCTTCACTAGAGCAGTCGTTTTGATGACCAACCTTCAAAACACCTGACTCTACCGTTCTCAGATGTATTTCGTCCAGTACATCAATCTGGTAATACCTATCCATCATCATGCAAAGCTCAATTCTCAGGGCTGCTCTCTGTCAGATCATCCCAATAGCTATGACGTAGCCAGAATAAACCATATTGTTTTATCTGGAGAGCAATTAGAAGCTTACCACATTGCTTACCCCAGTATACTTCCTGGACCCCTAGACCCTTACTCAAGAGCTCCATAGAGCTCGTTTTGCTAGGCCAATGGAAGAATAGTGTAAGAAAGTTAAACGACTAGCTCAAGAATTCTAAACTAAGGTAGTTTGCAGATGCAAGGGTCTGCAAGTAAGACTGAGATATGAAGACGGGCCATTTCACAGTTAACGATGCACAATGCAGGTGATTTACTCAATTTATTGTATTCATATAGCTATTGAGATACAACGCATTCAAAGGAGTGTCCCATATTTGTGTAAACTTTATGTCCAGTAATGATCTTAATCTGCAAGACAATGACAAGCCACGAAACGTCTTAGCATCCAAAAACTCTAATATCTCGTGCTTATCCGGCAGGCTTTTGTAAGTAGCCCCCATTGATCCCGATTTGATGCATTTATGGGATGGTGAAGTTGGGGGGGACACAGTAGGGGCTGCCATTCTGCTGATCAAACTTGCAGACAGTCTTGGGAGGGCAGGTGCCGGCAAACTATCAAAAGACTGGTTAAGACCTTTCATATTCGACTTGACGATGCTGGAGTGAATACTTACCACCCACTGGCCGCCAGTGTTGCACACTTGCCAGCCGTCGGCATGGGGAAGGCAAGAGTAGGTAGCGGGCTTGCAGCCGTGAGAAGGAGGAGGGTGAGGGCTGGCAGTAGCCAGAGTAGCGAGAGCGGCAAAGGCAACGGCGGTGAACTTCATGTTGAAGGTTTGTTTTGAAAGGAGGTCTTGAAGAGTTTTGAGTGATTGTCTTGAGATCTGGAACGAGAGGCGAATGCTTGCTGGGGTGATGCTGGAGAAAAAGCCAGGATCCGGGGCAGACACAGATGTCTTTATATACCCCAAATCTCACACATTTCTGTCCATTGAAGGCTCACGATGGGAAAGAATATCGGTAAGCCTTAGGATTCGATGCCTAAGAGAACCATGTGTGTCTCAAGCAAGGGGACGTAGGTGGCTGCTCGATCCCTTCGTATCCTCGACGCTATACGAAAAGCCTCATGCTCGAATACGAAGTGACGCTTACTTTTGACCACTTACAGCTACCGCTCATTACTCACTACATCCGACGTACATGAAATAGCTTCACTTGTCTCAGTCAGGCCGTGCCACCTGTCTAAGCTAACCCGGACTACCGGCCAATGCCATATATTCACATCTCATGATTTCAAACTTGTACACTGTGCCATCAGCACTTGGATGATGGAGGAGGACAAGCATGCCAGGTGAGCCAAGCTGTGAATACGAGAGATCGACGGACAGTGAGAATAACGGCCTGCTCCACGGTGAGTGAGCGACATCCGACACATGCAGACGACGGCCCAGACGTTCTCGGCTCAATCCACGCATAGCCTGGGGCTCCGCCAGCGCCATGATTTCTCTCCCCATGGGAATGCCAACTGTCCCGCGTCTCGGGATTCGTTCAGCTAAAGCAGGGCAATGGTGCGGCTGAACGCCACGGTCACATCCCTTTGGCTGGAGGCCTAAAAAAAGCAGCATTAGCTGCCCGCCACTAGCACCAATGAGAAGAAAGAATCACCAAATAGATTTAGTTTCTGGCTGTCATCGCAGCCCAAGAGGTCCTCAGCCCTACAATGTCAAAGCTGGTCTTGTGATTGACGTCCAAAATACGGTGTAACCGGAGCGTAACAGATATTGGAAATGGGCGGGACATCGGACGTTACCTGAGCTTTGTCCTTTCCGGTCTGTCGGCCGGGAGGTCTCAATCCATACTTTCCGGATCCTGCAGGATGGCTTTTTCTGACAGACGGCTATGCGGATGATTGGCGCGTTTCTAGTGGGCGCCATTTATTCCCGTTTGTGGAGGCGGAGTCGCATGTTCATTGTGCTCCGGACGGCTTTGGCCGAGTTCTGGAGTAATTGAGTTTCAAGTTCTGGATCTGAAGTGGCAATTTCTCATCAGAAGAAGTATCGAGGAATGCCTTTTCCCCGTCGAGCTTTCTCCACGGGCAGAGACAAAAAGGGCCGATCGCCTTTAGCCCCGGAACGCCATGGAGAAGCTTTGAATCTCCGTTTGAACGAGACCGGCGAAATAGTAATTGCCACAGTTCCAAAAGTTCAGACCGGCTCGACAAAGCAAAGTTTCGAGATTTTCTCCGTGCAATCAAGTGATTTCCTGTTACGACTTCAAAATTCGAAGCGTGCACGCAGCTGCCTGGCGAGAACTCAAAGTGGCGCTCACGAAGAGGAGATGGCTTGTGAAACAATAACAATTGGCAAGGCTAAATGATCATGTTGCCACGACATTGATCCTTATTCCTCCGTACTTAAGGTACGGATGAAGTAACTGGCCGACGAGAGCCAGACGATCAGCGTAACCTCGTCAGATTCCCTCAGATTATGCCGCATGCTGTGGTGATATGTCGTCTGCCGATCCAATTCTTGCGTTGCTCTTCACTAAGCTCAGAAGCGAACTTAATCGTACAGTGATCCGTAGACGATCACACTCTTTAGCTGATGTGTCATATTCAAAACCAGCTGAGAGAGCAGTGGGGGCGAATGTCTCATATTATCTCACTCTCAGTCAAGCAAACAAAGTAAGCTCTTGTATTGACGATCTCCAGGTGGGTCACGGAGCGCTCCGAGATCCATCAGCTGACCTTGCACCTGAAAGATGGAGACGAAGGGAGTTTGAGAATGATTGAGACGGGCTGAAGATCCATGTTCCGGGGTTTCACTTCAGACACAAGAGGATGCTCTATGCCTCCATCACCAATCAAATAGGCATATGCCAAGATTATATAAGCGTTCATGTTGTGTCTATACAAAGAGTAACATTCCAGAAATTGAGTTCGTTGGCATACATATATATGTGTGTGTGTTGTATTATTTGGAGGGATGGCTAGCGCGACGATGAAAAATGTAACTTCGTCATCGTTCATACTTACTTGTGCTTTATCAAAATCAGCGCGATGATGAACTCAAATGGGGCAGTTTCCCAGTACATCCAGTCACTATCTATGATGCGCATTGAATTTGTAATTACGCAACGCTGCACCCTGTCATTTTTTTTTATAAAAGAATCTACACATATAATCTATGCACGTTGGGATTAGGTGTTTGTTGAGAAAACTGTAACTACATACCTACTAATGTATTTAACATAGTCATTTTTTGCACCTATTTTTGTACATGTGATGAAATAAATACTAGGAAGAATTTACGGCTCGGCTATAACGAGACAGTCTTATGGGACAGTTTTATACAGGGGTTCTAGGGCTGATTCTTTCCCATTGGAAATCCATTTACCTATTCCTACGTGATGCCCAAAAGTTAACGTCTATTATCTCCCTATCCGCCGGGTTTATTAAGTCAACAGAGTCTTTGGTTCGCCGATGCACATGCATAAACCAAACCCAAACCCTCCCTAGCGTTAGCAAGCCATTATGGCTTATGGCAATAACAGGCATGCTTATTGTAAGATCCAATCGCAACGGTAATACATGTCACTCCCCTTGTCCCGCTGCTGTACCGACGGATAGGAGAAAAGTGCCGATCCATGAATTACAACGGCAAAAATAAGGCACCAGAAGCAGCCCCGGCCAATCAGTGCAGCTTCTCGGGATGTGCCTAATGTTGCGGATAAAGGCAGCTGGTGTGACCAAAGTTGCATCACCAGTGGTGCTCTTTAGCTCCCATTGCTTCACGGGGTTTTGACATTTGAATATAGTATGGAGCACACTTGTATAGTAGTATCGAGTTGCCACTATGCCGTATGACTGCGGGGAAATCTGGGGAAGCAGGTTGGGCATTTAATTAGTCTCACTCCACCACTTTGTTCATTCAAGAGACTCTACCGACTCATCGTGCTCAATTCGCAAAGGACAGAACAGCCAATTATCCGTCGGTAAACTGTCGATATTACTATAACTCAGCTTTGATCCCCCTTTTGAGATTCAACCGTCGCTTTCGCTTCTTCCTTAGCTCTTCCATGTGTTGTTGAAAGTTGTTTGTTGCCAAGGGAATATCTGCAATGTGACAATCCGCACCCCGCAAAAACGGCCCGTTATGAAATGAAAGGAGCCCTTTGGCTCGGGCTGAACCGTCTCTGATTCGGCTGGAAGCATCATGAATCGCATGCCCTGGGACTCTACCCTGACGATGACAGCTCTGACACGCAGCAGAGCTGTACCGATTGGGAACAACGTCGACTAATCGACAATGCGACCCTGCTACGAACAATTTTCCCGCCGGGAAGAGCCCAAAGGTCGACGATCATGGCCCTGAATGGAAGGCACGGGTAAATCATCAACAGCTCATCACAATTCAGTATATATAGGTCCATTCACCTCACCGTCTCTCCGATGGCCTTGGATAGAGAGACAAGCCTCTGGCATCAATCGCAACAATGGGCAAGCTCAGCCTCCAAGCCCTCCTCGTCGGGCTTCTGGCCTCCAATGCCTCGGCCGCCCTGGATGGAAGCCGATATCTATGGTATACGTCTCCCGCCACGGAATGGGAGACCGGCGTCCTTCCTATTGGAAACAGTCGCCTCGGCGCGGCCATCTTTGGAGGCGGCAATGAAGTCGTCACCATCAACGAAGACACCATCTGGGATGGTCCGCAGCAGACCCGTATCCCTCCGGGCGGACTTGCTGCGCTGCCAAAGATCCGTTCGTTGCTGATTGCTAACAATTTGACGGACGCCGGTAATCTCGTCGAGAGCCAAATGTACCCAAGCAGCTGCTGTGAGAGACAGTTTAGCTATTTTGGCAACCTCAACCTCAACTTTGGCCATGGAAGCGGAATATCAAACTATCTTCGCTCGCTCGACACGCGCCAAGGTAACTCTAGCGTGTCTTACACGTTCAACGGAGTTACTTACACGTAAGTATTCCAGATCCGACAAGATGAATCTATTGGCTGCTGTATTTGCTGCTGACACACCGCTTGTTCAGTCGTGAATACGTTGCGAGCAACCCGGATGGTGTTATCGCAGCCAGATTTACAGCAAGCAAAGCTGGTGCTCTGACTGTATCCGCCTCATTTTCGAGAATCAACAACATTGTCAGCAATGTCGCCTCAACTTCCGGCGGTGTCAACAGCGTGACGTTGCAAGGAACCAGCGGACAATCGACCAATCCCATTCTCTTTACCGGCAAGGCTCGTTTCGTAGCCAGCGGAGGTAACACTACCCTCTCTGTATAGTATAGGTGAGACGAGGTTGTTTCAAATACTGATGTTCGTAATGTTTAGCTTCTTTCAGCTCCTCCGGCGGTACTCTCACAGTTACCGGCGCAACCACCATTGATGTCTTCATCAATGTCGAGACAAACTACCGTTATTCCACCGCCAGTGCCCTCGCTGCCGAGGTCGACAACAAGCTCAACAAAGCCGTGTCCAAAGGCTTCCAGGCAGTTCACGACTCAGCCATCTCCGACGCCTCCGCTCTTCTCGGCCGCGCCAACATCAACCTCGGCACCTCTCCCAATGGCCTCGCCAGTCTCTCCACGGACCAGCGTGTCAAGTCTGCTCGCAGCGGCTTCAACGACCCGCAGCTGATTACTCTCGCATGGAACTACGGCCGCCATCTCCTCGTTGCCTCGTCGCGCGATACTTCAGCGGCCATCGACATGCCCCCCAACCTGCAGGGCGTCTGGAACAACGCAACTTCGGCGCCTTGGGGCGGAAAGTTCACCATCAACATCAACACTGAGATGAACTTGTGGCCTGCCGGTCAGACGAACCTCATCGAGACGCAGCTGCCGCTCTTTGATCTCCTCAAGGTCGCCCAGCCCCATGCCCAGGAGATGGCCCAGAAGCTGTATGGCTGCAACGGCACTGTGTTCCACCACAACCTGGATGTCTGGGGTGATCCCGCCCCGACGGATAATTTCCCCTCGAGCAGCATGTGGCCCATGGGAGCGACGTGGCTGGTGCAGCACATGATGGAGCAGTACCGCTTCAACGGCGATCTCAACTTCCTCCGAAACACGGCCTACCCTTACCTCCTTGACGTCTCCAAGTTCCTCCAGTGCTACACATTCACGTGGCAGGGCAACCGAGTCACCGGTCCTTCTATATCTCCCGAAAACACTTACTTTGTGCCCACCGGTGCCAATGTCGCCGGCCAGCAGCAGCCCATGGACATGGCCCCTGAGATGGACAACCAGCTTATGCGAGATGTCATGACTTCCATCATCGAGGCCGCCGCCGCTCTCGGAATCTCCAGCAGCGACCCCAACGTACAGGCAGCCACCAACTTCCTGCCCCTGATCCGGACTCCTCGCATCGGATCCTACGGCCAGATCCTCGAGTGGAGGGCAGAGTACCCCGAGACCGACCCCGGCCACCGTCATCTCTCTCCTCTGTACGGGCTTCACCCGGGTAGCCAGTTCTCGCCCCTCGTCAACAGCACTCTCGCCGCAGCTTCCAAGGCCCTTCTTGATCACCGCGTCGCTAGCGGATCCGGTAGCACAGGTTGGAGCCGTACCTGGCTGATGAACCAATACGCTCGTCTCTTCTCTGGAGCTGATGTTTGGAAGCACATTCTTGGCTGGTTCGCCACTTATCCCACGCCCAATCTCTGGAACACCAACGGCGGATCTACCTTCCAGATTGACGGCAACTTTGGCTTCACCAGCGGCATCACCGAGATGTTGTTGCAGAGCCAGACCGGAACCGTTCATCTGCTGCCGGCTCTCCCCGGCTCCAACCTCCCCACTGGAAATGTCAGGGGTTTGTTGGCCCGAGGAGGCTTCCAGGTGGATATTGACTGGCAGAGCGGCAGCTTTAAGAATGCCACCGTCACGTCTACCAGAGGAGGCCAGTTGAAGCTTAGAGTGGGCAATGGACAGAGCTTCAAGGTCAATGGAGCTACGTATACCGGACCTATCGGTACAAGCTCAGGAACAAAGTATAGCATCACCATCTGATTGCGGGATGGATTGAGTAGTGTAGTATCGGCTTACTGACCTTTGAAAATATTGAAAATAGTTTTGTGCAGCCTCAATCGGGGCACAACTGCATATAGCACATAGTTTGTTTCAAATGAATTTCTCGTCCTGATTTAACCTTGCATCATCATTTGCACCGTGAAATTTGCATAGAAGTAGAAATGTGGTGTCTGTATAATTTACAAAAATATATATGCCAAATTTATAAAAGCAAGAAATACAAAATCTCATCCGTCTAAATTCTGCGCCTCGCACATCTTTCTATACATGCCGCCCTGCGCTACCAAATCAACATGCTTCCCCATCTCCACAATCCTTCCTCCGTAAAAGACACAAATCATATCTGCGTCTCTAATTGTCGACAGCCTGTGGGCTACCGCAATAGTAATTCGGTCTCCTTCCTTTGCTGCCTCGGCCAGCGCACTCTGAACAATCTTTTCGCTTTCGGTGTCTAATGCGCTGGTCGCTTCATCGAGCAGCAGGACTTTGGGATTGCGGATCAAAGAGCGAGCAATTGCAATGCGTTGACGCTGACCGCCGGAGAGCTGTGTGCCGTTTGGACCAGCAGCAGTGGCGAGACCGTCAGGCAACGAAGACACGAAATCCCAAGCATTAGCAGCGCGTAAAGCTGCCTCAACCTTTGAGTCCGAAGCTGTGACTTCCACCGTGGTTTCGCCAGAGCCGACAGTCGGGTCATCAATACCGAGTGCGATGTTCTCGCGAATGGAGCCTTGGAAAAGAGTTGGTTCTTGCTGTACCAGAGAGACGACTCGGCGATATAGTCGCGGGCTCAGCTCCGTTAGCTTATCGCCGTCAATGCTAATGTTTCCAGTGGAAGGGTCGTAGAACCGCTCAAGCATAGCAATCATGGTGGATTTGCCGCAGCCGGATGCGCCAACAAGAGCATAAAACTGTCCTTTTTGAATCTGTAATATGTTAGAGGACGAACGGCGACACTCAGCTGATTGTGTACATACTTCTAGATTAATACCTCTCAACACAGGCGCCTCTGGTCGCAGGGGATACGAGAAGTGAACACTGTCAAGGGCAATTGGGCCACCAGACTTTGGACCTTTATCTGCATTGTCTGGTGTTTCTTGCATAATGGGTTGGAGTTGGTTAAGCCAAAAGATGTAATTGGCCGCATTTTTGCCCTTGGTGATGCCTAGACACAGATATCAGTCAACGAATTCGATGGGTAAAAAGGAACAAAGTTTACTTACTAGTCGAAAACTGAAACAGCTGTGAGGCTGCTTGACCAGAGAAAAAGACACCCAAAAAGGTAACATAGAAGTTATGCATGCTAGTCTCTCCAAACGAGACAAGGCGACATCCATACCTGGACCCGAGTATCAGCATCCCATTTGTCACCAGATGATCGTTTATGTGGCCACTTACCAGAATCCCAAGGCAAGGAAGAAATACTCGATGCACTGTGTGAAAGCAAAGCAAACCATCATGATGGACATTGGCTTCACCGATCCAACAATCGCCTGGTCCAACTCATGAGTGTAACTATTGAGAACCGACTCCTCAATAGCCAGAGATGACACAGTCCGTATGGCGGTGACAGCCTCCGAAGCAATAGCAGCACTTCTCGACTGTCGCATTGAGATGCCGTGGTCGAGCTTTACATCCAATCTGATCTTGAACCAGCCCGATCCTACCATTGGTGGCAAGCCAGCAAAGACAACTACGAGTCCCAGCTTCCAACTGTATGCGATAGCCAAGATGCTGCATGCGGTGATGTTAAACACGGCTACCAGTATCAGAGCAATATTGAAGCCCATGAGCTCTAAGATGGCTTGTGGATTGGCGTCGACGCGACTAGCCAAGGCGCCGATGTTGTTTTCCGGACGATCGAAGAACTGGAGATCTTGGCGTAGCATATCGTTCAAGCTTTGGCGTCGAAGTTTGTGGGATAGAGTCTAGAGGGGCAATCAGTACTGAAACAATGGAATTGCCCATGTCAAAATAAGAGAAGAGAGCGTACCTGAGCGATTGCATTGGTAGCAAACCCTAGTACTCCGTAAAAGATCAAGCAGCCCGCCGCCAGAACAATAAACATGGCAGCAAAGAAATTGCCCTTTTTGGTCATTTCTGAGCCAGTCAAAGTGAAGACATCGATCGTGCTAGACAAAAGAATCGCTTGGCCTGGAAATCCAGCAGCTGATGAAAAGTTAGAATTTTATCTCTTTGCCATTCCAAGTCTTGGTCATCACTTACCTCCTCCAAGGCAACAAAGAACGCAGAATATGTATGCCCACCTCAACTCTGGGTGATCAACCACAAGTTTCCAGACGACAGACACGAATCCCAGCTTTTCGTAATGTTCGTAGTTGTCCCTCTCTTTCTGCTGCTCGAGGCGCACTTGATCCCTTGTGGCGTATCGGCTCAAGCTCTTGACAAGATCAGCCGGATCATGTGCTTCTTTTTCGTCATCTTGGTCCTCTGATTCGGTATCCGACTGGTTCTTTGAGACAGCTAGATCCTGGATGCGCACCAACTGGGCATAAGTTCCGTCTTGCTTCATTAGGCCAGCATGTGTCCCTTGTTCAATGATCTTTCCTTTCTTCATAACGACGATGTTATCAGCCTTGCGAATGGTCGCCAACTTGTGAGCGATGACAATTGTGGTTCGCCCTTCAGAAGCTCTATCAAGTGCCCTCTGGACAACGCCTTCGGCGTGAGGATCAAGCGCGCTCGTTGCTTCATCGAGTAACAAAACCTTGGGTTGAGAAACGATACTCCTCGCAATGGCAACGCGCTGCTTCTGGCCTCCAGAGAGCAAACCGCCTCTCTGTCCAATCTGCGTGTCATAACCGTTTGGCAGTTCCGAGATGAAGTCGTGGGCGAAAGCAATTTTAGCAGCTTCTTCCACCTGGGCCATCCTTTCCTCTCTAGAGGCATGCTCCCACTTTGTGCCAACCAGACCGTGAGCAATGTTGTCAAATGCCGAACCCTGGAACAGCACGGGCTCCTGCTGGACGAGTCGAACATGTTTTCGAAGCCAGTTAAGATTGAGTTCGTTGACTGGTTTGCCATCTAGCTTAATGACGCCAGACTTGGGGTTGTACCAACGCTCAAGGAGGCCAACAATTGTGCTCTTTCCAGAACCACTTTGACCCTGTACGGCTAATGTCAATATTTTTTAAAGACAAAATGTCAGAAGGGGGGAAGAAACTGACCACCAAAGCTGTAACCTTTCCAGCTGGAACAATCAGTGAAAAATCATCTAGCACAGTAATTCCAGGCCGAGAAGGATACGCAAAGTCGACATTTTCCAGTTCGATATGGCCAATGACTTCCGGGGGCTTGTCTCCAGATCCATCAAATGGATTAATGTTGGATTGCCTGTCAATCAGCTCGAAAAGCTGGGCAGCGCCCGACGCAGCTCTCGCGAATTCGATAGAATACGGAGCCAAAGCCGTAATGCTAATAGTCGCAATCGTCACGGAGAACAACACCGTGAAGATTGCGCCTGACGACTTGATCTCTCCGTTGGCGAAAAGATGAATGCCTTGCCAGAAAGCAAGCCCAAAGCCCAGATACATGATTGTGTATTCGATCGAGAAGAGCGCCGCGAACCAAGGCGAGAGCTGGCGTCCATACTTGTGAGCTTCGCTCAAGTACTCATCGAACTTCTTAACAAGCCTCGATCGCATCTCAAAGGCATGTACGGTTCTCGCACTGCCTAGTATTCCTTCAGCAAAGGCGTTGCCCTTGGCATGAGTGTCGAAGATTTTGGTTTCGACGCCTGCTTCGCTGATACCGACAAACGCCATGACGACTATCGTAGTCGGCGCAATGCAAAGGCAAATGAGGGTTAGTTTCCATTGAGTAACGAACGCAACGATAAAGGCAGTAACAAAAGCAGAAAGTCCCTGAAACGTCAGGCCAAGCTTCTCTGCAATGCCGCCTTGAATGAGCTTTCCATTGGAGGTTGCCTGCGTCGCAATCGATCCACTTGTGCCGAGATCATAGTAGGCAACCTCTTGGCTCAGCGCCGCCTTGAGATATGCATGCCGGATGTTTCGAACGATTCGATATGCGTTGTATGTCAAGAGGACGTTGTATGCGTAAGACAGGACAAATCTGGCGATGCCGAGATAGACAAAGTAGAGCCTTTGATAGTGTCAGTCTCGCAACATGCAGTCTCCGAGAGATCAGGTTTAGAGGAAGAACTTACGCCAACTTTGCGGAATCATGGCGGAGTTTCTCACCACCCGACGCAGGATCGATGACAAAATCGGTGATGGTCGTGACAAAGTTTCCAAAAATGAGATTCTGGAGGGCAATGCCAGCTCCAGAAGCGATTGCAGCGAGAATCGAAATGGCCAATATGATTTGTTCATATCGCCCTGCATAGGTAAAGATTCTCTGTATTCGTCAACGAGACACAATTAGCTGATGTTAAAGAAAGCAAGACTAAACGCCTCGAAGATTAGGCATTGTCTTTCCTTTTCCCCATACTACTTACCAGATACGGACTCCCAGACTTCTTCTCGCCCGTCGAGGTTTCATCCTCTACTGCAATCGGCACATCTACACTAACATCCGTCTGTTCAGCAGCATCTGAGCTTCCGCTGACAGGCACGGCATGTCTCTTTTCTGAGATAGCCATCTTCAATCCAACCCGCCAGCTTCGTCCCCGACTTTGTCGAAGCTGTCGTGAAAAGGTGTACTCGTAGGCTAATGTGGTAAGACTAACTAGCCTCTTTTACCAGCTTTTGCCTTTTGGTTTGATGGAACGTTAACATGGAGCCCCGTTGAGATGTCAGGCAGTTCAAGTTCAAGTTCTTATAACGAACCGCTCACTTGAGGACTCGTACGAGTACGCGTATCTCACCCAAGTCCGCCTCGACAATGCATGTTCAACGACAGACTCTTGCCTCCGACTCTTGATGAAATCATTGATCCTGCTCCGCTCCGCATCCGTATCGGGCGATGCCAACTTTCGCCCTCGGGCTCCGGTGTTTCGGGGTCCGCGGGCCGAATCGCCAAGGACCAGCTAGTCATGCGGCGATGCCGTGTCTGATTGGTTTGGATGATTTTTCCGAATCTTTTCCTCATTCCTTCCAGGGCGATGCCCAATTATAGATGCGAGCACTCTGTAATTCGGCGTAGATTTGCTCAAATGTTAGGCAGTCCTACGTATTTCTGCGCTTGGTAATTCCAGGGTTACGAAAAGGAGTACGAAACACCAAAAGTCGAAATATGGCTCCACGTTTCCACCGCGCAACTTCAATCTACCGTCTCGTGAAGATGACAACTTACAAACAAACAACAACAAACTGCAGCATAAACTCACCGTAATCACTTATCACCACTCTGCTGACTACTGTACATGCGCCTTTGCATTCAACACCCCGCTCGTAATCGTATTGCTGCAACGTTACGCTTCACGCTCCTTCGAGCGTATTGCATATTGCTTACCCTGGAGTAGAATGGGTGTTGATGTGCGAAGATGAACTTGTAGACACGAGTGTTCAGTTCAATTGATCTTTGATATATCGTAGTCTCATTCATTTTCCAAGGGAGAATTGACTTGCAACATGAGATCTTGTAAGCCCCTCGAGACTACTAACAGTTACAAACACAAGCGTTACCACACACAACCACCACTGATGATATCCCAATTATATCACCCGTCATAGAGACTATATCAACAAACTCCAACAATACAAACCCTTTATTCAATCTCAGTAATCGCTATTCCCTAAAACATGCATCCCTCATCCCCCAACCCTAAGCCACCGTCTCCGCCCCCCAATAATACGTGTTGATCCCGCTCCCCAAGAACGTATCCTCATAAACACCAGCCTTCTCCCCCTCCAGCGCCGCCCCAGCACACACAAGCAACGGCAAGAAATGCTCTCCCCTCATCGGCGGGTGCATGTCATTCGCGTGAGGCAGCCGGCGCCATCCCGACACCCTTCGCCACCTCTCTTCCTTACTCTCCGCGCCGACCGCCTGCGTCAACGCGCCGTTCCACTGGCTGACCTTGTTCTTCCACTCCTTGACTTTGGCGGGCGACCCGGATCGCAGCTCCTGGTAGGCCTGGAAGTTGTGCAGGGACGCAAAGCCCGAGCCGACAACGGCGATGTTGTTCTGGCGAAGCTTCGATAGCGCGGCTCCCATCCGCAGGTGCTTCTCCGGGTCCTCCGATTCCAGGACGGAAACCTGTACGATGGGCACGCTGGCGTCGGGGTTCACCAGCAGCATGGGAATGAAGACGCCGTGATCCCATCCCCTCTCGCCGTCGAGAACCGATGCAAGACCTTGTTCTTCCAGCGCGGCCTTGACCTCGCGCGCAACCTCTGGCTGGCCTGACGCTGGGTACTTGAGCGAGTAGGCCGCAGAAGGAAAGTTGTAGTAGTCATAGTAGAGGCTGTGAGACGCCGCAGATGAGATGGTCGGCTTCTCCGTCGACCAGTGCGCCGTCACAAGGACGATGGCACGGGGCTGTTCAGGAGTGCCGAGCTTGAGAATCTTGGGCACTCGGTTCTTGAGCGAGTAAACAATGTCCTTGTGAGAGGGATCACCAAGGACGGGGAGGGGACCTAAGAGTTCGTTCTCATGTCAGTCGTGTAACCACCAGACGAGGAATGAAATGAGATCTCACCTCCGCCATGTGAGAGCGCAATCACAGGAGCCACAGTCATGGTAGCTTTGCGGCTCAGAAAGTACGTTGAAGCGTATCGAAACAGTATGCCTAGTATCACCAATCTGCCAACCAAGGCAAAGAGTCTTTTCAACAACAGTCTCATCAAAATCCCGCGCAGTCACAAAACTCCAACTCAACCGGTCGGACCTTGACCCTTTTATCTATTTCTCTGCTGACGAAAGAGATGAAAAACCTTAAGCCAGACGACTTGTAGAAATCAAAGTCGACGTGCTTCTTCGCGCCTCGCCCCGCTTTCGCCTTTCCCTCATGCAAACTCCTGGCGGGTATCTTTTGCAAGCCTCAAGGGGCACTTTGATGAATCAAATCCGTCCGAGTTGCGCTTATTAACGGCGGGATGGGACAATTGACCAATCATCAGACGCAAAGCCCATCTGATAGCGCGCGCGCTGGAAATAGGGCTGGTCGTAGCCGCGCGCGGGAGGCCGAGTCAAGCTTCAATATCCCACATCGATGCCGCCATCATTCTTTCGAAGCAGCGCGTTTACACATTTGTCATGCTGATTCCATAGTCACCCGGGAGTGAAGCTGGGGTCCCGTTGGAGCTTATCAGATCCTTTTGGAATCCTCAAGAGTGAGCGTGTATTTACAAGGAGAGTGTTCAGGGGGTCATGTGAAATCAACAGTGGTATTCATACTTGATGTGATGAGCATCAGCACAATAATCTGATCTGCATCTATGTATCCTACATCTGTCTACTGAAATACAGCCACCTTGTCTCGTCCGGCACCGACGGCCTTAATCCGCGATCCAATCTCCAGCGGACTTCCCTCGCTCACAATGAAGTGCCCCTTTGTCTGAGCCTCTGGCAGCTCACCTCCGAGAATCTTATGCACATTTACGCTGACGAGATCCAGCGCCGACTTCTCGCTCAGTCGGCCGTTACCGTTGTGGTAGGCTGTGCCGGCTTCGAAGCCCAAGTCGCGTACATACCAGTCCTCGGGCAAACCAATAGCGACTGTAACGCCGGCGTCGAGCAGATAATCGATGGTCGTGCCGTTTGACAGTGGCGCACCGGGAAGCGAGCGGCGTTGATCCCAGTTACTCGGGTGTGCTTGAAGTGGGAGCAGGATGACGCCGACCTTTGCGGCGGCAAGCTCCGTCGCAACAAGATGAGACTCTGAACCGCCAAGAATAGCCAACTTAATCTTGGAGTTGATGAGCTCTTCGACCTCGGACTTGATCCTCAGTGCAGTCGCGATGCCATCGGCATTGTCAATTGTCAGAGCTAGCACCGTCTTTCCGGCAATGACCTTTTGCAAGTTGGCCAATTCTGAGAAGGGGTCTTCAGCTGGCTTGTCCTTGGAGGCAGCAGCCAAGAGCTTGCTTCGCAGCAGGCCAAACAGCTGGGAATAGCTGCCAAGGCTGCGGGAGCTAAGGTCAAGAGTGTAATGCACAGCCAAATCAGCGTCGAATACAGCGCCCTTTTCAGCGACCGTTCTGGCCGCAGTGAGAAAGCCAACACTGGTTCCGTGATGAGATTTGCCGCCCAAAAGCTTCGGTGCTGAAATGGCCTTGGTCACGCCGTATTTGGCGGCAACGTTGAGCTTCTTGCTATCTAGTCGAAGCCCGTCGACGGCACGAGAGAAGGCAACTGGATTTGGCCCGTTATCCGTTACATCCTCTCCATCAATATCGTTCAATCCAATGGTACCGGCGACACCGGTGAATGAGTTGGTAAGATAGCCATTGGTTAACTCGACATGCACCTTGGCAGCCTTGGCAGCCGCCTCATATTCAGAACTGCAAGGGCCGATGCAGGCAATCTTGCCTCCGGACACAAACACGTCCAAGGGCTTGTCGTTGGATTCCAAAATCTCATCGTCAGACAAGAGGACCTTGGTGATACCATGGAAAACCACATCCTGAATCTCGGTTGGCTCTTCGATGATATCAGCCAGCGCCTCATCAGGCACGATGGGGCCCACCGTGGATTTCAAGAGCTCAACAGGGTTCTCAAACTGCGCGGTGCCATCGATCCAAACCTGCACGGGAGTAGCTCCGACACTTAGAGGATCGCTGTCCCAAACGACAATGTCGGCATCGAAACCCGGCTTGACCTTTCCTAGCCTCTTTCCAAAGCCAAGCAGCTCTGCAGGTGCGCTGGTGACGGCAGAGAGAGCGGCGTGATAGGGCAGCCCGTAATGATAGCCCTTGGCGGCCTCAAACAGGACGTGCTGGGCATTGAGGACGGGGTTGTCGCTGACGTATACCGTGGTGAGGTTGGCGTCGTAGAGATACTTGCCGGCGTGCTCGGACGCTTCGAAAGCCTCGGTCTTGTAGTACATGTTGTCGGCAAACAGGGCAGACGCGGGTGGCCGACCTCCATATGTGCGCTTCAGGATCTACACGCAGTTACCAGGGTTAGACTTTGTCACATCAAAATTGTTCCTGAACAGACGTACCTCGGTAGCCAGATAGGTTTGGTGAGCATGGTGAAAGGCCCGGATCGGGAACTTGAACTCGTTTGTATGATCCACCATGGCCTCGAGGTCAGTAATGGTGTAGCAGTGGGTGTTGATATGGACCTGGCCACGAAGAGCTGCGGCAAGGGACTCCCAATGTAACACCTGCGGCAAGTACTCGTCCATGTTCTCAACACCAATGGCATCGGCCTTGTCACACCAATCGTCCTGGCGCTGGATCAGGGCGCGGGCCGTTTCAAAGGCGTGTCGAAAGTCGTAGCTTTCGCCCATTCGGCTGGATGGTCGTCTGTCGATGCCGCCATGCACTCTCTTGGGATTCTCTCCGCAGGCCATCTTCATAAAACGCCAATTGCGATCTGGGTCAGCCAGCATATCTTGGGCGCTAATTTCTTTTCGACCGTCTTTGGGACCAACAGCATGCTTGATGGGATACGCTTCACCGCCCATGCTATTACCGGAGCCGGGGAGGATCAGGGAAGTGGTGACGCCGCCGGACTTGATAACTTCAATCTGGTGATCCAAAGGATTGAGGCCATCAATGGATCGTGCCCAGGGCGTGATGTCGTCGGAGAGTTCATTAGTATCAGCGTAACCCCTCAGGTATGGCAGAGAGTCGACACCAGCATGGCTGTGCATATCGATGATGCCGGTGGTAAGCTGACGCCCTGCAGCGTCAAAGATTTGAGTGTCTTGCGGGAGCGCCCGAGACGAGATGTGAGATTCGACCCGTTGGATGAGGCCGTACTCGAGCAATACGTCGCCCTGGACCCATTCCCAGCCCTTGCCGGCTCTGGCATCGGCCTCGCTCGTGCCCTCGACGGGCTCGCCAATCCAGATGGTAGCGTTCTTGATGAGGGTAGGCTTGCCGCCCTCGATCCATCTGGCGTTCTTGTCTCGTCCTAGACCGATGGGATCTTGCGGCTTGTGCCTGAGCTTCTGGCAGGTCTGCAGGTCATCGTTGAGCTTGTCCAGCGACAGCAGCGGCCCTTTGGCATCCTCTCGCCAGATCTGCTTCCATTGCCCGGCCACCAGCAGCGTCAGACAAGTGGCGGCGAACAGCTTCAAGACGCGAGACCGGCGCAATCCAGCGCGGCGACGGCGGAAATGCGCATCTCCAGACGCTGGCAGTGGCAGCCCCGACGCGCTGTAGGGAGGAAGACGGGCTTTTTCGTCCATGGCTCGCTCTCTCTCCCAGTCCTTGTATCGCGACAGAGGAAATGGGGAGATGAGAAAGGCAACGGTGATGGGAAAAGAAGAAGAAGTACTTGTAGAAAACGGCGAGTTGGAGATCAACAACTCCTTGCACGGAGTTTGTATGTAATCGCCAACTTCGCCTCTCTCATACCTACATGTACCTATCTATCAATCAATGTCCATCTGTTTCATCCAGAGATAAGAGCTCCAGCTCCGAGATGGGTCAAGCCCGCTGCTGCTCGCGGGCTAAGCCGCTTTTTGCAGCAATGGGCGCTGGACGGGGCCGACCCGGGCCAATCATGCTCGCCACAGCACCGCCAAAAGTTCCCGTCTGCAGGGGCCTTGCGGGGTAGCAGGTGCTAAGGCACAGCGCTAATGGCCCTGTATCACGGCGGAGGTGGGCCTGTGGGCGATGCCATCATTTTCGTCATTCATGGCACACACACACTCCATCATCACACAGCTTGAAGTCATACGGAGTATTCGTATAGAGTCTGAAAGGGGAGACGAGTTTGGTTAGATTGTTGCTTAGATGTACTACTATGTAATGTTATGGTATTGCAACTACTCTACAGAGGCCATCAGGGTCATGTTCGCAGTCCAACACCAGACACTACCTACATGTAGTACTACTGGACGTCTGTGTCAGCTTGAGACTGCCCCCGTCCAATATACCATCAGTGTGTGTACATGTACGGATACGCATGTGCTTGATGCAAGAAACAAGTTATTAGCCGGTAGTTGCATGGTCAAGGGGCATGACGGTAGATGGCATTCATTATAGACACATTGCGTATACTCACTCCTTCTATACGGTTGAATCTGCGTGTAAGTGATCACGCTGTATTGAAGCTAAGATCATGCACTCATGAACAATCCAATGCAGTTTCTTGAGCTCTTCTGCCGACTATATCATGATATATTAAAGTCTACATATCTTCGTACTTCATTACCCAGCATAGTACAGTTTGAAGCTGTCACAACATCAATGTATGTAGGTTTGTAGGTTTGCGTAACGCAAAGTACTCACGTATGACCGACAGCCTGCGACAGGCCAATGGTAGATGAACCATGATTCTTACTCTTGATTCAATATTACTCATGTTTATCATTTAGGTCCAGCATTTCGTATAGAGATTACATCCACCCGCATATTATGCTGTGGTAGCCCGGCGCTAGCTGGCGATCAATCTCAACTGCGCTCCAATCGAGTTGTGCAATTGTACATCTAGCAGCCGGATTTGGCATGTATAAATCTATATCATCTTGCGGAAAAGCAGAAAGTAACCTTGAACTTTGTGAAAGATTAAATTGTTTCATGAAATACGATGTAGCTGATAGTTTGCCTGTTTTGCGCTTATCATCGCCAGAATCTCTCGGGCCATTCGGTCACTGCCAAGGCCCAGCGGATCATTGGGACACTCGGAATCCTGCTTTATGAGATATTTCCGGCGATTGAATTCAAGTCATGCAAATACCAGTAATAAACTCGCTTCATATCGTATTCAATACGAACACCAACACTCGAGTATCATGTCAGGCCATTTCGCCTCGACTCCATATAGATGTCCACCTTATCTTACACCGACAAACCCCGCTTCGTTTCCACTCTGCTTTACAATGAGTACCGGCCGCTACTCACAAAATTTAGCTTATTATTCAATTGTTCAATATTTGAGTTGAACCCCAAAAAAATAAGCTGAGTTGAGATTCTAGAGCGCCGGGTGGCGGTAGGAGTTACGGCTTTAAACTGGCCGCAAAACACCGCCTCCTCGGCAGTACATGTATCCACCGCCTGCAGCTTACAAGGCATACAAGTAGATGCAATATGTTTCTGAGTCAATACCACAAGTCTACTTGTAACCTATCGAGAATCCTAGACAAACATTTGCCTGAGTCAACTTACATACGCATCAACTAAAGGCATACATCTATCCGCAATGGCTCCAAAGACCAACATTGTTGGGGAACTCGTATACACGAGCCTCAGCGTTCCCCCTAAACAGTACCAAGATGTATACCGCAACACTCTAGAGCCTATTCTCTTAGCTCGACCAGGTTTGATCTTGGCCATGGCTGGCGTCGTCACTACAAGCACGGATAAACCCAGTTCCACAATGGTTTCGTTAGTAAACTGGGAGAGTGTGGATGCCCATGTAGCGTTCATCGCGGGTCCAGCAGCAAAACCCTTTTTCGAAGCTTCCACGCCTTTAATGAGTGCAGCACCTACCGTCGAGCATTACGGAATTAATGTCCTGGGAACTCCTGCAGTTGAGTGCCGGTACACACGTTTGTTGAAAGCCACCGATGAGAGCGATAAGGAGCTCTTGGCAAAGGTTCACGAGAAGCATGTGGCTACTGAGGGCGCAGGCATGGCGGCAATTAGCAACTGTGCGGAGGATGCATCGTTGAAAACACTGATACTGTTCAGCAACTCTGACAAGTTTGATGCGGCAGCTGGTGTCTCGAATGACAGCACAAGCATCAAGTCTTTTACAATCAAGTGGTATGCAAGAGGGGTGAAGGGCGAATAACAGGTTCTAAGTTATGGATAGACCTATCAACGAATACATTTGGCCTCGTTAGTTCTACAAAATAATTCTATTTACAATGTATGCGGAGATGCTATAATACCGAAATGACTACAACATTGTCTATGAGATATAACGTATGTTGCGTTAGCCAAAATAATGACTTAATAGATCTCAATGCAAAGTTCTCTTGGTAATATTTGACGAATCATACTAATTATCACATCACATCATGTTCACTCAAATAGATAATTTTGTGTTGTCGATAGCTTTATATCTCAGTCGGATTACTTCCGTCTCTACATCTAGCAACGAATCCGGGTATTCTCTTTATCATAGAAACCATCACAAGCCGCTGCAACACAGCTCTCAAGACTACCAAAATAAAACCTCTTCCCCGTAAGACCTGGCCCATAATGGGCATATTTTGCAGAATTCGTCATGATTACCTTTGCAGTTACTGGGATCACCGGTTCTCCAATCATGCACCAGCATGTGTCAGTGATGAGCTGAACTCCAAATCGTTCCAGTTCTTCAACAAGCCCGGCTTGACTTGCCAGTCCATAGGTTGCTCTTCCGCACGTCACCATAACAGCGACTCCATGATGCTTTTCCCTTCCTCGACAAATCTCCGCCAGTTTTCTCATTTCGGCGAAAGAGAAATGCGGGTTTCCGAGTGAGACAAGGTCAACAGGCGAACCGTCTTGTGCGCTGTTGAGCGTCTTCCAAACCGATTCGAGCTGCCTCAAATCAAAATGAATGGATTCAATGTCGCCTCTCCCGCCAGTCGCATCCTGCAGTGTGGCAGCTTCCGGCGTCACTCCAACCATATGAAACATTGGAGCACTTGCCATGGTGGCAAACGCCGCCCCAAATGCCTTGAGATCATCTGTCGAAGGATGAAGAACGTCAAGTCCTACAATAACCGGTATGCGACTCCCAGCAATCCCTCCAACATAGTATCCCAACAACGGATAAAAAGAATCGTCAACATCAGCTTCCCGAATAAAAGGGAGCTCAACACAAAGTGAAGCCCGCCTGTTACTCTCTATATGCAATCCTCCCTGTGGTGCGCGCCCCGTCAGCGCAATACACAAGTCTAGGAAGTCTGGATACTTCATAGTCTTCGCCCCGAGAACGCTATTAGCATAAACAACGGCATTAGACTCGGCCCATGCAACTTGATCGCCCTGCTTGGGTGCGCTAGGAAGCAGATAGGGGGCGCAGGTAAAAGTCGGCAGTGCACCCATGTCTGTGTAAGCCGCGGCCAATTTCTCCGCCGCCTCACCGAATGTAGATGCAACGCCCTGAGCGCGCCAACGCCTTTGATCCACGGATATCGAGTTGAGGGTGGTGGAAACTGAGACTTTGCCTCCCCAGTCACGTAGTCTTTCTGCAAAGCTGAGCGATCCCGGTCCCGTGTAGACACAGCCATCTATATGAACTTGTGTGACGTCTATCAGCTTGCAGGCCCCTTCCATAGCAGCCATGCGCAAGATGATTCGCATGGCAGCTTGAGCAGCTTGGCCATGTAACCCGTTAAGAAACGCATGATCGTTATCAGACAATTCAATATTGTAGCCAAGAGTTGTATCCAGAGCTTTAGTGGTAAGGTGCTCAGTGCTTTGTGATGCACCCCCAAGCTGTACTTTCGCGACTGTATTTCCATCCACAGCCACATAGCTGGCATCCAGCAGCTGTTCAAAGTCTTGCGTCTCCAAAACAACGACTGGAATAGACTTGTGGAAGATTTCTTCCGCAACTACCACTCCAAGTGTTAAGATGTCTTCCCTTCTTGAGAATATCAGAGCCTTTGGCCCCTTGCCACTCAGCAACAGCTCTAGCAACACCCCGCTGCCGGAACAAGAGCCGCGACCACCGGGAATGGCTAGTATGGCATCTTGAAAGTGTTTTCCGCTTAACGGGTGGTGATGGTCTATGACTTCGCTTGTCAGCGGATCAACGCCTCCCCAGAAGCTCAACTCAAGATTGCTTGCGACGAGAGGGCCAGAGGCGTTGCCTTGAACGTATGCAGTTCCATGGTACAGCAACCTGTCTTGAGTCATTTTAAAATGCCTTTCCTTGTCAACTATGCACGAGGTTTTGTTTCGCTCAAGGTCTGCGTTCTAACAGCATTGTTAAAACGATGCGTGCGTCTTCGACGATAGACGAATGGAATCTATTGTGAGTTAGGCAAGATAATACTACAGAAACTCGTCTTCCCCGGAAAGATAGGCAATTATCCGGGCACAACCTATGCTTCCCCAATGGTTGTCAGATTAGGAATCATCATTGGCTCAACATACATTCATGTCCTCCCATCAGCTGACAATCTCACAGCACGTTTACGCGGAATAATTCCAGCTTCCAGTCCGAAATGCAAGTAGACTTGCAACATGACAACGTGAATTTGCCGCTCCAAATCTCGAGTTGGCCGAACTCACATCGATTCCCCCTCCTCCATCGGCCCACTTTGCCGTGTATTCGTAGCCACACCAAAGTCATCGGCCAACTACTTTAGCTCAAATGTGCCCTCCGGGATTCATAATGCCAGGAATTCGCTAACAAAAAAAGGAGAGCTGGGCCCGTAATCAATTTATTTCGGCCCTCCGCGAAAACAGAGGTTGGAAACAGCATAAGACAAAACATGACGCCCCGCCGTTATGCCCCTTTCGAATGAACTTGACAAAATATAATCATACATACTCTGTCTTTTCCCCTCAAAGTCTTTTCAAAAGAAAATGACAATCCTGATAAGAAAGGCCGCCGAGGAAGAAATCCCCGCCATCGCGCGGCTCGCCGGCCAAGCGTTCCACCCAACAACCGATTGGATCACGCGCCAAGTCTTCCCGCTACACCTTCAGCCGAAAGATATTCCCGATGGACAAGCATCGCAGCCGTGGCGCCGGCTAAGGAAGACTGTAGGCTTCAGTACGCCAAACTGCGCAACCATCGTGGCAGTTGATACCGCTCTGAACAACCAAATCGTTGGCTATGCGATATGGGATCTGCCGGTTGGGTCCGAGGAATCTCCCGCCCCCCCTGCAGACCCTGAGCTGCCGGCCGATGTGACTGATTTCAAGGTCTACGCCGAGCTCAAGACGATCCTGGAAGAAGACCATAAAGCCACGTTTGGCGACAGAGGGTTAAAAGACGTGTGGCGTTCGTCATCCCCCCTCCTGTTTCCTCTCTATATACGGGTACTCCTGTATAAACCAGACATGGGACCTCAACCAACTAACGCGCAAACAGATCTCGATATGATTGGGGTTGACCCACACTATCAGCGACAGGGAATTGGCAGGGCTCTTCTGACATGGGGCGTTGAGCAGGCCACAAGAGAGGGCAGAGACTGCTACTTGATGGCAACACCGCAGGGACGACCTCTCTACGAGTCTTTTGGCTTTGATATTGTGCGTCCGTTGAACATGTTTGGGGTCATGCATCATTCCATGATACTCCGAACAAGTAAAACAACGTGAGGCGCCAACGAATGTTATGAGATGGATGTTAGCCAGCGTGTACCACTACTAGAGGAGCTGTTATGCTTTAGAAACTGTTTGAAGGAAGGGAGGAGACTGCTATTATATAAACGATTTAGAGTCTTATGCTATGATAATGTCTGTCTGTATTCAACAAAACATGAATTCGTAAGAAAAAGTCATACGCGTCCCCGACATACCCCATAACTGCCTCGACAATTGCTTTACAAGCGATCTATCATATAATTAATGCCCATATAACCATGTATCCATATCTATCTTGGTACTTGCGACATCCCGAAAGGAGGAAAAAAAGAGATATATAATGAAAACCCATCTCCCCATGTCAGGAGAGATGCATGACTTTTTAAATCAAGTCGCTGAGATTTTTGAGGTAAACAGAAAAGACTCGCTCCAAGAGGCTATCGAGTATCATCTTCATCTACTCGGCCTTCTTTGACATCTTTGTTCGGAGCTTCATCAGCAGGTACACCAGAGAGTACGAGCTAAACACCATCAGTACCACGATAGCAGCGTCGCGCCAGCCGTAGTAGTATTCTTTCAGGTTCAAAGTTCGGAGGTAGTCTTCGCCCTTGGTGAATGCACAAACTTGGCAGTTGGCCGTGGCGCCGGGGTTGATCAGGTTGGCCACGGCACCAGGGCCTGCTGCCAAGTAGCTCTGCAAGTAATCACCACAAGTTGTGCCGTTGGGAGGGTTAAAGGTGGCAAACTCGTGAGTGGAGCACTTGATGTCCTGGCCCCAGAGATCAAAGACCAACATACTACCCATGAGATAGTTGAAGGGATTGAGCCAGTAAATCCAGTATCTCCAGAACTCTTGGATCTGCGCGTAAGGAACCAATACACCGCAGAAGGACACGAGGGTTCCAAGCACAACGGGGTTCGCCAAGACGGCAAAGACCTCATTCGGCGCATAGGCGGCAATGAACTGACCCATACCGGTGTAGAGGAACTCATACATGAGCATGACGAAGAAGGTCGCTCCGGCTCGCTGAGAATCGGCGGGGAAACCAACGGTGTAGTACCAGCACACAAAGTAGAGGACAGCACAGACAATGAGGTATGGGATTTCGGAGACAATCAGTGCCGTCACAAAGGCGACCCACGAATACATCTTGGACTTCTTCTCGCGCGTTTCGAAAATGTCACGGCGGTGGATGAAGAGGGGCTGCAGCTGGGCAAGGACACCTGGGGCGACGAAGATGAAGTTGAAGATTGTGAACAGCTTCAGCTGCAAGTCACCGACAGAGTCCTTGATCATCCAGAAACTGAAACCGTTGAAGAGAGCCGAAAAGATGTGCAGCGCAAACTTGTTGTTGACATAATCAGCATTGCGGAACAAGCTGACGTTCATGCGATGAGTGACAAGCTTGGTCTGCTCCCACAAAGACGTGGCAAATTCGTGACCATCGTCCACGGTGCCGGGGGGTTTCGCCGCAGCCTCGCTGATGATTTGGTCAAGTTCCTTGGTCATGTTGGAGTACTCAGGCGAGGAAAGCCAAACCTCGTTCCAATCCTTGCCTTGCGAAAGTGTTCCGGAGACGACGTCAATCATGTGCTCAGCAGGGTTCACCTCGGTCGGGCATGGAGCATCGTAACGAGCAAAGTAGTCCCTGACAACGCTTGCTTGATCTCCAATCTCTCCGAAATAGACAGTCTTACCGCCCTTGGCCAGCAACAAAAGGGTGTCGAATTGAGCGAACAGCTGAGCAGAAGGCTGGTGGATGGTGACAAGAACAGCTTGGCCAACAGCAGCGAGCTTTCGCAAGAAGCGGACAGTGTGGTAGGCGGATTGACCGTCTAAACCGGATGTAGGCTCATCAAGGAAGATCAAAATGCTGGGCTTGGAGACAAGCTCAACGCCAATTGTGACACGCTTACGTTGCTCAACACTCAATCCAGCACCGACTTCACCAATCAAGGTGTCGGCAATGTCGTGCAGTTCCAACAGATCGATAATGGTGTTGACATAAGCCAGTTTTTCCTCGCGTGGTGTGTCGCGGCTCTGTCGAAGAAGCGCCGAGAATTCAAGAGCCTCTCGCACTGTAGCATACGCCTCATGTACATCAAGCTGTTCGCAATAGCCTGCAGACCTCTGGAATGAGACTGGAAGCGGTCGACCGTCAACCAAGATAGAGCCACGGATAGTACCTTCAGTCTTTCGCTGGGCAAGAACGTCAAGGAGCGTGGTCTTTCCAGCACCAGACGATCCCATCAAAGCGGTCAGGTTTCCAGGCTTTACCCATCCTTGTACATGATCCAAGAGTAGACGGTCACCAGTTGGGGTCTTGACAGTGTAGCACAGATCCTTCCAGGTGAAGACTGAGGAATTTCGAATGAGGTTGCCCTGGACTGCCACTGCGGTGTCATCAGTAGAGTTGCTATCGGACTGACCGCTGACGTTGGTATCATCCTTTTCTGAGATGTTACCTTCAGTAACCTGGCCTTCGACGTCCGCTTGACGCAGAGCATTGACAACCTTGGATTGCTCTCGGGGGATAACCAAGCTAGGTCCATTCTCCGATGACGCCTTCCACTTAGTCGTGAAGACGATAGTGATAGTCACAAACAGAACCCACCATGCCCAAATGATGCCAAAGTTTCGCCAAATATGCGAGTGACTGTAAGACAGTGATTTGAGATACAAGTCACCATCAACATACGTCTGGCCCGGAACTGCACCTCCAACGCCAGCGCAAGCTTGAGCACCGGGGTCGGTGAAGCCGGGGCCATTGGGAACAATGTTGGTACCGACGCAAGGAATAATCTTGCCATGGAATTCGTTGGAGAGAATGGCGTCGAAGCCATAGGCCATCGGGTCAATCCAGAAGAGCCAGACAAACCAGGGGTGCATTCGCGGCTTCTGAATCATGTAGCCATTGTACATGATTGTAGCGGCAATGATCAAGCCAGACAGCTTGGAGGCACCATCAAAGGTACTGAAGGCAGCACCGATGGCCCTGAACATGGCGGTCATACAAAAAGTGGTGGCCACAACAACAATCCAAAAGGTAAAGAAGTGGCCCGCAGACATTGTCAACCCAACCATGAAGTACAGAATCAGGGAGAATCCCGAGACTTGCACCAAGATAACAGGGATATCGGCCGCGATCTGGGCAAGGCAAAAGGCTGCAGGGTGGAAATAGGCAAATGACTTGTGCTTAATCAGAACGGGCCGCCCCATGAAGGATTCGGTAACCTCAGACATGGATAGCAAAGCGTTGAAGAGCAAAGCAAAGAAACAGGCACCAGATTTCACAAACAAGCCTGCAGTGGTGTCGGGAGCGTTATAGAAGAGAGAGCCGGCGATGAGTGCTTGTACAATGGTCGAAAACTGCTTGATGAAAAAGGTGGCCTTGTCACCCCAGATGATCTGATACTGTCTCTTGATGCAAGTCTGTACCTGGACACCAAAGCTCACAGTAAACGGACTCGAGGCTGGCAGTCCCTTGTACTTTTCCATGGCGACTCCTTCTTGGAACGCTTTGGTCTTGCTCTGGGCCTCCGATGTGGTAGGATAATTGTATTCAGCTTGCGCTTGTTCGAATAATGGTGTCTTTTCGTATTCATCGCGAATGGCGCCAGCTGTTCGGGGGAACTTGAACTTCATCTCGTCTCGAATCTTCCTCTCAGTGGGCACAGTGACACCGGTCAAGAAGTCAGCCACGTTGGCACCATCGTCGCAGATGAAACCCATGCTCTCCATGAACGGGCGAGCCTCGCGCATGGGACCGTAGTAGATCTCCTTGCCCTCATCGAGAACGAGAACCTTGTCGAAGAGGTTATAGATGCCGTTTCCAGCCTGGTATAAGGTAACAATGGAGGCCAAACCGAGAACGTCCGTCATCGCTCGAACCGCCTTGGCCCACTCGAGAGCACTAATAGGATTGAATCAGTTAAAACTTCCAAGTATTAAGGCCAGACATATGATACTTACGTGCTAGCGTCAAGACCACGAGTTGAGTTATCCCAGCAGAAAACGCTGCCCCTGGATGCAAGACATTCAATGATGGAAACTCGCTTCCTCTCTCCACCCGAGACACCCCTGACGAATGCGTTGCCGACCTTTGTGTCTACGGTATGCTCGATACCCATGGATTTCAGTAAAAAGCTGCGCGATTCTTCACGGATTTCCTCCTGACTTGTGATGCCGTTGGGCAACTTGTAAGGGACCTTCAATCTCGTCGCAAAGTCCATGGTCTGCCCAACGGTCAGGGATGGGAAGAAGATTTCCTCCTCCGTGTTCATGATAATCTGGCCTCTGTAGCGCTTTGCTTCCTCAGCCTTCATGGAGCCAAAGGAGACATCTCCTGAAATCTGGGCGTATCCACTCCGTCTATTGGCCAGCATGTTGAGCAAAGTTGTGCATCCGCTTCCCGGACGACCTAGAACGAGGAGCATCTCTCCCGGCTTGACACACCCGTGGGCGTTGTCGAGAATCTTTCTCATAGGCGGCTTCTGTCGAGATTCCTTGATCAGTTTTGGGATGTTGAACTGAGAAACAACATTTTCGTGGATGGCTGCATCGGCTCGGACAGCTTCGACGGTAAGGTTCTGGAAAGTGACACCTAGTTCTCGACGGGGAGCGCCAGAAGCACTGTCACGCTCTTGGATGGCGACAACTTCCGGCTTCATCGACCAAGTATTGTCGACAGCGTCTTTGCCGGTCTCTGACATGTTGACGTCTGTCAAAGTCTCATCGTACGTGGACTTCATGATGATCCCGAGTCCGTGTTAGTGGCGAGAGACCACTAACAAAAGGACTATAACAGGATGATGTTGAAGCGAGAGTATGGGTTGTGTTTGAAACAAGACTCGAGAAGAAAAGAAGAAACCGTCTCGAAGAAAAGTCATCATTTTAAGAGCCCCAGCTCCAGCCATGCCTCGTTGTCAAAACCCAATGTTGAGCCAATTCGGTGGACCTCGGCCCTGACAAGAAGGCCGAGATGGGGCCCGGCTTCGCCTGTACGAGCAATCCCAAACAAAGCCATGGCCACGATGGAGCTGGAAGGATGATTGGTGTGAGTCAACCAATGGAGTCGTAGGATCTGTATCAGGATTTGAGCCAAAGGTCCGTCCACGCGGCCTAGAGACACGGAGGCGGAACGTGCCAATCAAGCTCGCTTCCGTTCTTTGTTCGCACTCGGATAGCCGCCCCACGAGCTTAAATTCCCCTGACGCCCGTTCCGGCTTTCCGCCCTTCGCTCAAAACTTCAACGCTCCGCTTAGTCAGTGTGATGAAGCTGCATTTGGCATGTGGTGGGCGAAAATCCTAGGCATCCCACGATGCCCCGAGCACTGGATGGATGCCAAGAGGGAGGTGAAGCGGCAGTTGGACGCTGCCGCACTACTGGTACTGCTCCCTGTAGCAATGATCACGGTAGTATCGGCCAGGACCCAGCTAGATCTTGCTCTGACGAACCACGTCGTTCAGACCTGCGTACCCTGGAGCTGGATAAGATAGATTGGTAGCATCGCCCATTCCCTTTCCCGGCTACCTACATCGCCGGATCTTGTCATGATGCAAGCACTTGATCTTGGGATTTGATTGCCTGCCACATGGTGGTGACGTGAAGGTGTACCCGGCTGAGCATCTCATCTCATCCATCCCAAGGAAACCACTGCATTGGTAATCCATGTTTCATCCCAACGCTGTAATACTGGCGTCCAATCTCTCCAGGAGGAACAGTAGCACCACATGCTGCAGTCGTGGGCGCTGTAGCAACTGACGGCTCCATTGTCGGGGTCGCGGCTCGTTCGACTGCCGCCTTTCTAGAACGCCGAACGCCCAGCTCCAGCTGTACTTGCGTGACTAAGCGGACAAATCCCTTTCACGAGGCCTCTCTCAGCGTGCCCAAAGTCTCCGGATGTCGTCAAAGGCTGTGGTGTATTACCAAGCCACGTCGCTCTCGGCCGAATGCAGGAGCTGCTGGTGCTGGCGCATTGCAAATCAACTCGAGATAGTAATCAAATCAAGCCCCAGAGGATTAACTCACCACCCCCGAAGGATCCCGCCAGCACCCAAAGCCTTATCGCAGCGCTGGTTTGCGGTTGTTCCGAGTTTCTGACAGCAGAGTTCCGACGCCCTGCATCAACTCGGCATTCCTGCCTCCGGCTAAACCCTGGCTCGATCCACCTCAGCGCAACTAGCGCCTGCTCGGACAGGCCCGCTTGAGCGAAACCTCCGCTGAGTCAGCACGCGCAACGCCGAGCGCAACGCATCTCGGGCTGTCAGCCGAGTCGAAAAGCCTATTCCATGCCCGAAGGCAAAAGATCAATTCCCTCCGAGACCCTCATATTACCAAAAGCATCTGCCTGTTGCTTGATAACCTTGATTGTAGCAACTTGCTGTATCATTATCCGATTAGCAAACACAAGCATCAGGTCAGGCAAAGCCAGGAGCATGGTGGCTGAAAGGCGTGCTTGCGACGCTTGTTATAAGCGGAAGGTAATGGATTCACAACCCCGAGTCTCGTTTTTGAAAATGATGGCCCTGTCTGTTGCTCGAGTTTGATGTTGTCTCTACCTTCATCTATCCTACATCCACATACACCATCGCGTCTAGACTTATGCACATACACATGTATCCTCACGCTTATACCTGATGGATGGTGGCAGATCCAATGCGATCGATCCGAACACGATGAACTATGCAACTGGTGCCGACACCATGATCTCCCCTGCACACTTAACCGAATTAGGGGCAGGAAGAAGAAAACTAAGTATGTACTTTACCTGTCACTGCTGTCTTCGCATTTCCGCTTACAAAGACTGTGTTACAGGAGCTCAACTGAGAGTCTTGTCAAACGCCTTGAGCGAATAGAACAAGGCATAGCCAGAGCCAAAGCCATCAAGCAAGGCGTGCAGATACCTCCTCCTGCTGCTGCTGCTACTTCTGCCGCTACTTCTGTTACTGCGGCTCCCGCTGCCGCCTCTCCGGCCTCATTGGCTCCGTCTGACGGCTCCGGCAATTTTCATAGGAAGATAACCCACGGCAGGTGTACGCTCTGTCGATCCAATGACAACTCGCAGTCGCCTCGACAGCTTGGCGCTGCTCCCCTAGGTCAGGTCTGGTTTTCAGGCCAGAAGTTTGCTGCCATCTGTTCCCGAAATGGCATTCCCCATTTCACCTCTCTTGGAGAGCAATGGATATATTCAAGAACAGGGCTATGGCCTAATTTCCGTAATGACGATGCTTTCGCTTTTAAAGAAACAAACCATGTCCCCTCTGCAGCTCTAGCACTCCAGTCTTTGAAGGGGCCTGCGAAGCAGGCTGAGATTCAAAAACTTCCGGAAAGATGGATTACACAGGCGTTGCTTGATACGTTTATAGCGTCTGACTTTCGTCTCGTCTTCCCTGTGGTGGAGCGCGAGTTGTTCGAGGACACAATGCGAGTAGCGTATGGCGCGCCAGCCACAGATGCGACGATTGAGGAGATTGGTAGCAAAGCCTGTGTCCTTGCTTTTCTTTGTGTCACGAGCCATCATTTTGCTACCCAGGACGCTGCCAAGCTTGTTGACAGCGATGCTTGTGCCAAGCAAGCGCAGCTGATGATATCAGACTTTGTTGAAGACGCGAGCCTCACTACTTTGCAAGTAATGGTCATGCTGGTAAGTCCTCCATGACTGGGTATCTTGGTCTCACCTTTGATTCATTTCTGACCCTCCTAGTTCCTCAATGAGACACTATGCGGTCATTTGCAGGGGGCGTGCATGTATCACTCTATTGCATGCCGTACCGTTTGTATCCTTGGAGGACACACTATCGCCAACGACCCGCATAAAACTACCAACCTCACTTTTCAGGAGCTCGAGGAGCGCCAAATCCGCAGGCTGTTTTGGCTCTGCTATCTCTTTGACAAAGACATAGCTTTGAGAAACGGCCAGCCTCCCATCATCAGCGACGAATTCTGCGATCTTACCCTCCCCCAAGACTATATCGAAAACCGCTTCTCGGAAGAGGCTTTCTCAGCCACAACCAGTTCCCAGGTGCCATTTCTCCCTAGTGACTTACGTCTAAGTCTGCTTAAGTCCAAGGCTGTTAGCGCTCTCTACTCTGCCGGCTCGCTACGAAAGTCGGATGCTGAGCTCCTCCGTACCATCCGTGAACTTGACGAGGACCTGGAAAACTGGCGTGCTTCAATTCCACCGGAATACGCGCCCGCGTTATCTATTCGCCAACATGTCAAGCTTTCTGACACTCTGAACATAAACACCAGTATGCTGCATATCGAGCTGCACTTGGACTACCACTATCTCTTGAACATGATACATTGCGCGAGTGGCCGATGTGTGGTAGACTGGAGCGAGTCCGGGAAGGAAATGATCTTTGGCCTACAGTCCAGTCTTGACTTATCTGTCGAGGCCAGTCGATCGACTCTCATCTATCTGAGGGAAGCTGCACCTCGACTGGCCGGTGAAGCGTTTTGGTGAGATTATACTCCAACTTCCTCTTCTTCTTTTGTATTTAGAATCTTTAAATCTGTCATTCTAACCATGTATCCGCTAGGGTCTTCATATTCTACCCTGTCTCAGCCCTTTTGAGCGTCTTCTTCAATCTTTTACGAAATCCTCAACACGAATATGCCGAGCATGATATAGACCTGTTGGCCTCGGCCACCAAAGTCATTAGAAGCATGCCTATGCACAGAGTCACGACCCACGAGCTCGAATATCTGCGTAGGATGGACGCGTTTATTGAGGAGCTAGGCCGTCTCTGTCAAGCAGCAACCGCAAAGGCGCGACACGAGCACGGTGGAGTGGAGTAACTATCAATTGATCCAGCTCTTGTACATGCACTTAGGGCGTTGGGTTTTTCGTCTTGTCTATATTATGAAATTATACCTTCGATGGGACACGACTAATGTTGTGGGAAAGTAGATTAGACATAGATTCATTTACGTGGGGGTTCTTTGTTTATGAGATCGATGGATGTATTTAATGGGTTTACTGTGGTAACGAGTATACGCTTGTAGCATAATTGTTACTGTATCATACTGAATTTGCTAATATACGGTCCTATTAAGTGTCATACTTTGTTCTTTTTCTTAATTAAGCTGAGACAAGCCCTCCTCAATCAAAAAGACAAATGGGACCAATATGGAAGCCCTCTCTCCGCTTGCTGAGGCAATGAGGTGCCTGCGAGAAGCAGTATTGGTCAGGCTCCCTCAGCGTACGGCTGAATCGTTTCTCTCTTTTCATCTCCGCTTCTGTAGCCGGCACTAAGACTCCGCCTGGTGCCTCATCGATTGATCTAGGACGATAGCTAAACTACATGTAACCAGGGTAGTGATTATGACATGAAGTTGAACAGCCGCGTTACAGCTATTCCTGATGTCTTTTGGCCACGCATGTGTAATTAAAGAGCTAAAAGATTTTTTCGACTCTTTAGTCTAAGGTTTATTTAAAAAAAAACATTCAAGATATATTTAAAATATGCGATGCTGGTGCACCATGAGGCTACGCTTGGTCTTCGAGGGAATTTTGCAGCTTCGAAACTGGGAGGACTAACGTTACCGACGAGTAAATAACCGCCCACAAAACTGCCAACGACGTAGATGATAGTTAAGTAAGAGATCTATCACCTACAGATCACCGCTAATAGGGCTTGGATCTTACAAGACGTCACTTCCACAGCGTCAAACTGACTGACCTTGTCCTTGATACTGCCCAGGGCATCAATATCCTTGGACGACATGCCACGCTTCGCGCTGGCCGCCTTGCCCCGGCCGCCAGCGAAGCAGCCACCGGCTTTTCGGTTGCCCATGGCAGCATTGATCTGACCGGGCACTTGCTGCTTGACGTATGCCTGAAACATCCTGAACTTGTCATCGAAGCCTTCCCAATGGGATCGTCGTACTTGTTCAGAGCATCGCTACTCGGTGTTGTTGCAGACTACCTATGTAGTATAACATTTCTAGTAGCAGATTCACACTTTTCAATTCAGCTCCTGCATTTGTGCCAGAGTCATGTGCCAAAAATCGTCGAGGGCATGATTAATCTCTTCCGAGAGCCTATCCGGGTCGGGCGGGTTCCCCTCGCTGTCAAACGAGAACACTATCCGCCAGTCTCCCACCATCTTCAGCTGAGAGCCAGTGAGGACCAGCCCAGACCCCTCGTCGAGGAAGGTGATGTTGTCTTTAGGACAGCATCCAAAGTTCTGGTCGGCGAACACGTCTCCCCACATCAAATCGCCAGGCTCCAACACGACCTGAATTTCCCCGAGGCTGTCCAATTTGTCGAGACCAGACAGCCCATTATATCTGGTGGCCGACTCGTACCAGTCAGGGTGGTCGTCAGTCCGAATCTGAAGCTGCTGGACCTCGGATCGGTGGGAGACAATGTCCTCAATGGCGTAGAGGCTCGAGACGCAGAAGATGTCGAGCTCAAAGTTGACCCACGTCCAGCGCGGCTCGGTGCCCGCGGTAAATGCGCGCTGGTAGGGCGCTTGCTGACGAGACTCGCGGCACACATGCATGAGTGCCGGGGGCGACGTTGATGTTGTCTCGTAGAGGATATCCTTGCCTTTTTGGCGCTGTTTCTTGGTGAATTTGCCATTGCTCTTCTTGGCGCGCATGTTGATGATGCGGCGAGGCGCCACGGCCAAGCTCCAGATGAGGGAGCGGAGCTCAAAGGGAAGGCTGGACAAGGACATGCAGGAGAAGAGCAGACCTAGGTCTGTGCGGTTGGGAGGGAGAGGGAATTGAGGATGCTTTGAGCCTGACAGAGGAGATGCGGTGTAAACAACACAGGACAGGAAAAGGCTGGTGATGAAATGCGAGGATGGAAATTGAAAGTGCCTCGGGATCGTCAGACTGCGGTTGTTCAGCTCCGCTGCCAAGGTCACCAATGAGATGCGCGGATCTGCATTGCACCAACCAAAATTAGAATTCATGGTTAAGAGAGGCCAATCTCTGCCTCCACTTTACATGTAGTCTAAGCTCGTCTTTGCGCTGCCGTCTTTCGACCCCCAAATCGTCAAGAGCTACATCAACTGGTGGAACAATGGCGATGGCGGCACTTCCTGTAAACACCATTAAACGCTATTGTCGCCTTGAGTCAAAATGCTCAGTCATCGTAGGATTCACTAATGCTTTTGTACTAACCCATCTTCACTAAACCATCCATGGATGTATAAATATTTTCCACAATCACTCTAGGTTATTGTTTCCGTGTATTGCCACAAATCTTTATTGAGCTTCCATTGACCAAATTGGGTGAAGCCTAGTACACAGCCAGAACAAGATGCAGAAGAACACCTTTTATTGACTACCCGAGTCGTCAATACCCGGTTCCTTGAGTTCTCTCTGTTGCTATTACCACTTTTTGCTAATTTCATCCAGCATATGGTATCATTAATAGCTTGAATTTGGAACACAGGATGCGGGATAGCACACTTGGACTGCTGGATAGCCACTCCCTTCATTGATTTACTATATAACCAAGATTTCTCTAAGGATCTTTGCATGCTATTTGATAGTGCTCTGTTTTCTGTTTCTCTAGTTGTGACGAATCAGGTGCTTATTGTAGCAACCAGCTCGCGGGGATAGAGTTGAAGAGCCACATCTACACAAGGCAGAGCTAAATTTTCTCAGTATGCGCACAATAACCCCCAGCATTTACTGACGAGGCGGCTTTCCTGTGGTGATTTATTCAATTTTAGCAACAATTAAGCCATATTGATCAACCGCGCGGCACCACCATGGAAGAGAGTTCGGTGCTTAGTTTCCTAATCCGGTAACTATTTTCGAACATGTCCCATTTGACAAACCTGATCTATTTTTATATGACATGCCGCGCTAAAGGGCGATCATATCAGTGCATTCGTCGTCATTAATACCTTACAGTCATGATCTTCGTGTGTTGCGGTGGTACTGACTCCCCAACTCAAATCCGCATTATTACACAAAGGAGAGCGTGCAACACGCATTGGTACTAAATATATATTCATATTCCTCAACCATTCATGTTAGCCTGATTCTCGTGTGGAACGGCAGTATTGATAAGAACCTAATCGTGGTTCATCGAGACGTAGCACAGCAAAGAATCCAAGGCTGATATGACGCGATTGGATTACATAGAGTGTTGAAACATTCTCACTCTAAATGAGCGGGTGAATTTCATCTCCACGTCAGACAGGATTCGGTAGAGTCTCACAACATCAGGCTTAGCCAAAAGTTATATTGAGACCCATCAGATGCGTAACGAGCAATTGCTGAGCCCCATTGGTAGGGTGAGCTTACAGCAAAGACTCTACTTGGATGGGCATTACAAGTGGCGCTGTACTCTCTCTGAGTAAACACTTGCGATTCTTTACATGTATACATGTAACATAAACCACAGCACAAGACCAACGACAATTGCTGTAGTTGGGCACAAACCGATGTGCTGTCAATTCTGCAACCTCTGAGTTCTAGGGTTGAGGTAACTGCGGTATTTAGTGAAAACAAAAAAATGGAGTATTATCTTTCAATGTCGCTGTGCGTAACAACCGCATTCGAGAACCTCGGCATCTTGTCTGTCATCAACCTTGTAATAGTAGATGTGCTGGCGGGCAAATTTCCCATAGTGGCTAAAGAAACCTCAGGAGAAACAAGGCTGGGGTTCAACCTCCCTGTTTGGAGGTACTAAGTCAGGGTCTCGTCTCCCCTGAAAATACAGGTCACCGCACAGATCTATGATTTACGAATAGCATGACATCTACGATCTGAAATAGAAATCCATGAATGCCAAGAAGATTTCTTTGGAAACGTTAATACTAGTTAAATACAGTCAGTGGGATGCCAATGAATGTACAAGCCAGAATGTCTGCATCATGGAATCAACATGTTATCTAGGGGTCGAAACGCAATATTTCGAAGCGGTGCCCTCACATATGGGAGGACTCACTTATGGAGTACAGCTAGTTTGTTTACGATTCCACATGCAGCTGATCATGAGATTGTGAGATATTCTTAGCTATGGTTGTTAGACTCGGGTAGATTCGTTGGGCCGACTGCAGTGTCACGGAATTCCTTCCCGATCGCATGCAGTGCATGACATAGGCTCTTTTGATTTCATCGTGCGACTCGTACGCATTTATGAAAAAGACTTTTGATGTGCCATGGAGCCAGACGCTACCCGATGTATTCTGCCTGCAAAGTGAAATTCCACCTTGAACATGCGAGGATACGTAAGCTATAGGTTTCCTCCAATCGTAGGTGGCGGATTTTCAAAGTTACAACATATCTACCTTATTTATAGCAGTCAGCGGCCGCTATTTATCAGCATTGCCATAAGCCGTTGCCCTTGAACAACCCCTGCACTTTCGTACAAGTGGCTCAACTTCTCCTTACAACCTACAGGCAACCAGCACGATGTCCGGGCCGCTCCATGCCTCCAATTCGTTCAGACCAGATGCGGGGTGGGCAAAAGCACTGCTCGTCTGTCCAGAACCGGCACAGCCGAAATTACGAGTTCCTGGGAGTGATGCGGTTGAGAGGAATCGGTCTTGAGCCTTGTTGTGTGTGGTACCCCAGCTCAACCTCGGGGCGAGCCAACTACCAAAACAATAGTGTAGCACACTGTGTACGCGTGGGAACGGCTCTCTACAGATACGAGGCAAGGCTACCAACAAGATTCATGCGTGCCTCTGGAAAAACAGGGAATCCGCTGAAATCCGTGCAGTAGGAGGCCCGCATATTACACGGATTTTGCGCAACTCGCTGTCATGTTCAGCTGTGAATGGCTGGCAGAAGGGCAGCGTTTGGCAAACTGTATGCGTGTGAACGGAAATCAATAACTAAACAGGTTAAGCGGGCGCTCCTTCAACTCAACAGCCACCCCGTGTAAACACAACTAGCCGTCGGTGAACAATGTCATCAGTCACAAACTCTCTTTAGGGAATTTCTACAAGACCAAAACAAGCTTAAACCTCTGAAGTTGGGTGGGTTGGACATGGCTTGGGTTCGTCCGACCCTAGCAGTCACTGCTCATGTTCAACAGGGCACATGTAGTTGTAGTTTCTCACATTCAGAAAACTCTTCTAGCCCCAAGGATGCTTGTGGATCCCAAAAGCCTTCAGTCATGAGAACGATTATGCGGCTCTGCTGCTCCCAGGCCCACGGCCCCCAGCGGTAAGGCAAACTCCGGAAATTTAGAGTATGCGTGTTGGTCCACTGCCAATCCTTCGGGACGTTGTGTTCAGCCGTTTACACATGGTCTGGTATCTTGTCTGCGCCTTACCGATGCTTGTAAGCAGGGAAGCTTGCCTTTGGTGTTGGCTAGTACCTCAGCCACTGATTCCACCCGGTCAGCACTAACATGGGACAAACGGCGATTGGGCTATCAAACGGGATTTTGGGTACGGACATCGTAAGGCCTAAAATATAATATAAGATGGGATCTCTCTAGTCAGTCAATAGTTGGTGGGCTAACCAGTCAGGTTTTTCTTCTCTCTTTCATTATTGAATTACCGACTGCAGTGCAGCAAACTGTGTTCTCCGTCAAGATGGCACTCTTTCCCGCTCTCGCTGTCGCCATGGGCGTGCTCTTCATTGATGCCGTCCTCGAGCTGGCCTTCATCACCAGCATGGTGGCATGGCTACACAACACTGCCAGCGGCACGTTTGCTGTCAACTTCAACGGCTCGACTTTCGATCTCTATGGCATACCGAAACATTTCTTGGTCGACCAAGGGCACTCCAGCAACGGCGCGGCAGGAACAGCAATCGTCCTCATCTGCATAGGGGGCTCCCTCGTTCTTTTCCTCAGAAGCCGGCCCAACATTCTCGGAGCCAAAGCCACGTCCTTCTTCTACGGTGCCTGGCTTGTCATTCTCGTCCTGGGACTCATGCTCACCATTGGGTCCCTCGGCTATGTCTTTTCTGTTACGAATGCGCATAAAGGACAGACTATCGATCTCGACATCGCTTCGACAACCGGCAACCACAAGTATGCTCCCGACTCGTGGACGCCTCAAAACTGGTTCCCAGCCATGCTGAAGCTCGACCTGGCGGATGAAAGCCAACGAAACGATATTGCCAACCATCTGCGAGTCATGAGGGGATGGCAATACAACTTGATTCCGCTATTCTTGGTTCAACTTACGACCACCGTTCTTGCTATCTTGGAGTTTTTGGAGAGGCGGAAGATGCAACCTTCTTCTGGGGAGTACGACAGCGTGAAGCGGACTAGCGGAGAGCAGAAAATCGTTGCAACTGCTACTCCTTAACTGGACGTTCGATTCGGGCATCATTGAGGATGCGATTCTTGTACATATTTTCATTTTTATTCATTGAGGCAACTGCATGGGGATAAAGCGGGTTACACCTTTGACACTACTACATTTTACTACGACTTGAGCAATCGTTCATTCTGGGTGTGAGATAAGGTTTCTTCATTTTGGCTACTGTTAGAAAACTTCTTCTATTTTAATAATCCAACCTTTCCCTTTCATTAGATCATCCACCTTCTTTTCCACCTTGCCACTTAGAAAGCAGAAACTTCGGTTCAACAGTGATCTCTGACGTAACTAACCTAGAAAGTATTTTGCTCACTTGATCGCAAAATGCAACTGCCATCGATAAATGTTGCATAAAACAATATCTTTGCTGGGTGTTGTAACTGCGCTTGGAGACTTCGCAGCCCTTGTTATCTATCAAGGATAGAAATAAAGGTTGTATTTGTAAAGAGAGCAAAAGATCGAGATTGGATAGCCAATTGTAGAAAAGCGGACGGTTTCGTTCACAACATTACTTTGGGAACAAACTTAGGGGGATGTCTTTTATAAACCCCAGGCTGTTCTTTCAGTTTATTTACAAGCTAATGACAACCTTTGGGACCCTTGCAGTAACCTTAATGAATCGCATGCAGGGCAACTACCCGATAGGGTAATAGTATATGATCTCGGAAATGAACGCCTGTGCGGTATGCAGTTGTTCTCAGTAACACTCTCAATATTGTTAGCATTAGTCCGTGCCATTTTCATGTTCCTCTGAGCCCTGAGATATAGGTGGCGAGGCATTCAAATGTGAGATGAGTAGTTTTCGCGCTGTATCTGGATAATGAGGCCTCGTCCATCGTGAGAGAACAAAGTTAGAAGCTAGCAATGTATGTACTTGTCAGTCAGTAGCATGGTATAGTTATGATTCGTACGAATAAAGTATGGATAGTGTGTAGGCCAGTGCTACAAAGTGAGGATATGGCGCATGCATAATATACCCCCGGGTAATTCCTCTTCAAAATTTGACTCAGGCACATTTGTAATAGTATCGAATCGACCAGTGAAAAATGAAGGGAGAAACTGCAGGATCTGGACCCGAAGTGTTGGGATATATATATATACGTTCATCTACGTAGGTGCCATCATGCTTCACCACTCGAGAAGACGACTCTTCGTGTAGATACTAATCGGACATATCAGGGCTACATATTCATCGTAAATGAATGTGACCGTGACCTCGCCGCGTCAAAGTTGCTGATAGCCGGATGCATTCGTGCAGACTGGTCATGGGATTCCACTGACCCGGCCATGTTACAGACATTGGACGATAACGCACAGCGCATACATAAAAAGTCGATCCCGGAATATGAGGATATCGACAATAATCCCATTCGTTTTGTATTTCCTCCAGAGTCTGTAAGCATTATGAATGAGCCTATTGCCCTCGTCCTTCCTTCCTTCGTAGAGCTTGGTCCACCGCGGACAGCAGCCTTAGGAAGCAGAGAGCCAAGTCAAAGTGAGACACAGAACGAGGAAAACTCAACACGGCTTCACAAGTCACCACAAGAAGAAGCATTATCACAAGGAGAAGACATGATTCAAGAAGACACGCCCCAGGAGGACAAGCATCAAGAAGACACAACATTTTTAGAGTCTCAGACGCTTCCAGAGCAGGAACCATATCTGGAGCCAGAGACTTTACAGCCAATAAAGCGCAAGCGGAACTGGGAACTCTTACAAGATGTAAAGAATACACCAGACATAGAAGAGCTGCATGGCGGAGAGGAACTTCAACAGAATACAGCAGATGATTCTAAATTCACATGCGTCAATGGTTTCCTCTATTATCCGCGTCTTCCGGTTCTGCTTGAAAGCTTAATCCGTGCTCGATTGCGCGTTCCTAAAGACAAGGTAAGCTACTGGGCAACCATGCTGGAAGTTTGGGCAATCCCCTATCTTTGGGCACAGACCATGGCATCGGAGGACGTTTTAGACGGAATTGAAGACGAAGAGGTCAAAGACTGGTTCAACCAAAAGGTTCGAAGGTGGCATTGACCGCGTCACTAATACCAAGAGCAAGGGAAGAGTGCCATTGCCAGGCCACCGGTGGATTTGGATACTTTATTTGATTAGGCTTCGGGCGATGCCTGGATAGTTGAATGAAGGAGACTTTACCACAGGCAATAGATAAGACATTACTTGGATATTCTACAGCATGCATAATATTAGTAACTGGATGATTGACTTGAGCTCTAGGGAGCTGATCAGACTTGTGAGCATATTCTTTCTTTCTGAGACATGGCATTCCATTCTGCCAATTCTCCGAAATTCATAGATGACACTTGTAGATTCAAGGGTTGACGTTATTGCCATGACTTTATTATTTAATTGCTATTTATCAATATACATGTACACTAATTTACAAAGATAAATCCATTAAATATGGGCTCGACTGCCTCTACGCTTACCCCGTTGCCGCCGGCTCTCTGCCGACAGACACTCTTGCAGCCGATCCGTAAGCTTTTCCAGTATCCATTCGCTCTCCCCTTGACTTCCCATTAAAGGGCTGCGATGGCCAACCCACGACCATTTCACAGGCTCCTCGTTGGCACTTGCATCGGGAGAATTATTGTGCTTCTTTGCCTTGATCTTCGCTTTCGTATGCGTGTACGAACTATGCTCGTCTTCCCCAATTAGTTTCAGATACCACGCCCATTCGTCAAAATCATAGTGGTGGTGCTTGGACTCTTTCAGATGACTGGCAACAACTCGAATCTCAGAAATGAGAAGGAAATGCAAATCAGCCCCTGTGGGAATCTTTTGGTGTGCACTGCGAAGGCGCGAGAGAGACCGTCGGACTTTGGAGGTAAAGCTTGACGCTTGTGAAGTATGGCGCACATTCGCGGGCCGACCTCTTGATTCTTCTTGCTCCTCTCTTTCGTCTTCTCTCTCATCTTCTCTCTCTTGTTCAGAAAGGTCTTCTTCCTCGAGCTGGTCCATAACGTTGGCTAGCCGCTGGAGGTGATGCCTCTTCGACTCCAAAATCAATGGGTCTGTAGTTTCGTAGTGGGCTTGAAAGAACTTCCCAAGAGTCATTCTGCTGATGAGATGTTTGAGACTAGCCATGTAAGATTCCTCGCCGGGTAGAATGGTGACATTTCCTAGACGGATGGTGCTGTCTTTGATAATCTTGACGACGGTGTCGCCCGCATGAGAGATGAGCACCGTGATGGTGGGCAAAGCCATGAGGGACCAAAAAACAAAGAAGGATTTCCCGGCGTTGGACACAACTGTAAAATCGCCATAGCCGATGGTTGTCCATGCGATGAAAGAAAAGTAGAAAGCGTCAAAGTATGTCCAGTTTTGGTAGCGTTTCTCTGCCTCCATAAATACCACGGCGCCCACCAGCCAAAACACGAGCCATACCATGACGGAGATGGCTAGAGCCATCCACTTTCTTCGCGTGGATGTCATGGCTTGAATCTTGCGCATCAGAGCAAACTCGGCCTTGCGTCGCTCATATTCGCTGTTGATGCTTTTGTTGCTTTTGTTGCTGTTATCCGTCGGCATGCGTGGTAATCCGGGTTCCTCTTGGATGGGTTCTAGAAGATCGTCATTCCCCTTCCGTGTGATGCTGCGAACGGTTCTTCTCCTCTTCTTTTCCTCCATACGTGCCAGAAGTCTGCGTTTCCCGCCTTCGAGGGTTAGACCCCTAACAGATCCAATGACCAAACCTAGGCTTATGATTCCGACGATGGCGTATGGAATCATCAGTGCCTTTGCAAGATTTGTCGTAGGAGTAAAGTCACCAAAGCCAACAGTGAAGAGAGTGACATCTGCCCAGTACACGGCGTCTAGATATCGCCAGCCTTCGATGTTGCTGAAAACGACAGCCCCAACATGGAGATATATAAGCACCGAGATGGTCTGGAGCATGAGAGTGCGTTGGCTTAGAGTCAGGATAAAATCCTTTGGGTAGTGGCCTGAATAGGCTCCCCAAAACGTGATGCTCATGAGAGTTGCCACGATAAAGTAGAGAACGGCTGCCCAGATACCGTAATAAAATGATTGAGACCAGATCATCTCATCCCGCGGGAAAGGAAGGTCTTCAACAAGAGGCCCAGCGCCTGTACAAAGCAGGCAAATCAGGACGATGGCGGAAAAATACCTGTTGCAGCATTAGCACCATTGCACTGGCTCGTCATGGGACTGTGAGCTTCGTACCATCCCACTATGGTAATAGGCTGTGCTATACCAAAGCGAATTCTCCTTGCCATATTGAAGAGTAGGAAGAAGTTGGAGATGAGGGCAATGCCCAGCTGCACAGCGTTCACTGCCGTTAACCTACATATGAAAAGTCAGAAATATCTATTGCTGCAGGGGATCGTAGATAGTAAGACATGCCACGCTGGATCGGGAATATATGGCGCTGAGTCAGGGTCTCCTCCTTGAATGAAGTGCTGCCTCCATGGCGAAACTAAAGCACAGATGCTGAATGCTGAAGCTATGGGGCCAATTGTGCCGGCAATCATGGGAAAGACGGAGGATAGAAACCACCATCGGCTAAGTAACCAGTGTTAGCGGGTAGTCGTCGCTATTGGCAAACTCTTCTCCCGGTTACTGACGTAGGTTGAAGGTGACAATTGTCGTTCTCAATCGTGGGCTTGCTACGATGGGAAGTCCCGTCGAAGTGGGCATTTGGGTGGTGGTCCTCGCCAACAACTCCATTTCTACCGTTGCGCGTCTTATCAGAACTAAAAGTCTCATCAAGTTGAGCCTCCAGGTCGTGGTCCTTGCCAACAGCCCCGTTTCTTCTATTGCGCGGTGGTGGCGACATTTCCGCGGCTCCGGTTTAATGGCCGTCTGGCGGTCAGGACGAGGGCTCGCAAACTCTCCTGTGGAAGAGGAAACTCTTGTGTTATCTCCACGTCCGCTTCATGTGTTTCGACAGAGTTGAATGAGCCAAGAGTACTTGAGCCGAGTTTATTGAAGGAATTGGCTATTCGTTTGAGCTAGTCGGAGGCAGAGAATTAAATGAAGGACATTGGCGGAATAGTCGGGACCCCAGCCATCTCCCGCAACCGGTTTCGTCTGAATACGCGTGTTTTGGTGAGATGTCTTGGCACGAAGCAAACAGGCGAGGCGAGTTGATTCATAAAAACGGTTGTGCTCTTGGCAGAGACGAGGCCGGATGTTTTGAAGAAGTTTTCTGACGACGATCAGCTCAAAATTGATGCGCGCCAGATGACGTCGTGGAATCGGCTTAGCGGCAGCTGATGGGCCTCACATGGTGCAGACCGCGCATTTCCTTGGAAGCGGCCAGATCTTAGCGCTGCCGATGCACCGACGGGCCTATTGGGGCTTAGTTGCAGCATTTGGACTGGTACTGGTGAATCGGGCGATGATCACGGGGTATGCAGTACAAGTAAGTGAAGACGAGATTGTTCACGATGACGGGGCTGAATAAAGTCACGAGAAATCATCAGTGGAGGAGAGAAGTTGAGGCTGAGTTTGACCAGTGCTTGTTTTTTGTTTTTTTGTGTGTGATACCTGAGGTGTCGATCTGGGTTATCGATAATGCCCTCCATCTTACTCGCCACTTTCAACAATCTACCTAGATATTAAAGGAAGGCACATCATCCATCCATCCATGTCTTTCATAAACCTCGAATAACGCAGTCCTTGCAAATCCAAAACCATATCGCATCGCTATTCAGCCTAGGATGCTCATAAACTCCGTCGCTAAACAATGAACCAGGCAGGCGCTTGTGGCCAAGGGACGCGTCAAATCACACCAGCAGCGGATAGTCGCCAATCTCCTCCATGGCATCCCGTAAAGTCCACTCTGCCAGGGGATCTTCGTGTCTCTTGGTCCAGCAGTGCCTCAGTATACGCTGCACGCTCTCGCAGTTGCCAAAGTTGGTCTCCGCCGTGCCCAGGATCCGTGTCATGAGGCGCTCGAAAAACGGCTGCTGATCCGGTCGAGCCATCGATCCCGCCAGGCAGATGGTCCAAACTACGCCTCGAAGCGACACCTTCTCAGGGGCTTGCTCTAGTTCCTTGATCACGGCGGCAACGGCGCCGTGGATATCGGCCTCGGCGGGGTGAGTCGTTGCGAGGACCCGGTGGAGATGCACGAGGGCTCCGGCTGCAAACACTCGCGATATGTAGCAGGAAACTGGGGCACTGGGCTGCAATAGATTGTCAGTATGGCTGGTGGTGGTGCGATAGACCTAAACAAGGGACCAAGGGCAAACGAACATAACGGCTCTGCACGCGCAGCCTCTCAATACCCTCTCGCAGCATCTTCTCGATGTTGGCCAGCGATGCTCGTCTCTCGTCCAAGCCGGGGAAGTCGATTCCTGCCTCGATCATAGACAAGTCTCCAATAAGTCGCATCACCCAATTCTGACAACCGACAAAGTCCGCCATGAGAATCTCTTCCGAGTCAAGCCATTGTCGATAGGGCATGCGGGGAGGTATGCCGGAGGAGGCTGTCGACAGGATTTCGAACCAAAGCAGCTTTGTGATTTCGAAACGCCTTGCATATTTCATTCCACGCCGGAGAGACGAGCCCGGGCCGCTGGGCGCGTATGGTGGTGGCGACTCGTCATCATCTGAGTCTTCGAATGGCGGTAGTCTAATCTTGCTCGCAACAGTTGTAAGAGCGTCAAGGTGAGTCTGCCAGCCCTTTGAGCCGCCTTGCAACACCTATACCATGCGCCCGAGTTAGGAGGATGAATTCGCTTTCACGTACGCGCTCTGAAGTCACACATGGTCACTCATACGAACCTCAAAACTAATCAGACAGCAGCCGCTGGAGATGAAGGTGATGAGTCTCTCGCCGACGTCTAGTGCAAGATCACCTTCATTCCCCGATAATGCATGTCGCATGGCACTCAGTGCGGTGGTGTGGTACTCTATCAGTTCTGCTTCCGTGTACTCGGTTCCCCGCGCAAACTTGGTTCGCTGATACAGTGCAGCCAAAGTCAGCGAGGCTTGTCGAAGCGGACGATTGTTCATCAACAACCAGAAGAGCCAACCACGGCCGCCGAGCTCTGCTTTGTCAGTGTAGTACGGATACTGGATGAAGAAGATGTAGTCCAGATAGAGCATGATGAGCTCGGCCTCCCGGAACCGCATTTCCTGACTTGGGCAGGAGGCCCACAAGGCCTGCTCGGGCCCGGTGACCGCGTCTTGCTGCTGTTTCGCTGAGATTGTCCGTAATTGGGGGTCTATCCCAACAGGTCTGATGGGACCCTTGCTCAGCAGCCTTGCATTCTGCTTGACAGCCTTCTTGACGAGCGAGAGCTCGGCGCGAACCTGTTCCTCGTTATCCAACCACGACGGCCTGGGGCCGTAGCCGTGGCAGTGGATGCTGCGATTGTCGCATTCCTTGCAGAAGGGGTGGCCCTCGTCGCATTTGCGGTGCCTGATACGACAGGTCCAGCACCCTCTTTTGGACCTGCTCCTTACCGGCACCTTGGCTGGCAGCATTGTGCGAGGCGTGGGTGTAACGGGGGGGGGGGGGGCCTCAATCTGGAGACGCGAGTGTGGGAAGTTCGCGAGTTGCATGTGGGCAAAGTTGGGGAAAATGTGTCAGCCCATGACCCTCATGGGGAAGATGGGTGCTACGGTAGATAAGAGAGCAGCGAGCCCAGCTGTAAGCCTGACTCATCAGACATGGGCTGGCATGAAGCCCCTCCAGATCGATGGCACTGGACTGTCTTGAGGGATTCCCCCCCACCCACGCAGGTCTGAGACACCACCACGGATTGTTACTGGCCTCATGGGGAGCCACCATTTGAACGAAGCCGCCTCTCAAAGAAATGCTCCGGCCCCACCCTTCCCGAGCTATCGTCAACCGGCCGGGCTAGATGGCCTGGGCTAATAGTCTGTCGCAGGCTGCTGCCATTCTGGACATCAGGTGGCCCCGTGGATAACCGGGTCTGTTCGAGTCAATCGTCGTCTTCAAATAGTCCTGTTCAGACTCATTAAATGGATGGGAATTGTTCATTCAGCATCCAAGCGTTGAGCATTGTTGTACTTGATACGTTCAGACCCCCCCATAAAAGAAGAGGATGACGACCACTCTGTTTACAAACGGCAAGTTCTTTGCCACTCAAGCCAAGGGACAGGAGCATGATGCCAAATTCTACGACTGCATGCTTGTCGAAAATGGCATCATCGAATACATCGGCAGTGACGATGCCAACATCAGAGCTGTGGCTGCTTCAAAAGGCGCCAGCGTGCGGGATCTTGATGGCCATCACGTTCTTCCCGGCTTCATCGATGGCCATGTACACGCCCTCCTGCTAGGTCAGTCTCTGCAGAGACTAAACTTGGAAAGATGTCAGAGCCTAGAAGAGATCCGCCACGCTATCAGCACTTACGCAGCAACGCATCCCGATGCACCTCGCATTCTGTGTGGTGGTTGGATGGAATTCATGACTGACGGAAAGGCTGACGTTTCCATGCTGGACGACTTGGATCAAAGACCCATTTACATTGTATCGAGGGATTTGCACTCTTGCTGGTGCAACACGGCAGCTATTGAAGAGATGGGCGTGGAATCTACGCCAAATCCTGTAGGAGGAACCATTCATCGCGATGCGCGAGGCAAAGCAACTGGCTTCCTTAGCGAGGCCGCGTGCACAGTCTTAGTATGGCCGCATTTGGCACAAATTGCTACGCCGGAGGAACGAGTTGAAGCGATGCGAGATGCGATCCAGGCTCTCCATGCCGTCGGATGCACTGGATGTGTAGAAATGGCAATGGATGACGTTGCATGGGATGCACTACAGACTCTCCGCGCAGAAATGGGCGGCCAGCTGCCTCTACATATTGCAGCTCACTGGCTTGTTCGTCCCACAAATTCTACAAAAGGCGACTCGGAAGAGCTCACTCGGGCAATTGCGTTAAGCAAAGAGTTCAACGCTGCAACTTCGCCAGACTTTCGCATCGTGGGCATCAAGATAATGTGCGATGGCGTTGTAGACTCATGTACGGCAGCTCTGATAGAGCCTTACTCCACTACAGGCGTATCGACGGATCCCATCTGGTCGCCCGAAGCCCTTGGGCCAATCGTTCGCAACGCAGATCAAGCTGGTCTGCAGTGTGCTCTGCACGCCATTGGAGATGCCGCTGCCAAACTTGCCATCGATGCGCTGTCGGAACACGGTACCCCGGGTCGCCGCCATCGCATTGAGCATCTCGAACTCACTAGCCCTGGTGATGGGGCTCGACTTGCCGCTGCTGGCATCACCGCCTCCATCCAGCCCGCTCATGCCGATCCAGTCCTGCTCAAGGCCTGGCCGGAACTGCTGGGTACGGCTCGCTGTGGACGGGCTTTCGCATATGGCGATTTCGCTGCCTCCGGAGCCAACATTTCCATCGGGTCCGACTCTCCCACTGCCTCATGGGATGTTCTTCGAAATCTTTACACCGCGACGACCCGGCGATCTGTGCGTGACAGGGAATATACGACGGTGGTGAACCCCGAGTTCGCGTTATCCCTGTGCCAAGCTATGCAGGGAGTGACACATGGGAGCGCGTACTCGTGTTTTGCCGAGGGCTGGACTGGAAGCCTAGCGAAGGGTTTACAGGCCAATTTTGTGGTGGCCAACATGGAATGGACCGCGCAGTCGTTACTTCAGGCACAAGTAAAGGAGACATGGTATAGAGGAAAGAAGGTGTATGATGCGCCAGTAAAGAATTAATAACTGTAGTCATAGAAATAGAAAGATAGATGGAGAGATAGATGGATATAGATAATGTATGTCTACAATTAGCTTCTTGTTAAACATGGAATGTAGATGACTCTTGAGAATACGTGATGTATGCGAGTCAAATAAGTGTATCATTAATTGTCCATATAAGCACCACGTTACCCATCTCAAAATAGGTATTGACACTAAGTAGGTATTCGTGTAATTGTTCTCTTAAGGAGGTTATTATGTAGATACGTTTGGCGATTTTGATCTAATCTAATAAGTTCTACCTAGACCACCAAAGAGAGCTATAAGTCCGCTTAAGCAAGGGACTGGCATGTAAATGGCCTATTGACGGCATGTCTCTGAAACTTGTGAATCTGGTAGCAGTAGTTAGCACAAGAACTACCTCAAAGAAGATTGGGGGAAAACAAAACTTACCAGCTCGACAATGCTAGCATAGGTGCCACAAACGAGAATAATGATACCAATAATGAAAACACTGCCGTTGAAAAAGGCAGTCTTCCAATTCCGTCTCTCGTACCACTCGCCTTCCTTGAGCAACACATACCACATCACTGGTGGTAGGTAAAAAGAGAGTCCAGACACAAAAAGAGAGGAACTGATCGACAATAGTTCTGAAAAGAAGGGAATAGCTTCCGCGATGATCCACGCGATCAGCGTCACAATCCCAACGACTGCCAGCCAGGACACCCAGCCTCTGACTGTATTCACATAACGGGTGATGGAATTTCTGTATATCCTGCCGTGAATGAAGCGAGCAACGACAGTGGTGTTGATTGAGCCCGAAATGAAAATGACGGGGAGCGCCACGCCAAATGCAACTCGAGAAACGACTGATCCAGCTGATAACAAGGCAGGCGACTGAACATCCTGGCCTACAAAGGCATAGATGACAGCTCCTGTAATGGTATAAATAACAACTTCGATGACTCCAAGCCACCAGATGGACTTGATATAGTCCTTGGGCGTGTGCATCTCGTCCATGAAGGAAGGCTGAGCACCCGCAAAGGCATATGCGAAAACAATACTGTTAACTGCAACGATTGCCTCTGAAAATGTCAAATTCTTCTGGGGCCAGGCAGACCAGGTTGAAGCTCCCAAACCTCCAGGTTGAGATGAGCTCTGAATGCCAGTTGCAATCATGGTGATGCCAATGGCTATGATAATCGAGGCGAAATCGATATACCCTAAGATCGCTGCCTCTGTAAACGACGGTGGGATCGCCAGTAGGAAGAGTATAATAGCCGAAACAACCCCAAAAGCAAGAGAACAAACTCCACTCCCAGTAATAGTTTCAAAAGCAATCGTCCCCGTCAGACAATGCGACCCAGTAATCAGAATCAACTGCGAAGCAAATATAATGCTAAACAGTTTCGATCCAATTCCTCCCATCATCAACCTCCCAATATCCGCATAATGCGCAACCTCAGGATATCGAAGCTTCACTTCTCCTAGTATGTAACTCGCATACATGGCCACAAGGCCAACGCCAATGCAGAGAATCACTCCCGCCACCATGCCGAGGGTTGCAAAGGCCGCAGGTAAACTGAGACTTCCCAGGGCAATGGCTTCGACGATGAGGACCACGGTTAGGCGCCGCCAGCTAAGACGATGGAAGTGAGCGTCTCCTTGGATGGCACGCTGGGTTTCCACGTCGTAGGCTTTGCCTTGGCCTTCGTGATCGGCTTGGGTGGCGTTGTTGGATAGGTGGCGTGATATGGCATTATCGTCGATTTTTTTGTCTTTGCCTTTGGAGGTTGTATCCACGGCATCGGCTTCAGTGATTGTAAAAGCCATTATGTAAATGTAAGCGTGAACAAAATTTGGATGAAGAAGATTTTGATAAAACTTGCAGAGATCAACTGCAAGTCCAGCCGTCCAATATTTGAACAGGATATATCCGGGGAAAGATCCTGCTCACCTGTCCCCGGAATCTCGTCCGGGGTAATCTGGGGAATCTATTGACTCTTAGTTTGTTTAGCTCCGGATGAGAGGAAAGATATCTTATGTTTCTTCGCGAGCTGAGATGAGAGTTCGGAGTTGTTTCTGTGGAGGCCATATTTACTGATCCCCCCTGTGTCCCGGGAAACATCGGTGTACGAGAGTAGGCTATGGTAACGACCCACCTAGGGAATCTTGACCCGATTTAATGAGATCAAGGAGTAAATTGATGTAGTATTAGGACCTAAGAATATCATACGAGTGTGGAGTTTTATGCAGTTCAACTACCGACTCTTCAGACTTTCCATGGTTTTTGTAGTACCTGTAATAGAACACGAGGATGCTTCGAATTTTATTCTTTGCGGCAGTGGATGTTATTAGGCAACGCTCTTTGATTAAACTTTCTCAACTGTAGATCTACAATGATGACGCCTGTACTTGTGCAAAGACAGACGCCGTCATACAATATGGACTCTCTATCAAGCCACAGCACGTTGCTTACATGTGGTCCGTAATCGTATGGGCCCACTCATTGTGAGAATTACGCCCTTTGCAAGTCAGAAGAGGCAAAAAAGCAATATTGATGAATTATCTGTACAACATTGTCACAAGGGCTTGCTCTCTGAATGGTCACGATGATCCGTATCTGAGACCAGGGTCTCACTTGAACCGGTGTTATCCTTTGGGACTATCTTGCTTGCCCAGCTGTCAATCATTTAAGCTATGGGCTACGATGGGGATTTGAATTAGAGCTCCGAGAGCGGACATACAGAGTAATGGCCATGAACCATCCAGATAACACCGATTGTCAACAACTGGAGAGCTTCGTTGTGGCCGGTGGCATCTCCGGAACGTAGCCGGGCAAGTGGGTCCCGGGGCCGAGGATCTAGCCCAGCCGTCGTGGGAGATTGTACGTAATGGAAACTCGAGGCTGGGATTGCGATTAGCGCAGTCTGTTACACTGAGGGCTGCAAAGGCGTACAGTTTATCAGATGGACGACGGCATATCGGTAGTTGTTTGGGGGGTTTATTTTGTTGGGGGTCATTGGCTGTGGTGTGTATTGATACAGAAATATTTCTTTTACTAAGTCTCTAACTTAAGATCATTAGCTATTGGCAGTTGGAGGCATAGACAAATACTCAGATCCACATGCCACCGACGCTGATTATTGTACATTCGGCAGTTGCGGTGTTGCTATATTATCATGTGAACTCGTGATATTTTCATACGGTTAATAATACTCTTACATAAGTACATAGTTAAACCACCAACTACCAACATATACTTATCAAAATCACTATAGTTTCAAAACCTGTTCACGCCGTCGATGCGTCTTTGCTTTACTCTGCTTTTCCTTCTTCTTGGCTCTTTTGCTCATCCTTTCGTTGCACCTTCTTAACAACCCGATTCTTTGTAGAAGTACCTAATGTTACCTTTCGTTCCTGACTCTTTTTCGATCCCGACGCTCCAGGAAGTGCATGCAACTTCATTCTTTGTTCTCGTGCCTGCTGCAGTTTGTTTTTCCTAAACAGGCTCATATCGGACTCAAAGCATAGCCAGCTTGGGTGACTTGGTTTAACGCCTTCTAATGGAATAACATCATCTTGATGCTTCTCACTCCAAGCGAGCCAAGGAGTAAGATGATCCAGTACGTAGGGGCGGTGATATTTAGCGGCGTAGTCATGGATTTGGTCCACAATACACAAAAGATTCAATGCATTGGTAAAGGATGCAACGTCACCGGTCCATAGTAATTCAATATTCTATGAGGCATTCAAATCAGACATTTGAATGGTGCATTAGGTGACAAAGTATCTTTAACTCACACATGTCTTTGAAGAGCTCCATGCCACATAAACCGCCCATTGAGATCCGTACGATACGAACGCAAACAATTGGCAATGAGAAGAATTTGCGGACTGGTACTTGGCAACATTATCCGGATTCCTTGCGAGGTCGTCTAGCATAGACAAATATATTTGACATGCATGTTGAATTTGTTGCTTGGCATTTCGATAGTCGGCTGCCCGTTTCTTTGCTTCATAGACAGCAAACGGAAACACAATGTTAGCGTTTCCCCACGCACCATCAACAACCAGGCTGCAATTTGGGTTGTTTGTCATCGATTTGAGACGATCTTGGGAGAGCCGGTCATCCAGTTCCTTGGTGATATAGTCTGCTTGGTAGCCGGTGGCCATAAACTGGCGATTGGGATGAAGAGTTTTGGGGTCGTGTGTGGCGAGACCGAATGTAGCATCTGGAGTCCGTGTTTTGACAATCTTCTTTCCATCGGAGTCTTCTTCAACAAACTTATACGCCTTTTTATCGCTAATTCATAGTAAAATGCTGAAGTTAGTATTACGAACAAAGGAAATTGCTCAATTACATCTAAAAGCGGACATATACTAACATTTTGAGCCACTCGTCCTCACGAATCAAGCCGAAAACATATTGCCACGCAGAAACCTCCCAGGAGAATTCCGAAAACTCCTGCCCTTTCATACTCTGTACACTTCTGCATAGTTTGGAAGCTCTTTGGTTAATGATATCTATTTGTCGAGAACTCAAAGCCATTTGGTACTGCGAAGTGCGAACAACTGGATAGAATCGCAAACATAGCTTGGCTTTTGTGGTGAGTGAATCGCGTTCTCTTAGGTTGGAAAATAGTTGTGGAACCAACGGCATGGCGCGCTTCCTTGGAAATCTAGAGAGAAACTTAGCTCAATTCTAAATCTATTCTTCTGGAACATACATCGACTTACGCCATCCTGCCTAATAAAGCAGGTACAGAGAAAGACATTGTGTTATGGTCTTTTGTCTTGATTCAATATATCTATCCGTATTAGGTAAGGAGATACCGGTGCGCTTTTGGCTTGTGGATTACGCGCATTATGTAGACTTGCAAGAGGCCTCAGAGGCGAAGCGTTTGTTTTCACAGAGGCTAGGCTCATCCACGTTGGGAGAAAAGCAAGGCTCAGAGCCTTGTGTTAAGCGCCCGCCAAGAAAGGATCAGCCATGAAGTGGAATAACTCTTTGAAGAAATACTGGCCACTTCTCTCTTGAGCCCCTCAGTCGGCCATCAACACGGCCTTGGGGCTTAAGCGGCTGGAAATACGAGACAAATGCATATAAATCTGCCTGTCAACGGCCGCTCACCCGGCTGAGTGTAACTCTACGTTGGCCGAAAATACGACCAACTTGTTGTTTCATGAGCCTCAGCACAGCCGCCTCCATTTCCCAATCTAGATGAATGTTACAAATAAACTGTTGGTACCAGCTTTCTATATCAGTTTAGGCGTTCCAATACATGGCACAGCGACCAACAGATAACTCCTGCATAAACCCAAATTGGAATGCCATTTGATTATGATAATCTGGCTGGGTTGGCTGAAATGCCGAAACATTGCATACACTGATCGAAACATGTGGAAATAGTTCGAGGTTTCTTCACGATAAACATTACTATGTACATCATCTATAAAACTAAGCATTGCCTCTCTGGAGCTGGATTTGTTAAAGTCCGATAGTATTTATATGTCCCCGAGATATACTGCAGTAACTTTATTCTTCATTTCTTCTGCTACTCATATGGTAACTCCTCTATCTCTCAGACACGTCTACGCTTTGTCTGCGTCTGAGTAGAGTCAGAAGATTGGCCAGAAGATTCCCGGTTTCGTTTGCGAGTTTGTTGTGATTTTGTCTGCTTAATGACCTTTGATTCTTCTTTGAGGATGGCCCAACGTGGCGATTCTTTGTGTGCCGTCAACTCATGCTTGGGCAAACGGTTCTGGCTGTCCCGAGCACACCACACTTCCAGATGCTTTAACACAAACGCTAAATGATGTTTGATAGCGTATTCGTGTATCTGGTCCACGATATAAAGTAGCTGCAGCGCATCACAAGATTTAGAAATATCTCCTTTCCAAATTGTTTCGACCATCTACACGCATAGTTTTGCCAATTAGCGTCTGATTTATGCATACATTTAATTAGAAGAGTGACTTACACAAACGTCCAAGGAACTCCATGCTACATACACTCTCCACAGGCTTGCATCTGATGTAAACGCGAAAAATTGAAACCGAGAACTCTCCTTTGTTTGATATTCGCTGACATTGTTTGGGTTACGGGCTAGGTCATCCAACATCGCCAGATATGTGCTACAAGCATGTTTGATCTGCTTTTCAGCTGCATCGTAACCCTCATAGCCGCTTTTAGCCTCATAGGCAGCAAATGGAAAGATAAGGGCTTCTTCTCCCCACATTCCATCGACGACAAGGCCGCATTGGGGATTATACATCATTTTGGTAAGACGTCTGTCTTGTAGCAGTGGCTTCGGCTTCTTCTGAGGATCACTTCTGTAAATTTGGCCCCCAAAGTTGAGCCACATAAAGCTAAAACCTCTAATGCCAAATGACGCATCTGGGATTCGTGTTTTGACACATTCTTTGCCTGCGCTGTCCGGTTCCACAAATTGATATGGTCTCTTGTCACTATAAAATGAACAAATAAGGAGTTAGTTATTGTAAGACACTCCAAGAACTTTGAAGTAGACATATCTGAAAGGGACAAAAAAGCTCACATTCTAAGATTCTCATTATTGTTAATCTTGCCAAACACGTCATGCCAAGCAGAAGCTTCCCAATAAAACTCTGAGACCATAGAAAGTTTAACACTAAGTGCTCGCCAGGTCAGATTTTCGGCTCTCTTACGGAGCTCCGTTTCTTGGGGTTCATCCAAAGTTTTCAAGTATTCTGTAACGTCAAGGTCGGGAATAAATACATTCCACGGTTTGCCTTTTGTTTCATAACATGTTTCAAATGGTGTTAGCAGCAATGGCATTGTGCGTTCCTTCGGTTTCCTGACAAAATCTTTGCGCTGCGAGCAATCCATAACGTGTCAGTTCCGTGTGCAACGAGCACAGTGTCTAAGCCGATTGACAAAGAGATGGATAATGATGAAATCCAAATAATTCTACTATTTACGAAAAATTTATAATAATCATTTGGGGTTTCCTCTGAGCATATATACATGGACAACTGGGCGACGATGCATCCAACCTGAAACGCTTGTGGCCGCAGTGAAAGAGGCCCAACTGCGGTAGACAAAACTGCACCAATTGAAATGCACGACCAAGCGCCTGAACTGCTGGTGAGAAAAGAACGATATAGAAGCAAAAGTTCAAACCAGTCGAAACAAGGGCCTTTGTGGCTGTATGCAAGGTCATAAAATCTCCCACAGGTAATTTATCTGCCCGACCTTTTGAGAGTGGGGGATCCTCTTCAGAGCTTGAGGTTGTATACAGATTATAAAACGCATTGGTCACTGCTCAGGTTAGAAGTGCGGGCATGTCATGTATTCTGAGCAAAACAAAGTGGGATCTTCTAATTTAGACACTATTTACTCATAAGAGCATGATTAATGGTTCGTTCGTATAATTTTGTGAGAGAGTCATCGTGAACGTTGCATCTATATCCGTGACGCTACTGTTCATGGTATGAGAGAGCTTGAATGCCATTGTCTAGACGTCATCGTTTTGCATTTAATTTCAGTCTACAAGAGCAATCTAATAGTCATACAACGCAAAGAAGGATTCAGAAACATTATGACTTCCCTTAAGGCCAGCAGCAATGCCGATTTGGAATCTTGCGATCGAGGTGGCGCCTGGCTCAGCGGAATATCATGTTAGCTAGGAAGCAGTTAGTAAGCACTGATTAACTCTTTCAACATTAAACTCAATAAGAATCGAAGCCTCAACACGATCTCATTCTCGCAATAATAAGGAGATGTTTTTAACAAGAAAATGCCCACTCGGAAACCAAGAAAAGACTTGAATGAATCTCGTGCAAAAGAATTTGAATTCATTGTCTTGTCTGGGGATGAGACCGGGAGAGACCAAGAAACGCAGAGACGAGTTCGCAGCGCCGCCCAGGCCAACGCCAAACAACCATAGAGCTAGATGTCACGCCTTTGCTTGATGGAACAATTCAAAATCCAAATGCCTTGCCCAATCAAGTCCTTCCAAGATCGATGGCGGTACTGGACGCGAGTCGGTCCGATCCATTTCAGTCGTTCGGGTTTGGAGGCGATCGTCGAGCACACCGTCTCTGGGATCACAGAGCGACTCGGGCGAAGACGCTCAGTACTACATGATCTCAACGCAAAATCTTCAGCAGCAGTTGAACAGCGTGGCAACTGGTGCTAGTGATGAGGTTGTCATCGCTGTTCTGACATCCGCCGCATACGCGGTAGGTTTCGAGGCTCTCTGTTTGTTCAAGAATTAAGTGCTCTAACAATTACAGAATTTGATCCAGGAGCCTGGAATGTTCCAAGTACACATGGATGGGCTTTCACGCATCATCCAGCTCAAAGGTGGCGAGGGTTCATTACACTCACCTCCTCTCCGGCTTGCTCTGTTTTGGTAAGTCTATAAACTTCAAACTAGATGGACCGACTAATATTTTGAAGAGGATCGAAATGAATGGACGATTTCGACAAGATGCAGCACCTCAGTTTTCTCCACCTAATGATATCCTTTCCGGCCAGAGCAAACTGAACTTGGCGTCATTCGATGCGGCACAACTCTCACCCGGCTGCGTTATTCCCACTGTTGAAGGATGTGAGATAGCGAATTACCTTTGTCAGCAGTTGAGACATCTCAATGATATAATTGCATCGGAAACTTTGACACGGGACTTATGGATCGATCCCTCCGTTCATCGATGGCCCTCTCATTCACCATGTACATAGCCCCAAAGAGCTAAATACTTCCTCTAACGATATCTACAGCCTCTTTAACGGATCAGAACAAGAAGTTCCACCGACGGCTTTCTTCTTTTATGTCGATGTCCGCGATTGTAAGCACTCAATTCAAGGATTAAATTATCAGAGCCTACCACTAACTTTCCTTCTCAACAAGTCGCCGAAGCCCACGTACAAGCATTCGAGAAGCCAGCAGACGCAAACCAGCGCTACCTGATTGCTGCTTCGGCTTACAGCTACCAGCAGATTTGCGACATCATTCGTGCCAAGTTCCCTGGACTCAGGGAAACTACCCCGAAGGGAGAAACTGGAGCACCTATTCCACCTTCTTATATCGTAGACACTACAAAGGCCAACACAGATCTCGGTGTCAAGTACCGATCATTGGAGGACACTGTCATGGATGCTGTCAACACCTTTCAGAAGATTGAGAAGGTTTAAACTCATATAATCTTTATAATACTATCGGGAATAGCTTTGATGTATCTAGCCAAATACTTGCCCCAGCATAGAGTAGAGAAGAATATACACAGGAGCAAATTACAAATATTCACAAAAATATTGCTTCGTATACTGTATCTAAATGTTGGATTTTAAATACCCATCGAATGTCCCGGAACACTCTAATTGTCCTCAGTTGGACACCTGATAGGTAGTGTACACAACACTCTCAATACCCGCGCTACCGACGACAAACTTGACACGCGCAAGAAGGACAGCAAAATTTAGCCATTTGTACTTTGGACTCGCCGTATTGAACTTTAAAACTTCAAAGCCGTAAGGCTCAGTGACTCCCGAGTTGTTGGCTCCTGGGTCTTCGCCAGCTCTGCCATCCAAGGCCAGCATAGTTGCTCGGTCGAGGTAGTCGTATCCCGACACGGTGATGCGCATAAGTTGGTCATCCGAGTCTTTAGCAATGAGTCGCATGTCCACCTCTGCGACGTTCTCATCGACATATCGCGTGAGATAGTCTCCTCCTCCGGAGAGGACATCGGCGATGTGTTGGCCATCTGCTGCTGTGATAATGCCGTCCGAGATCTCGAACCAGTTGGCCTTTCCTCTTGGAGTTTCACCAGTGTCGACCGGCTCCTTTGGAGTAATGGCCATGGTGAAAACATGATTGAGAGTAGGAAGCGACATATTGAGAGTCTGCAAGTGTTAGTATCTGTACCAAATTATGAGGATATGAAGGGACAAACAGTTATTTCTTCGTGTCTTTAGTGAATTTTTGAGATTGGCTTGATATGTAGGAAGTTAGGTTACGAACGGCCATCGAAGTCTGTCTTTTTATATCACGAGGCTGGAGAAGAAGCTGACGGTGAGGCTTAGTACCATTGTCTCAAGACTAATTCCATGATTTATCCTATTACTACATACATTATGAACAATCTGTCCACCCGGTCAGATGCAAGGGATATATCGCATTCGCTCCGGCAGCGGATGAAACATTATCCTACGTCACAACGCAATCTTGCGCCCAATGCCAGCCTATTTCTTTACCTCGTGAATGGAACATGATGGCTGCAAAGTATGAGACATGTGCATTTGTGTCTTAACCTTGCATATATTGGTCGAGCGTGGCGCCTCACGGTTGCTCAACTTTCACCGATGTGATATTGCAATGTCTCCGTACATACGCAAGGGGGCCAGAAATCCACTATAAGTTGGGCGATTGGTTGAAAACAGCTCAAATTTACGGTGTGGCTTAAGTGTCGGCTGCATGCACAAATCACATTGATGCGACAACAAGGATCAGGTATGTCTTGGTCCATCCAGTCGCAGAGCTCGGTTTATCGTACGGCCTCGCAGCCTTGGAATTTCACAAGAAGCGAATTGTCTAATCCCGTGAGCTCGCTATTAAAAGATGATTGTCAGGGCGTTTGGGTTGAAGACAGGAAATAGTTTTGGGCACGGATAATCACAACTGTGTAAAAGAAGAATAGAAGGTGAAGCCTAGGTTTTGTTTTCACTCTTTTATCAACGACAGGCTATCTAAACCATCTGAATGAGTGCGATGAAGTGAATTTGTATGCTCAGTCGTTCTTTCAGGGAGCGATGTAGTCTGTTGCTTCATTCCAGTGTAAACCGCTGGCGCTGTCATTCCGTACTCCGTCTTTCTTAGTCCTACTTGATCTTTTCGTCTTTTATTCTTCTAGGCGTGAATGTTTTGAGGTCGGTCTCATAAGAGGCCGAGTCGTGACATTATACTACTTCCTCCCCCCCGTAAAGTCGCCACGCAGCTCCATTAGGAGCAGCCCTTTCTTAATAATGTCTTCCTTCCTTTCTATGAGCTCAGGAACATCCCAACATGCGTCAAAGTATCGCCCATTCATAAAATCAGCCTCTGCGGACGATAGCCACACAGCAGCTCCTCCCGCCAACGAGGGCGTATCCTTTGAGAATCGCACCCACTCTGGCGCTGTCATGGCTGAACGGACTGATCCCGGGTGAAGACTTGCGGCAAAGATGTTTGGGTTTCCTGCGGTGATGTACCGTTGCATTTGAATCTGAACTAGTTTGCTAAGAGCATAGCTGTCTGTGTCAGGCGCCATGAATGGACTGAATGAACTTGCTATGTTAACAATGCGACCTTTATCGGCTTTACCTAGTGCTTTCGCAAAATACTGGCTCATAATGATAGTGCCCTTTACATTGACCTCCTAAAGATGTACTATTAGCTTCATCTATTCTAGAAGATAGAGGTATAAGACTAACAAAATCTCGCCAAATATCTACAACAGGAGCCGTCAAGAAAGGCCCACCAGATCCGACTCCCGCGCAGTTTATGAGTACATCCGCTTTGCCATATTCAGAACTGATCTGGAGGAAGAGTTCTCGAACAGCATCTTCATCTGTAATACTCATAGCTTTTGTAAAAACCTTGACATCCGAGTTGATCGCAAGAATCAGCTCTTTGGTCTTGTCTAGGCCGTCTTGACTTCGAGCGATAAGGTAGAGGGCCTTTGCACCAGCCTTTGCAAACGACAACGCGATGGCCTATTAATTGTATTAGCGGCGGGCGTCGATCAAGATATTTAATTTCTAGAAGAAAGAGGAGGCAGGGATAAATTACCTCCTTTCCGATCCCGCTGCTAGCTCCAGTGATTACAACCACCTTTCCCACTTGCGACAACCGCGGGTTTTCTGGATTAATAGCATCGTACACGTCTCGGTGATAAGTGGCGGTAAATAAATTAAGAGTCGTAAAGTAATCCTCGTCGAGCTCTGACATTTGTTGGCTCATGTCGGGAAGCTCGGCCTGCTATAGTAACTCGACTATTGGAGAGTTGTAGTTCAAACTTGAAAACCTGGTCGGGAGAGACCTCTGCACAGATTCGCTGCCTGGCAATAGAGCGATTCTATGGTCTAGAACTGGTGAGCTCCTGCGGTTCAAATTGAGCTCGTGTTCAATAATTTATCAAAAGTTTTAACTCTGATGGGCATTCCTTGAAAAACGAGAAGACGGCTTCGACAAGGCCTCTTTGCACCCCTCATGTCTACTATCTATAAGTCCGGGAGTTTCTCCGCGCGTATATCCGTCGTGGCGATTGGTGGGCTACTAGAGTAGAGAGCCGGATTGATTGGCGCCTAGTTTCTAGGATTATCTGCTAGAGAGGTCTACAAATCTCGAAAGAAATAACAGTCTTAAATATATATATAAACGGTTACGACTGAGTAAAGATCCTGGTGCTCTTCCAATGGATATGCGAGGTCATCGCCGGTCATATCCTGGTTGAGATGATTGATCAGCTGCCTCGTGAATCTGACAGGGGCTGTAGGTGTCCATCGAAGATCGTCTGATAGATGGATAAGCAGTTAAACACAGTCTTGCGATGAATATAGTCATTATAAGCGGAATTGAATCCGGCAGGTATTGAATCTCGTTTGAGAAGCAGGCTTGAAAGGGTAACCACCGAGAGACAAGTGGGGGTCGCTCATCACAGTGGAGAGATTTTGCTCGAGAATATTAACACATCAGGCTAGTTAGTTGGCGTTGGCTGGGGCAAAACTTGCTGGTGATTACGAACTATAGAAGCCAATCTCCCCGGCTACTTGTTAATAAGCGGTCTCCAAAGGAACAAAGCGATGTGGAGGGGAGTAAGATCTCTTCGACTCGGCGTTGCCCAGATGTGGGTAAGCGTGGTTAAACAGTCGTGATGGAATTCACTGTGAAGAATATTCAATATACTCTTCTCTTAAACGCTTTACCTGTACTGCAACATTCTTTCGACAATGGCACGAAAGCGTCATCGTGAATACTTGGCAGATATTCCCCAATGCGGGATCTGCACCACTACCATTTACCAGCATGAAAAGATGATAGCACGTATGAACTCGTCCGACATGGCTACTCTTTGAACTCCATCCTTCCTTTAAGGCTACTCTCGTCTTTGTCGCTGATGCCATCCATATGTGTCTAGTCTACGGTAATTACAATTCGACCGCGCATATTGCTCTCTCGGAGCCATTTACCAGGTTCCCATTGAGAGACTTTCGCGAACAGATAATGGAGAGATATGAATTCGGCTTTGCCGACGACGACTCTCCAAACCATGCCACATCGCCTGAGTTTTGTGTGATGCACATGGGTTGCTACCAGATATTCCAACAGCTATGCCGTGCTCCGGTCGAAGAGGCTTTGAATAGACTCTGGATTTTAACCGCGTGGAGAAATCCCTGGCGGGGAATGGAGCGCCTTCGTCTTTCAAATACTATAATCGATGACGAGATTCTTGAGAAGACAGCTCGGATCGGTGGAATACCGCTACTCTGTTCGTTACCCCGAGAAATCGTTCACATCATCAAACAATACTCTGAAGAGTCTGTATTCTGGAGATGTATGATGGCGATTCGACTTGCAGTCTGGATTTCTCGGACCAGCCCGCAGCCTGTCCGAGCTATGCCATTGAGAAGCGTCCTTTCGTGGGAGCGCAACGGAGAGTTGCGTCGTGTTGAGCCTTCATCACCGTCACTACCAGTTATCAAATTGAGTATGGATTGTGAAGGCATTAGAAAGATGGAACGGCTTCCGACCCGACCACAGTATTCGGGGCGGTGGTCAAGGCCTGCCAACCACCTTGCCTATATTGTTGAAGATGAGGCATCCCTCGAAGGAGTAAAAGTACAGTTAAAGGTATGTACACCATAACAAGTCATCCATGTTTCACCTAAATCTCACCGTTTATTTCACCAGGACGGCCGTTTTCGCCTCAAGCTACCTCGACAAGTACGCAATATGCGCCTCCACGTATGGAACAGCCCAACACCTCCTAACTTATCGCTCTGTGTGGGGTATCCGAAAAAGATCACGCCAATACAGCGCTTTAATGTTATTGAGTTGAGTGAGATACGAGGGATCACATTCTATCTCGATACTACTGTTGTGTTGGCTATGCATATCCACCTCACGGAACAAGAATCCACCCTTTGGACAGATGAAGCAGTCTTAGAAGAGAAACGTCCTGATGTTCATTTTTCGGATCCTATTCGGGTGTATCTGCCTTTACCAAAGGGTGACCGGATAACCTACCTTGGCGCTAATGGATTAGATGATCGTCTAAATGTCATATTTGTGAGGATGGAAAAGGCCGGCGATACCACTATTGGACAGCGTCAACCAGGCTGCGCTGAAGACAAGGTTTTAGCAGCGCAGAATTCCGTCTCATTGGTTTACTGCGAGCCTAACAAAGGAGAGATGCTATCTTTCTTCGGTGCATATCAAGCATCCCCAGCAACATCCGATGCCGCCAGCCGCCCGATATTCGCTGACCCTGGTGCGAACCAGATGGGCCGATTCACTTATTACTCATGGGCCAGTTTGGATGGAGTTTCCTCTGTTGTTATATTCTACGAGGATGATCTCGACTTTTGCCGAGGCCTCATGTTCTACTATGAGAATGGTGCCCGTCGTACAGTCGGAGACTGTCGTGTGCGGATGGATCGGGAGGCGACTGTGGACAAACCAACCCAGATCTGTTACAGAACAAAGATTCCAGAGGGTGAAAATGGCGAAAATGGAATAGGAACGGTTTGCAAATTACGGGTGGAGTTTGAGCATCACAATGGACACGGGGGTGATGAACTCTGGCACTGTCTTCCCTCCAAGGGGATCATACGATTTTGGATTGCTGGAGGATTCTCATGGTTGTCTGTCGAGCAATAATAGGCAACAAATAGAACTGATAATCTATAAAACAAGTATCTAGGATCCCGAGGGATGTTTTGGAGTCTTCCTGTTTTCTCTGTGGCAATTATTCGGTAGGTCTTGTCCGCCATGGTATCAATAACGTCTCGTCGTTTTTACCGTTGACAGTTTTCATGTGACACATACAGGGCTCCTCGGGCCCAGTCGTGGACGTCACCATGCGCTCGATGGTTGGCAGAGAGCGTGAAGTCGATATGACCAGTAGCCTGAACCATCTTCAGCAGGCTACAACGGCGCTGCCCTTCGAACAGGGCCTTGTATGCCTTATCGGTGGAAGTAACAGACATTGGTCCAAACTGCTTTGTGTCACCAATATTTGGGAAACCCAGATTCATTGGCTGTCTAAGAAAGAGAGTCAAATCCCATGGAATGACTGCCATGAACAGGACCTCTTCCATGCACGGTGGCGGCTTTGATGACGAGGTTGTGTCTGATCTACAGGGTCGGTAACAACATGGAAGATTTGCATGATCTCGGCCATTGTGAGTGTTCTCGTCCTGACACAGGGAGGCTGGCTCAAACTATAAGAATAAAATATCCATTGACGTTGGTTGCTTGCTCTTCACTCGTCTTCCTTCGTCGATGGGTCGAATCAGATTGCTGTGTCAAGGAGTATCTTGCAACTGTATCCAAATTGTAGAGATTGTATGTAATATGGCAAATATCAGAGTCCTGTCAAGGTTTTGTCGTTTTTCGCGCTCACTTGCATTCCGACGGATATTGGGTGCGTTGCCTGCAGCCTGGCCACTTGTGGCATCGATAGGTGTTGGAGAGGCAGCTTCGGCTCTGCAAGATATAAAGCTCTGATGTCTGCGTCGTTAAGAAGGCGACATATGAGCTACTTGTTGCTCCTCAATTAATGTGGCTTTTGTTGTGGGAGGCATGTTTGCTGAAATGGTAACTTGTTCAGGTTACAAATTCCTTCTACTTGGAATCCATTCATCAGTCTCAAGCCACTCGCTACATTAACCGTCAGTATGATTCAGATTCATGAAGCTGCTTGACTAACATGGAAAAATAAAGGCAGTTCGGTCCCAGTCAGCATTTTACGTCGTCATTGTCCACCCGAGCATTTGTTGTCAAACTTCATTCCTTTGGGTGTTCACTTTCATCAGGGGGTTCTTTACAATTTGCCCCGATGCAATATCGTGCCGTCCCTGTGCGATCCGTGCTTTTGTTCAAATGGAGAGGGAATGATTCTCTTCGCCAAGGAATCCATCGTGGTGTTAAATGTTCGATCTCGCTCATCCATAGAGCGAAAGTATGGGTCCTGGACCTTGGTGTATACGCAGCTGTCTGCTCTGACCTCTTCTCTGGCAATCTCGACAACGGAGGAATCTTTGATCAGGGCAAGATACACGGGTAGATGGTAAGGTGGTATTCGACACCGCTGGAGAGATATCGCGAGGTTACGCGAGTCATTAGCTGCAAAACGAGATCCTCGTCTATATCGTTATTGTCCACCGCGAGGTTTGGCCCTAGGTAAGACACATCTGTCGCTGAAGCTTTCTGGACAAATCGGTATGGGTGTAAAATTTCGGCAAGGTTCGCGACTCTCGGCCATCTAATGAGGTGTGAATAATAAACGAGGAATTTGGCAGGTGAGACACGAGGTATCGGGCGCAGGGTTGTATCATTGGTACACCAATGAGCAATCGCAGGCTCAAGCTGATATCCCTTGTCTCTACATGTAATGTCAGACTTTGCGTGCGTGAGGCGAACCCAAAATATGCGGGTTATTGTTCAGTAGGTACGCATTCATACAGCTTGTTTATGTGAGCTCATGTTGCCATTGTGTCAAAATATGTGACGGCACCATTCTGCCCGGTATCTGTCTGTTTTGTAGGTTCAGCACAATGATTCCAAGAAAAAAAGGTGCGATCTTTAGCTTACAGTAATTTCTCTTGTCACTCGATCTTCAACCGTCACCTTGAGGCTGCTGCAAAGTAACGCTGTGGCTATCATGGCCAAGTATTTGCTTGGTCTTCTTTTCTTTTTGGCTGCAAGATGTGCTGGTGGGTGTGTCCAGTATTTTCCACCTGAATAGAGCTTCAAACTCTCTCAAAAAGATGGTCGATTCCTTCCCTGTAATGGGGCCCAAGTCTCAAAAAAGGGGCGGTTACCAGCCAAGTCTTTGGCATTACGATCGTGTCGGTAAATTACCTCATGTATGATGGATGAACACTCGATGGAGAGTGTTTTGTCGTCCATGGTTGGACTGGTTTGCAAAGAGTCAAGATCAGCATCGTCGCGATTCTTCGTAATTATATAACTGATGGGATGTCGCCCGCCATTCAGTTAGGATTTCTCATAAAGCGAGCGATCGAGAATATAAATGTTTTCTCGTTCTATCAGATCTCCATGGGTTCTCCTATCTCGGCATAGGTCCATCCGAGAGTGCTACCTATGCGTAAGTTAGTTGAACCATGTAACCGATTCGTGTGGAATGAATCACGGTTACCATGATTAATGCTTTTTCTGGCTTCCTCTAAGCACGAAATGTGCCTGGAGTATAATGGCCTCTCCCGTGTGCGAAACGTAAAATCCCTGAACAAGAATGAAGCGCCGTTCTGTAAGACGACGTGCTGGTCATAGGTACGATTGCACCTCAAATCGCTGGTTGTGATGATGGCCGGGATGGCATCTGCAGACTGTTGGATGAGCAGTAGCCTGTTGCTTTCAGCAACCTGCCACTCGGTGCTCTTCGACTGGTTCACGATGTGTATTGTATTCGTTGATGATGAACTGTGATGTCGGGTGTCTGAAGAGGTCGTTCTCTGTTTGGCATGGGTAAGAAACGAGAGGCGCGGTAGCGTGTGCATTTGAGTATTGTGCTTACCTTCCATAAAGCTCTGAAAGCAAGTCTCTCATCAAATTCGAAGGTTCGGATCATCATCTTCATCGCTGCTACGGATCCACACATCGCAAGTCAGTCTGCGTTACCAACAGCACAGAGAGACAAGAGATGATGGGAGAACTTACGTTGCTTCACTGATCTCAGTCACTCCGAAGCCAAAGAGACCCTCGGTCGTCATTTTGTGTAAGAAGGGCGAATTGCTAGATTGGGGCCATGGTTCCAAAGCAAAGTCCCATCGGTTCAGATTGCGATTCAATTCCGGTAGATGAACGAGGATATAAAAGAGGAAGTAATAATAGTCGTTCTGTTGGTTAGTCGTGAACGTTTGTAGTAGTCCATAATTCTGCAAGGTCAAGTTGTATGTCAGATGGCAATGTCTTTCGAAATGGGGTGACAGCCGACTTATATAGTTGTCAACTCAAGCAGAGACCGAACGAATTATACCTGCTATATTCACATCCTCCATAGCAAATGAAACATCTCAAATGCCATATTGACCGCTTCAAGACGGATAGACACAGCTCTACAGCATCAATCCGTTGACTTTACATTACGCAATCCCATCAACTACCAATAAACAGGCCAAAATGACAAGAAATGCGTCCGCCTTCCCAGTGAACTGAGGTCATTGGCAACACAAGTCATCTATATACGTAACGCTCTCCTCCCAACGACGAATTCACCATATCTTTTCACCGCTTTCTCCGACCGGATATCAGCATAACTCACCGACACCATCAATTCACTCACTCGGCCAACAGCTGTATCATCACGCATCAAGCCGCCAACTCACGTCACCCGCTCAACAAATCGTTGACAGAATTCGTATTGTCGCCATGTATCCACGCAATTACCACTTCACTCTTCATCCTCCTCCAGCTCAGGATAGTGGCGCCAAATACCATCCGCATACTCTATCCTCCTGTCACTCTCCAGATACGCCTTGATATTCGGCCTCTCCTTGACGGCATCATACAGCTTAAACACGCCGTCAAACTTGCCCCCCTTCCTCAACTTCTCCACCGTCCTGGGAAAAGCAAACTGCGTTCCATCAAGGCACTGCCATATTCCATCAGCACTTACACAAGAGAGAAGAAAGATCAAGACTCACCTGAAACAGCACCAAGTCAACATACGTCAACTCCCCTCCGTACAACCACCCCCCCTCGCCACTCTTCTCCCCATCCAACAGCCTCTGCGCATACGTAAGATACTTTGGCAATCTCTCCTCTCTAAACGCCTTCGCCCTCAGCTTCGCCTCATCCTTCTGATCCTCATAGTACTTGTCCGTCGCAATCGGATGATGCGTCTCATGCACCTCGACGAGAAACCCATCCAGAATCGTCAACGCAATCGCATTCAAGTGATACACCGCATCCCCGCTCGCCGGCGCCAGCCCCAGCTTCGGCGCCACGTACAGCAAAATGTTGGGCAGCTGGTTAATCACCAGGTCGCCGTGCTTCAGCACCGGCGGCGCAAACACCGCCGGGTTCTTGTCGTCTCCCAGGTTCTTCGCCGCCATGTACGACAGAACCGTGGGAGCTGCCTTGTCGGCCTTTGCCGTGTCGATGTAGCCGACGCCCGCTTCTTCAAAGAGCAACCGGACAACTTCACCACGGCCGGGGATGCCTGGCCAGTAGATGAGCTCGTACTCGGTCTTGACACGCTTAGCCTCTGGTTCAGCCATTGTTAGTCTGTCACTGTAGCTGTAGTTGTTTTTTGACTCTGTCGGTTTCGATTGGAGTTGTCTTTGATTAAGCGGGGAAAGTTCAACAGCAAACGTCAGACATCCCGTAATTTATAGTCGCATTTGACGTCAGGCCAATACGACACACAGGTCTATTAGCACACCTCATGCAATGGATCATGCAATGTATCACTACCTAAAGCACACCTAATAGACTAAATCCTTCTCAACTCGCCGGCTGCCCAATTCAACGCACGATGGCACAACTCCCCACAATTCCATCGGCGATAGCAAGGTAAGCAAGCACCAGCCAAGCCGTGTGAACACGGAACATCGAACAACTACGAGTAAGACTCACAGGCCGGAGACGAGAGAGTCTTTAATCCCGCCGCGGTGTTTCTTGTTTTGGCGAGCCAGCCAGTTGCGTGTTCTTGTACGGTGCGGGAAAGGCTGAGCGGATCGCGGACCTCGGACCCCGACGGTCCATAAGCAACCAACCACTTACTCCATAGAGCTGTCGAGTTGCAAGGATCAACTCTTTGGAATCAATCCACTCGGGGGCCTGAGTTGCGCTCTGTTGTCTCGAGGCTGAGATAAACAAGCTCCGTCTCTTGGTCATGCTCTTCTTATTCATCGTGAATTGAGTCCAAAGATAGCCAGGTCCGGCATGAGTTACATAATTCCATCCCACTCAGTCGCCGATAATTCACGTTCAAGTTCACGGAGGACTGATTCAACGTCAAATCCATCCACACTCTTCACTCTTGTCTAGTATATTCAATATGCTGGTAGCGATAATCTCAAAGTCTCTTTTCTCACTGTTGTCGATATACATGCCAGTATCACTGAGTGCGTACGCTGGTATAAGACCATTGCTTTATTTGCTGCCGGGTTACACACCACGGCCCATATCTCAACACAACCGATGCAATGCATCATTCTCCGTCATTATTATCCCTCCATGTTCCACTCCATCTCCCGTTACTCACTCTTAGTTCCGCTGCAGTCAAGTGCCACTTCCATTCTGCATATCGTCATTGCCTTCAGCTGTCGTGCCAGGTGCATGTTCATCCTCCTGTTTGGATCCTTTCCAACAGCGGTTGCGTTGCCATGTCTCTTGGGTCACTCGCGTGCCCATTCACCTCAGCCTCATCTCTGTCGCTTCCTTCATCTTTCTCCTCCTCTCTCACCTCATGAGGGTCACTCGCGTGCCCATTCACCGCAGTCTCGTCTCCGCCGTTTCTTTCATCTTCCTCCTTCTTCACCCCAAAGCCCCCATATAACTTCTTCCACCACCTCAATGCCGCCTCTCCTTTCATCATTGTAAGGTGCTGGAAGAATTCTTCGTCAGTCACGTCTCTCTTTCTTTTCCATTCCAACCAAAACTGTGGCTTCGCGGCTGGCCAACTTGCCCAACGCATATACTCTTTCTCCGTGGGGTTACTATCCTCATCTAACAAATGATTTCCCCACATGCTAAGAATTGAATTTCCCTTTCCAAGTGCACCCAAGTACCCTGTGATTGCCACGGGAGCTCTAGGGTGTTGCGGTTTCTCGTCTCCGGGCAATGCGAATCCAAAGCGTTCTAGGTTGAATATATACCTGCCCCGGGATATATTTAGCTACATGGTAGATACATCTTGTTCGCACGAATTGACTTACTTGCGAGAGAACAAGTTCCATTGACGGTGTATAAAGAGAATTGTATGTCGGGGCACCAAAACTGCGCTGTATGGCTCACCGACAGCATGTCTCAGAGGCGCCATGGTCTCCAACCGGTCAAAAGCCGGGTGGTATAGGTTGTATTTCTCGAAGTCTACAGTCTCCCGAGCCTCTTCGTCTTCTACCTTTAAAACGCTTTCTCGGGACAGGGTTAGCATGGTTGCACATGGGTTCTCAGCCGCGTGTCGTAGCAGAGGAACGCAAGACAATAAGCACAGTTGAGGCTCGAGGTCGAAGAAATTTCCAACCTGATAACGTCAAATTTGAGACAACGCATTCGTTTTGCAGTCAGGGTTGCACATTACCTCTATACGATCGTAGAAACGCATTTCTTGGTGGTATGTTGAGATGTGTCCCAGCATCTCTACTTCACCACAAGCTATGACATTTGCAATGATTGGCTTCTTCTTCAAACGGGCTCGAAATGCCATAACCTTTTCGCGGAGATAAAAGTTCATTTTGCCATAGACGTCGTCTTCAGCAGGATACGGGCCGTAATCCAAAATCTCGTTCATCGGCCATTCTGACAGAGGCTCGTTGGTAATCCCTTCGGCTTGGCCTGTCCCAGGGAGGATGAAAGCCCTATAGATGTTAGGAATGGTTCGTTATCCTCCACTTTCCTTCCTTCATTCTTCAGTCCTCGATAGGAAACAACACCAAACTTACGGATTCGGTATCGTGTACCCCGTCGCCGATTCGCCGTGAGGCTGTACAATGCCGTCGAGCCGCCATTTCATCAAGGCTGCTGTTCTTGACGACGAGAATGTGCGAAATATTCGGTCTAGAGGCTCGCCGTATTTTGATACATCGTCTGCCCTGGCCTCGGCCATTGATCCCAGCTCTGGCTCTTGAAGGCAACAGTCTATTAGGTCCGTCCAGACATACCAGTCCAGAGAGACATGAAATATAAGATAGCCTGGAGTTCCAAATGTGGCCTTATAGCACGACGTTAGTTCATCTTGCTTATCCTCATACCAAGCCTGGATTTTCTGATCCAAGTCGCGCAACGTTTGTCCCGTGTATTTCTCGATTAAATTATAGGTCCAATTAGCCCAGTTGGCCGAGTACCACACGTCTACAGCGACTTCTGCGGCAACAGAACTGTCGATAGTGTCCAATGAAAGTACGAGTAGCGAAAGAAACGTCCGCACAAGATGGGAAATTTCGCATTCAAGGAGGGTCACCTCAAGCGATGGATTAGCCGTCTCTGGCATGGCGACAACAGAATAAATCAAGTGTCGCAGAGCGAAAGCTTGGTGTTTGCGTCAGCCGTCATTGTCACGTCCTTCCAACACGGGGACAGCAAAACTCACGGCCCAAGAGAAGAAGTCGCAGGACGCCATCAAAATGTGATCCTTCGTTCTTTGCCAGGTTCAAAACATCAGCCGCAGGATAGTTGGCCCAGAATCTGATCGTTTCAAATAAGGGGTGGTCTGGAATCTCGCCGTTCGGATAGTTTGTCGACCGAGGATAACATAGTAAAATCTTTGGCGCATGGTGATCTTCCAAGTCATTGTCCCTGCACTCTTTGCTGCAATACTAGATGACAGTGCGTCAGTTGACCCACGAGAGGGGGGGATGATATGCACAAGACGTGACGGGTGGTATTTTCTATTTCAGCCGAGTACTTACAGCTACGAGGCGGCATTTCTTGCAGCAGATGACGGCAGAACCATCGCATTGTTCCTGAGAAGTATGCCATGCTGCACAACCCAGGACAAGATCGCCCGAGGATTCCGAGTCTCCGTCAGTGTATGAGCCTTCCGAATCACTGTCCGACTGTGAAATGTTTGCGTCTCGGGCTGCGTATTTCGGATCCATGGTGTGATGAATATACTATGAGCAATAGAAGGTGTTGTAGTTTCCGGAAGTGGTCTTTGGCAACAAACCGCTGGCGGGTGGCGACATATTTGCAGCTGCAGGGTCGCCAAAGGCCATATTTATATATATCGGAATAGAGTTTCCAACATGCTTTCCTCTGGAGCTTCCTTTGCGCTTCTCCTCCTGGATTGCGCGTTCCCATACAACAGAATAAACCGGGGCGGGGGGGGGGGGGGGGGGGGGGGGGGGGGGGGGGGGGGGGGGG